AACTAACAATTGGCCATAAATTATCTTACAATCATTGTTCCTAAATTGTACCCATATATATAACAGATTAACACACGTATATACATGTTTTCTGTTGGTAACTATAGCCAATTAAAACCACAGTGTTACTATGTTAATATGTATAATTTATACTATGGTGTCCATCTCCATGCAATGACATTAATTGAGAATAGTCCCAAGACGGTCAAAAAGTACTTTAAAATGTTAAAATGTTATTAAACCAGTGTTGAAATCAGATTGTGTCGGCATATCTTTTATCTTTTCATCGTTTGAATGACATTTAGCAATTGGGACATAATCAAATATCCATTGGAATCCAATAGTTGTACACGAGTAGGAAACATGAAGACTGACGGTTTTAAGTTATTTCAAAATGTATCACGTATATTGAGTTAGTTGTTCGACCCTTTGGTAGGGGGATTTGACATTATTGAAGATCAGGGTGTATCTGCAGGAAAACCAGTTATAATCATGGATTACGTAGTTTCTCATTACGTGCATTGGGTATTTCACAATAGGATATTGTACACACGGTTCTAATACCATGATTGTGAATGAAAACTTCCAACCCCCACCTTAGCACACATTTGCATTCTTAAGCCTTTGGGTATTAGGTCACTGTTTCCATATATCTTCATAAGTACTTTATTTGATTTTATATTTAACCAATCACGGTTTATACACACAATCACTTTTGCTTCATAAATAACACTGACAACTACGCTCTTACATTCTATAGGATAGTTCACACGGATGTTTGTATAATAATATATACATAACATACTGACATAATACTGACATAACATTTTTATCAACACATTTATGATACTTAGAATATTCTCCTTTCTAATGGTAATCTTAAAATCAATTTCATAGCATAGAATTAAGTAAACACTTACCAGAGCATATTTCAAGTTTCTAGTAATGTGATTTGTTTTCTACTTCTAAGAGTTACAGCCCACTTTGCAAATGTTGCCAACATATGATTATCAATACTAAATTCACATGTCCTAATACTAATTATGCGTTGAGAACTAATGATAATATGAATTGCAATAATATTTAATTAATAGGAAGAGGGAGGAGCAGAGACGACCAGAGACGAGTGTATAGACTCATCCGAGTTCAGCCGCTGCCGTGTCAGAGAGGTAGGATGGTGTTCATATTTTTTTTATATATTTCTGTTGTATTTGCGTAGCTGTTTTATATTCTGTTCCCGAAGTAAATAAATCCTATATTTAAGAAACTGATGTCTGTTAATGGTAAAGCTGCGTTCACACTGTATGCGCATTCAATGCGAATTCCGCAGACCGGCCTCCGGAATTCGGATTGGTTTCTCTCGGATTAAAAACGGTGCTTATTCAGATTGAAACGCGCCATGCAGGGGCGTGGTGACCCATGGTTTTTGCATGAATAACAAGATCCCGTCCGGGTCCCCAAAAAACAATATTTATATGTGTGTGTGTGTGTGTGTGTGTTGGAGGGGGTGGGGTGGCAGTCCCTCCCAGTGCCACCGGGTAATATTGGGTTGTGTGGAACCTGCTAAAGAGTCGATTTGTAGCATATCTGACCCACGGTATATACTTGACACAGGTTGAGCAATGGGCATTAGGATTATAATTATAATGTAGAAAACGGCATTGAAACCGCGTAATTTTTTGCCATTTGCCCAGAGGCGCAAAAACTCAAGTGGGCGCAAATCTCGCCATTGCGTCCCTCTCACTTAGCCCCTGTACTAAAGGTGGATGCACCCGTCATTCGTATTCGTGATCTTCTGTTGTTAAAGATACATTTCATAATTAAAATCCTTTCAGCACTTAACATGCATAATACAATAATTTGTGTTGTCATTTTCATCCAACTATGCTATAGACTAGACTCTACTAAACCAAAGACGTCTAGGGCTGGTGGGCTGGCCTGTCCTGCCTCTGAGGTCTAGGCCTTCAATGATCAGCTGTGGACTGAATACGCCATACCTTGTATTTGGATTTTTAACTGGCTGTATTACATATATCCCAGTATATATTTTTCATTGAGTTAGGACTAAGGCTATGTAGGCTATACCCCAACTGGTTTGTGTTTGCAATAGTCATTTTTTTTATTTGCAGAATATTGGCCCGGAAAATATACACGCTCCCTCCATGCGATAAACGGAAGTAGAAGTGAACATGCGCTCAAAGTTATTCGGTTCCGGTACACCGGTTGATCTGAATCAAGCGCAGTTGTTCCAGATTGATTTCTGAAAAATATACCGACTTGTTATTTCAGATTCAGTTCGGATGTTTGGCGAATTGAGTGTGACGCCTAAACCCGGAATAAGACTTTATTCTGAATTCAATTCAGATTACCCCCCCCCCCCCAGTGTGAACGCACCTTAATAATGTTACACCAATGCAATAAATGTTATACAGGCGAATGCGTTATTGAACTACGCGCACGCATCCGGGTACACAGGCAACAACGTATACAAACAAATCCTCTTTTGAAAGTTTCGAAACATTTAAAAACTTGTACTAAAGATTTAAATATTAAATTTAGTATGTTTCCATTTTATAAAGCCATAAAGTCAAAATTGATAATATAATCAAAAGAAGAAATATGAACTTAAATGCGCTTAATGCCCTTCGCCCACCCCTACCCCTTTCCTGTAAATATACAAATAAAATTGATCTATTCTCGAAGAAGATACTTTTCTATGTGCAGAATAACATCAGACTTACCAAATATGCTAATAATTAAAGATGATATAATTGTTACAGCAGAAAACACAATTGTTGACATATTGGACTCCCCCTTCGCTACCTAAAATATATAAACTGTTATAAAGACACGGTGAGAAAATAAATAAGTCCCTTTATTTTGCAATTTTGCCTGTGGAAAAAAATCCAAAACAAATGATTATGGCTTTTTGTAAGGAGGTATGTACGGAAGCGTAATAGGGCCACATATTTTTTTTATTATTCTATTTTTTATTATTTATTATTGAATTTTCAAATTAGTAACTTGAATTTTCAAGTTACTAACTTGAATTTTCAAGTTACTAACTTGAATTTTCAAGATACTAACTTGAATTTTCAAGATACTAACTTGAATTTTCTTGTATGGCCTTTTACTACCCGGAATTTTCAAGTTAGTATCTAGAAAATTCAAGTTAGTATCTAGAAAATTCAAGTTAGTATCTTGAAAATTCAAGTTAGTATCTTGAAAATTCAAGTTAGTATCTTGAAAATTCAAGATAGTAACTTGAAAAATTAAAAAATAGAATAATAAAAAAAAATATGTGGCCCTATTACGCTTCCGTAGGTATGTACATAGCACTCAAAGAAAAAAATCATCCGCATTCCACCTTGGGCAATCTTTCTTTATGGGGGTGGGGGTAGTTTTAGTATCCAATCTCAATATGAATAATATTTGTAAAACCGCCTTATTTAAGTTATCATATACTTTACGCACCTCCAATGCATGCCATTATCAAATTGAGAGTAACTATAAACACACTCAACGCCATCATTTCTAATATATTTAATAACAATTTTATTAACGCGCCTATTAACATCCACCATACCCGTCTGAGTTGGTAGGATGAACTGCGGATGGGCATGGATATCTGACAATTCAAAAAAGTAATTGAATGTCATTAGATAAGAGAACACCAGAAAAATAGAAATAGTCTGTACATTCCATTGTTTTTATATGGTAACGACGGACTTTTTCTATTTTTCTTTCGTGTTCTCTTATCTAGTGACAGTCAATTCTTTTATGAATTGTCAGATATCCTCTCACGGTCTCACACAACAACTTTTGGTCTTCGAAGGAATTATTAGTGAGCAGAAATTCGGCCATGTATCTGTTATCACTCGTCACTTCAGTCAGTTATATAGAGGGACAACTCGTGTTTTCATTTTGCGTTCGTCACTTCCGATTGTTGAAACCAGCATTACACATCTATCATAGCAATGATCTCTGTGTTAAAATTATATTTGGAACGTGTTTAACCAGTTCTATCACATTTGTGATAATGACTGACGCCAATATTGTCCTGTAATATATCGAATGACGAAATTGGTACTGAACGAAAAAACTAATGAGAAACCACTTTTAAGGTCAATTTTGAAGCAAATGAATTCTGTCTACAAAAACACATGTTGCCCCCCCCCCCCCACACACACACACACGGACACCCACCCCCAAACGATGGGACTCTTATAAACATATTTAGAGATGTTTCATCAAGCTCTAAGAAAAGCTTCATTAAGATCAACGTGAACTCATTTCCCGCCAATTTCAACCCGCACTCCACACACGCACACCCGCAACCACTCACGCCACCTCGCCATAAATCAAACCAGTTGTCCAGAGGCAACATAAACACTTATTTAGAGATAGGCAGTCCTAGAAATTTATGTTTTGTTAATATATAACATGATCATCATTTATTTCAACTTAATCACACCTTCCCTCAATTGTAGACATTGGACCCCCCCCCCCCCTCTCCCTCCATATCTCAAAAACGCCCCCTCAAACGCCTGATCACCACCCAGATTCGGAATCTACGGAAAAAACTGACCTAGAAAAAGTTGGTCTCATAAATTCACATCTCGGGTGGCGATTCGTCTCCTCCAGCCACCGGACTATTTGGTTCTTAGTGAAACGGGCGCTATCTGGTAAAGTTATGTAGGTTCATTTTCTGGCCGCTGCCACCGAATTTTTCGGGTATTAATCGGTCCGTACGCCGTTTTTTCTGGGCCACCAGATATACCAAATGTCTACCTGTGATAGTCAGTATCACCAGTTAGGCATATTGATACTTTTAAGTAGCAAAACATATATCAATAAGTCATTGAGCTTATATTTTTAAAAAATTTAGAGTCAATCCCCAAAAAAACCCTCACTTACCCACGTCTTCTTAAATGATGAAAATTCTTCTTGTAGATTGTCATTTGCAAGGTGAAAGTAAAATAAAATGGTTCTATGTGTGCATTATATTATATGTAACCTAATGTAGCATGTTAACAGTGAATATTGTATCATATAATTATAATATCATATTCCAAAAATCAGGGAAAATATCAAATTATAGTTATTAAACTGTAACAGTTTTCCTTCATTTTGCTAAATATAGTAACAATGAAAGGAAAAATTAATATCTGAAGTTTTCTCAATTTTCCCTTTTCACCCAAGATGTCGCGTCCGCGCTTTGCTCGAATAGTTTTTTCTCAGAATTGATATCTCAGAAAAACAAAACCACAGAGATAGCTGGGGAAACTACAGGGGGCCCAGAGAAAACCCGCGAGGTTGGACAGGTGCCCCTACTTCTTGCCACGTACAGGCGGGGAAACGATACCACGCCACCTGACTCAATGACAAACATTAAGATCCAGCGCGCACGCGTTAACCATTGCGGGACATCGTCAATGCTCTTTCTGCCACGCTTAAATTCCACATTCCACATGTCGGCATGTATCTGTGTTCAGGTACTTGATGACTGTCCTATAGCCAACTTTGTCCATTTCTGGAGATTTCAATGGATAGGTTGACAAGATGGTCTGGTACGAAGACAATAATAACACTACAGTTGCAGTTCTTATGTCTATGATTCATCCAATGGCTGTACTTGTTGGTGGCAAAAGTTTGTTTCAGCCCAACAGAATTTTCCAGCTAGCCCTCGTACAATGTTATACAGATTAACAGATTTTATACAACATTTTACTGTAACCCCCCACCCCCACCCCCTACAAAAAAATAATTGCTTAAAATATACTTATATAAAGGGCAAAAAGGTATTATTTATATCATTATTACGCAGATTATATACAGGCAGGTTCAATAACCATGGTTGTAAGCTGTACAGTCCAGGGTCCTTATTCACGAAAACTTAAACTAAGATACAATCGAAATTTTAAGAAATACTGCAATTCGATTGGCTGACCAGTAAAATCAATTTGCATATATCCAATGAAGTTGCAGTATTTCTTAAAATTTCGGTTGTAACTTAGTTTAAGTTTTCGTGAATAAGGGCCCAGGGCCCGAGATTATACAGACATCATTCAAAATGAATAAAAACTATTATTTACAAGAAAGACGTAACATAAATATGGGACCGGTCTTAACAACGGTCGTCTCTTGAATGACGATAGTCTGCCAGTTAACGTCTTGATGAGTTAGAATGTCAATAAGGGCGACAATCCGGATAGAATCCAGGAAAACGCTAAAATAAAGTAATAAAATGTAGTGAGTAAACAGGAGCAAAGAAATTTCAAATAGTATATACACTATTCTATCATAAAACAGGAAAACTTTAGCAAAATAAACAAATAATATTAAAGGCAAAACATTTTACAAAAGTAACAAATAGAATTATACACTGGACTATAATAAAACAACAAATATTTAGTAAAAGTAACAATTAATATTAAAGGAAATACATTTACCAAAAGTAACAAATATTACTAAGAGATAATAAATAGAATATACACTGGACTATAATAAAACAACTAAATTAAGCAAAAGTAACAAAAATTAAGAAAGGGTAATAAATGGAATCAAAGTCATCAAATATTAATGAAAGCAAGCAACAAAATGTTACATATATTATCATTAAAATTTACAAACTATCATCACTAGTTTACTAGTATTATCAGACCAATTTAATTCTCTGCTACTATTTTCTGGGAAAATCTGTATAACGATTTGCAAGACAAGGCAAGTCCATTTCAGTAATTGCTAATGCAACTAAAGAGTAGTTAGCCTATTAAATTGCTCAACCTATTGGTTCGCAAATGTACACTACACACACACACGGTTATGATCAGGGTCCAACAGAAATCCATTCTATAAAGTGAGTGCAAGTACATTTACAACGTTTGTTAAAAAAAAATCCTATAATTTGTCAGGGCAATAACTCTTGAAGCACTCATTTAAAAACCTTCAAAGATCGATAGGAGTCAGTGACATGCAGGGGTTTGGTAGGTTACTACCGAAACGATCTGCGTTGACTGTATAACCCATTGCACATTACACTCAAGTATCTAATACTCAGAAATATGAGAAAGGAAGACATTTTAAAATTGTAAAAACAGATGAAAGTATATAACCTTTGTATTCAACGTGTGATTCCACTAAGTGATTGGATGAACCAAGAAATGGATACCAGGGACCGTAGACCCCCCAAACCCCTCTCTGCATGCCAGTGATATGAATCGTCTTTTGCAGTAGATTTACAAAATAAGATTATTTATAAAGCTATGTCTTTAGCACACTACTAAACAATTTAAAATATTTTATGAGAATTAGACAAAATCTTAGCGGACAATAACAGTGGAACTGCCTTTGAGAAAATGCAAAATGGGGTGTGAAACATGGGTTTGCGCGAGAGCATTCCTTGATCAACAATCTGTCTGTCAGAAGCAATAACTTCGCGAATATGCTCAATTTTTCCGCTTAAACTATATACAAATCTTTAATACCAACTATCTAGGACTTTTTATTTCAATAATTCGTAGTGTGAAGAGGTATTTAGAAGATGGAGTACCTGAAGTGCCCCTCTCATAATTAACTCAAGAACTTGACTCTGCAGAGTGGGTACCAGACCTAGTGTGGTCGGATTGGTGCGACGAAAATAGATTTTTAATACTCTTCGTTCCAAACTAATGTTTTGAGATAATATATTTTCAAGTTCTGCTTACACCCTTAGATATACATATTGAATATTACAATCTGTTGGACCAGGATTCCTAAAAACTAAAAATTAAATTTTTGTGAACAAACTTACAAAAATATTTTTAATTGGTGAGACATATTTACAATATACAAAATAGCATAGAGCAAAACAATGTTAGCTACGTTAAGTCCTCAAGTGAGAAGTATTTTAGAAAACAACAACGAAAGTTTATGAAGCGCCCAATATGAGCATCAGAAACGAGGATATCCGTGCTTAACAACATTTTAAAAATTCAAAAACTAACTTCCTTGTATAGTTTCGTTTTCCTTAAAAATTGCTATGTCAAGTTACGTTCTTCATCAAAATGAAACAAACTGTTTTATAACTTGACTTTGAATTAAACATTTGTCATATATTTGAATATAATGTTGTATATGTGTTGGGTTTTGAATCTACTGTATGGTCTATGGTATCATACATATTTCTGTTTTCTTCCCCAAGGTACGACTGGTTTTTATACTCAACGTGGGTTGTTGCATCTGGTATAGCTCTAGTGGGATTTAAATCTTTACCATTGACAACATCCGTAGACTGGGTTGATTGCCGTCTGAAAATAGAATTAATGATATCTTAATATGACTATAGGAACAATTTAAACTCAACAGGACAGACGTCAAATTATCAGATTTAATTATAAATATAAAATTACCAATAATAAATAAATAATAAATACCTTTTCGTATAGAAATGATGTACAATACAAATTATTATCATCACTGGTATACCACATAGAAAACCAATAAAACCAATTAAAACGGGATTTATTGTTGCTCCATCAGATATTACTGTTAAATAAAATATAAAGGTAAAACATGTATTCGAAGTAGACAACAAATCGTAGACAGTCGTGCAGTGTTTTAGGAAAGGCCATGCATATTCTGCCGTAAACTATGTAAATAACAATAGATTTTGGGAGTTATATTAATTTAAAATTGTTCGCTATTCCCATTGGGCCAGAATACTACGTATATTTCAAGCTCTTAGTGCATTTTAGTGTTATAAACAGGACAAATTTCAGTCAGATGGTCGAGACCATTATGGAAAGGATACATGTTGCTAGATATCTATGGAGGAACCAGGTGCACATAGGTTTCACCAAGGAACACACTCAGTCCAACAAGAAACGCACAGGGTTCCGAAAGGAACTAGTCATGGAATAAACATTGATTGAGAATGTTTTGTTTTACTAAGTTTTGATTTTTCGTTTGCTTGACGTATTGTTTGGTGGTGAAGTTTGATACCACTTGCCACGATTGAAAAATGAACGAATATAATGAATGATGTTTTAATAATTTATTAAATAATCAAAAGTTTTATTGAATGACTCTTATTTTGGTTATTTTGCATTATTTCAATGTGGATCTAATATATAGGCCATACTTAATAAAGATATTTTCTTATAAACTTATATTAAAAAATTTACATATTTTGCAATTATTTAGCAACAGTATTTTTGCAGTATAAACACAAAGGCGTAGGAGCAATGTATTTCCGTTTTTCGGACACAATCATCAGAGAATGAGACCATATAATATATCATAGAAATATAATTCTGAAAATTCGGGTGACAAAGAAAACTTTCGGGCAAATAGCCTCCCCCACCCCCTCAACCGCAGTTGGGCCCTTTGTCCTATGTATAAACAAATTTGTGTTTTATCTCCTATATACTTACTAACATGACAGTTAGGTCCTGTATATCCTTCTATACAGCCAACCAGTCCACAGCTACCACTAGATATATCACATGATATATTATTAGCACAATTCCCACATTTTATTTCACAGTTTTCACCATAAAATCCATTTCTGCAATCTACAATGTAATTATATATTTACAAACGTATCTCAAAACAAACAAGGTGGTTTCCGTGGAATAAGGAAAAGTTAAGTTTAAAGCTGTAAAAAGCTTTTTGAAAAATTCATGGAAAACCAAATCAATATTGAAAAATATATATTTTATTTATTATTTTTTGATTAAAACTGCACGATTGTTGATCCTGTATTATTTATTGGTATGACTTTAAAGCTTCAATAAATCAGTTTCTGTTATAAGAATACGTATCAACAATACCTGATGTACAAGTAGTTCCCATTTTACCAGGTAAACATCCGTTGATGCAATGTCCTGATATCTGATGACATAAACCATCTTTACAGTTAGAACTACACTGTTTATTACATGATGTTCCCCATCTTCCATATTTACATTCAGTACAGTTGTTGATATCCTCTTGGTTACAAACGGTACAGTTTTCTTTACAGTCTTTATCACAGGTATCTCCGCCTTTACCTTTAATACACCTATCACATAGTCCAGTTCCTCGTTTACAACCACCAACACACGCAGAGCTACAGATCTTATCACACCCATCACCATATCTTCCTAATATACAATCAGTACATCTACCTTCTCTATCACATGATATCGTCTTGTTCTTCTGATTCGTGTCTTGTAGACATTCGGTGCCACATGGGGAATTACAATATGTACCAACTGTGTTAGGTTTACAGTCATTACATTTACCATCTGATTTATCACACCCACCATTGCAATTACTAGAACACACAGACTCACATAAGTTGCCATAAAATCCTGGTTTACATGTTTTACATGCTCCCGTTGTTCTATCGCAGGTACCATCACAATTAGCAGGACATGGTGTCGGACAGTTTGATCCATAATAACCATTAATACAACCATTTGCGCAGACTCCATTATCACGATTACATGCTTTATTAGAACAGGCATTACATGGTTCACATGTAGTATTTGATGTACTGTAATATCCAGTGTTACAATAACCACCTGTCCATAAACAAAAAGTGTTACAGCAAATATATCTTTAAAAATATCCAACAACTTTTTCTTTTGAAGGAAAGCAAGCATGTCACCGTCTGCTGTGATATGATTCAAAGAAGAAATAACCCCACTACATATACTCTAACCACTAGCATGTGTATTAGATTGTAATGTCACAAGTAAATACCATAAGCGTGGGTATGAGCTTGTCGCAGCAACTACTCTGCGAAAATTGCGTGGCTCTTGAATACTCACCCATACTGTTTACAAAGTTTCGATGACAGGCACAAAATCACTATTCTATTCTATATTTCGATATGACTAATTGAACATTATGATCAAGTGTTTAATCCCGAAATGACCTAGTGGAGGTTAAACTCTATTTCTATCTCAACGACTCTTAGAGCAGTTACACGGTGTTGGTGCCGGTAGTAAATAATGCTGTGTAAAATCGAAGTGCGAATTCGATTCGGTTATGTTACTGCAAGTTAACAACCACTCTTTTAATTTTAATATTTTTATCGATGACTAATCATCCATGCATGTTTATTTGCCATGTGTATTGTAGAACGCTCTTGAGCACTTTGTAGAAACGGTGCTATATTGGTCTACGCAAACGAGCTATTTGACTGGTCAAATATGAACACCTGAATACTGTGATCAGTATGGCATTCCCAGTAGATTTTATGAAATCTATTGTAAGCTCCTGGTTGATTTGGAACCATCCGTCTCGATTAGAATTTAGAACCCGAAGAATAATAATTTTATTATTGAGTTTCGCCAGAAACTGCACTTACCAGCATAAATTTCTACCTCACACAATGTGAGTGTATCAGTAGCCTTGATAAACACTGTTCTAGCAGATAAAGATCTAGATGGTTGTTGATTACATCCATCTATAGTATATACATCTTGTACTGTTGGTGGTGTATTTCTATAACATGATGTAGCTGATCTAAATCCTTGTTCATTACACTGATCATCGGAAAGTAGCTTTATCTCAAATCCTTGTAATCTATATTGATCTGTAATATACAAAGATATTTCTTAATGTATAAAATACACACAATGTAAGTATATCAGTAACATTGATAAACACTGTTCTAGCAGATAAAGATGCAGATGGTTGTTGATTACATCTTTCTATAGTATATACAGATTCGTTTGTTGGTGGGGTATTTATATAACATGGCGTGGCTGATCAGAATCCCGATTCAAATCCTCACAATCTCTCTTGATCTAAAGAAACCTCCAGAATACTTGTTCATTATATCTATTATACACTGAAAAAAAAACTTGTGTTGAAACAACACAAACTTGTGTTGTTTTCAAAACAAGTTAGGTGTCTCTATTTAACAACACAAACTTGTGTTAAATGTTGAAACAACACAAGGTATGTGTTAAAATTTACCAAACAACACAAACTTGTGTTGAAACTTGTGTGAAAATCTACACAATACTTGTGTTGAAACTTGTGTTAAAATTTCTGAAACTTGTGTTGAAATTTCTGAAACTTGTGTGGTTTCATAAAAACTTGTGTATAACCACCAACAAAAACTTGTGTTTTATTTTCCCTCAATTTAGCAATCTTTCCCATGCAGCCCCCCACCCCTTTTGCTCTGTTTAACCTGTAAAGTTTGATAAATGAGGTAACAATAATTTTATTTGTTAAATTATCATTTATTCATAAAATGATAGGAAAAAGTAAATTAACACCACCAAATCAAAACTAAATAGACATCATTTGAAATGTTAACAGAAAAACAGAGATATAATTCTAATACTAATAAAAATGTGTTATACGTTGCCCCCCTCCCCCCACATCACAAAATACAAAATAGCTATTTAATTTTTTCTTTACCCGAAAACAAGAACTGAGAAAAGAAAGATCCCTACCCCATACCCCAAAAATATATAATTCAAATATATCTAAATTTAATAACATCCAAACCAAGCCCTAATTAGATTAATTATGCACTAAATTGAAATACTTTCAGAAACTGAAAAGTGCTACAAAGTCATATTACAAGTGATTTGTGGGGCATCTAGAAATAACTAGCATACACAGAAAACTAACAAAAGAAAAATGCACTATTTTGCAGGAGTAATAAAATGATGTAGAACCTTTTCCTCATTAAAAAAAAAACAACAAACAAAATGAATATTTTTTACATAAAAGGAGCAAAGCATCAAGATTACAGGATTGAAAAATAAAAAAATATCAGAGAAAATCGCAAACATTAAATAATATGTACAAAATATATATAAATAATCACAAGTCAAAAGCAAGGAGGAGCCACTGTGGTTCAGTGAGTGCATTGGCCGAGAAATTTCAACTGGACATAGTTCCGACATAGTTCCCACACGTCAGTAGTGTAGGACATGGCAAGGGATAATTGGGTATAAGCCCAGAATTGAAACTACCCCCACTGCGTTTACTTTAAAGAACCCTTGACAATTGAATTATCTGACTCAATGACAGACCCTTCTGATCCAATGTGCGTGTGTTAACCATTCGGCCCTCCTAGGTTCCCTTTAAACAACCCTTGACAGTTGAAATATTTGATATAAGAGTAGGTTGTAGGGCAGAATCACCATAATAACACAGAAAAGTAGGATATTAAACCCTATTTCATTTCATAAGCAAGGGAAAGTCACCTTAATGTAGGTCAAGGTTTTTTGTAATTCTGGGTATATTTGATCTACATTTGGTTTCTAGATTATGCCTATTAAATACTTTATGATTTCCGACCAAATTCTAAGTGATTTATATGTCACTTTACATTCTATATTATACATAAATTTCTGTAGAGAATTAAAATCTAATTGTGTTTGGGATGAATATTTAACAGTAAAAACAAAAAAAAATATTCAAAAATTGGGTCAAATGCATTCTTTTCCAGAATTATAAAATAAATTGATGCTTGGGATCTCTTGTTGTTATCATACATCAAATAATCTTCCAGCCTAAAAAATAAAAGTAGGCAATAAGAATACTTTCTTACTATTTATGGTTCACAATGTTTAAATAAACAATTTATTTTGCCACATCGAGACTGAGTCTCTATTTTGTTTCATCTTTGGGTAACACTTATTGTGTCTTGTCCAGTAACAGACTCAGGCAGATTATTATATTTTATTTCCATCGACAACAAATTGGATATTACCTATTAAAATCTATTTGAAAAGTAAAATATTGTCCATTTTTATACTGCTATTTACTGTAAAAATACACATAGGGTCTATCACAACTTGAAGAAAATCAATGGATGCGATTGTCAAAAATCAAGAATGCCAAGACTTGAATAGGAGAATCCTAGGCATTGCCCCAAGAAGAATAACTAGATTACCAATCAAGTGTATAGAACTAGTTGATGATTAAAAATACAAATATGTATGTTACTTACATTTTACCTGATTATCAAGCTCTGTGGGAAAAAGTTTCCATAATATGAATAGCCATTTCCAACTTTCTTGATCTTTCTGATGTAGTTAACTGAGAAAAAAAACATACTATGTATTAGTTGACTTAAATCGACTCAATAGTTAAAAGATGAAAGTTTTAATTTAATTACATTGTGTTGTAATGTGTTGGTTTGCTTTGTCACAGATGAGACAAAATGAAAAAAATGAAATGAAATGGGGTTTGGCGTCCTACTGTTCAGCTTCGACTGGGCTAATGAGGTTGGGCATATGCCATACAGTGTGCTACGAGAGAAATTTTGCCGGGTACCGTGACCCTAAGGCCTACTCTTGTATCAAATTCTAACTGCCAGGGGATCTTTTACATGCACGCCAATGTGTACACGGGACCACGTTTTTTTGTTCAATCTGAACGACTAGACAGCTGTCCTTGTAAGGCCCCCCGTACTGCATCGTCTTACTGCAAACCCGCGACCTTAAAATATGCAAACCAGTGTCTAACCCACTTGGTCACCATGGGTCCCCACAGATGAGATAGTCATATCTACATGTATCTGGACATAAGTAAGATTCTGTCTGTGCACATACATGTACGTGTACAAATTTACTATACTAAACTGAATTTTAAATTTCAAAACAATAAAATGAAATGGAGGTTTATGTCACATCAGCTCCAACCGGGATATATTGTGCCAAACACATTATGGTGAGATTCTAAAATACCATAACAACAATCTTTTCTATTAGAATTGAACACTCACCCTCCAAAAACACCTATGAGAAAGCATAGGTGCTCAAATCACCATTTCTTCAGCTCTTTCTTTTTCCATATTTGGGTTTTTTGACTTATTTTATTATATGATCTTTGATTTGCTATGGCATCTAATATGGAAACTGAAAAATATGAATATGTGACATGTAATAAACTGTTTAAGATACCTTACCATATACAAACTGTGTGATATCTAAAACCATTTGAATCCCGAAGATCTTACCCAAGCCTTGAAAATCTGTTTTAATAACCCTTGTTTGTCATGTGACTGGACTGTCACAGTAATTAGAAGAGAGTCATGTGGCTTAGTGTGTAAGGCACTGGCTTGGTACCCGGGAGGTTGCGGGTTCGCTCCCAGTGTTGACCGAGAAAGCTCATTTGAATTTTTCAGCATGGATTATATGCCTAGTCGTCATGGTGGCTAAGTGGGTAAGACGCTGGCTCGCTAGCCTGGAGGTCGGGTGTTCGATCCCTGCATTGGCCGAGAAAGTTCATCCAGATTTCCCGGCGTGGTTCCCCCTTGTCAGTGATGCAGGACGGAGGCCTGAAAAGGACAGCTGTCTAGTCATTCGGATGAAATGAAAAAACGAGGTCCCGTGTACACGTTGGCGTGCACGTAAAAGATCCCTTGACAGTTGGAATTCGATACACCGCAGTGCCGCTCTCCGGGCAAAATTTCCCTCATAGCACACTGTGTGGTGTATGCCTGTCTTCATTAGCCCAGTTCGGAGCAAAACAGTAGGACGTTAAACCCCATTTCATTTCATTTCTAGTCGTTTCAATGGAACACAAAACCTGAGGTCCCATTGGCGTGCATTTAAGCCGATAGTATGGTAGTTGGAATTTGTTGGCTGTAGCACCCGTGTCACAGTTCGACTGCTAGTTTGCGATACCCACTCGATATGAATGAGTGGTGATTGGCTAATGAATTCTAAAATCAGACCAATGCTTCGGCGAAGCGTACACACCACTCAAATACAATTCGGCCAAATATATCAAACATGTTTGATTCGGGCGTATGTCAGTGGATAAACTAGGTGAAGTTTAGCGCCAATTGATTCAGCCAAATCCTTTGGCTAGTTTATCCAGCACTGACGATTTAAGTTTGTACTTTCTTTATATGCAAATATCACATTTGAAAGAGGCTGTAAGCCTACATTCTTTATATGCAAATATCTTATTTGAAATAGGCCATTATTATGTGATTCCCCACTTGAATGTGACTAGGAATAGGGTCGCCTGTCCAGCCTTGTGGGTTTTCTCCGGGTCCTCCGGTTTCCTCCCTTTGCTAAATACCCCTAGGGTGTATTCGAAACAGTGTTCCGGTGCAGAGAACGGACGGAGAATGGGTTCTTGTCGGACTTGAGCAGTCTGGAATGCGTTCACGAACACATTCCCGTTCTCAAATCCCACACTACCTCATAGCTGGTGTGAGGGAGAACAAACATGGTTGACGTATCGATAACTGCTGAGAAAACAGCATCATGAGTGCATTTATTAATTTAAAAGTTTAATACCGTTCGAAAATTGGATGTAGTATGTGGCCAGTATAACATCAAGTAAGTTAGGTTGCCAGGCAACGAAACATATGCCCACAGCAGTTTAATCGTTTGCGCAGTCAACAGGGATTGTCGCATATTCATTCTTTTGTAGGTAATGTGGGCATTTACAAGAAAATTTCATACAAGATTATAATTTTCGTCGTTTGTGGGTTTACAAAGGTTCTACAAACTGGAACAAGGGCCTTAATTGTTGAAATTTGACAGATTTTTTTGTTTTGTGTTTTACTAATTTAAATAATGCATACAATTTTCATACAAATCGGATGATAATTTTGTTGTTCGCGCGTTCACAAGGTTCGAAAAAGTGAAACAAGGGCCACAACTCTAGACATAATTCACAGAAATCGCAGAAATTTAATAGACGTCTTCGTTTCACTAATTTAAAAGATTCAAATGAATTTCACAAAGTGAAACAAGGGCCATAACTCCAGAAGAAACTAACAGAAATTATTGAAATTAAATAGGATTCATCTCATTAAAATAAACAACATATCAATTTCAAAATAATCAGTTCTGTAGACGACGGACAAACCTACGGACGAGGGCGTATCAAAAGGTGATGTAATCGTCATCCAAAGAATTGAAAAGGAGTAAAACGGTGTCATAATTTATCAAAATTATGCTTAATAGCGAAGTAAATACTAAACAAGTTATCGTAACAGATTGTATAAATTTAATTCATCTTGTTACCATGGATACCGTTCTCTTATGTTCGACACTCATGAAAGTGTTTTCATGTTCTTCAGCCGTTCTCGAACCTGCGCGAACACTGTTTCTCATACACTCCTACGGTACGCGCAAGCAAATCATTCAAATAAAATTGAACAATATTAGCCTCGAAATTACCTAGCGCCAGTAAGTATAAAGGATCTATCCGACAAACACTAACAACAACTCTAGGTTGATTACATGTCATTTGGGACTCGCGTCATTTGGGACTCAAAAAAATATGACCACGACATTTGGGACTCGGGTATACGACGTTTGGGACTTTGGTATACGTCGTTTGGGACTCGGGTTAACGACGTTTGGGACTCGGGATAATTTATTAGAAATAGGCCAATTCAAACAAAACACAAAAGAAAATATTTATTAACATGAAACACGTGGTTAGTAAATGGCTCAACCAAACGATAAAACATTAGTTGCACTTACGGTTCTTTGATAATCATCGTTTCTCATAAAAGTTTTATATTTATTTAAAACGAATAATATGCTGATGAATTTATTTGAAAATTACCTACACAAAAAACAAAATAAATATTTACACGACATGCAATCTTTTTTTACAAGCCTCTAAAAATTGTTAACGATAATCCGTGAGCTGCACGTTGACATGCTTGTCGTAGATGGCAATACCAATTGATAAATTAGTGCGTACAAGGCAAAGTTTTTTTGTGGAAAATATAAGAAATGGCAACGATCAAAGCGGGATAATTAAAGCTGATTAACTGATAATCCCAATGTTATTACAGTATGTTCAAAGAAACCTAACGGTTCTTTGGTGGATGAGGAAAAACGTGAGTTGTCAATCATCGAGAATGGCGGCCGTGTGTTGATTGCAGTTATACCGTTTCACGAAAAAACATTAGCAGTGGTCGGTCAATCAAGCTCGTTTACTATTTATAACGCAAATTTTTCGTTTCGGTTAAAACAAAATATACGTCCATTTTAATTGGCCGAAGGATGTGTGACTAATAGAAATATGGCGGGCGGACAAACTGACCAAACAGTATATTTCGAGGTATTTGAGGTAAGCTAATTTAATATTATATCATAACTGCATGTGCATACTTGTGTTTCTGTGTGATTAAATATTCAAAAGAATCATTCTTAGGATACAGCCTCGACACCAGTCAGCCCTGAATTGCAATGTTTGTTTTGTGTTCTGGGCGCCATTTTGAAAAAAACTGACATGACCTATATAATACAATCCAGCGATAGTGCAGTCAATTTCCTTTAAAAGGGAATCCGAATTTGTTAATTTTCTGCAATATCACTTCGGTGGTAGCGGACGTTAAATAAAGCTATTTCACGTACAAAGACCTACAATAAAATCCAGGTGAATTGGGAAAAATATTCATGTATTTTCTTGATGAAGAGTAGCTATTTCAATTTGTAAATGCCCAGTCATCTTAGACAAATAATAATTCCAACTTCAAATCAGTTGTATTTATTCAAATCATACTATAAATAATTGTATTTTTCCACTTGCATAATAATAAAAACTTGACTTTTATTATTTTATTTCTTCAGGCCAAGAACATGGAAAATTGGTAATTGCCTTGTATCACTGCTAACTATAAGGCACAGGGAGCCTTGGGCAGAAATGATAATAATATGGTTCTCAGATATGTTACTGTGTACAGACTAAACAAAAAATATATATACACTTGCTATTACATGTACATTATATCATTGGCAATAATAAGATCCAATTTTAGTTTTTAGTTACACACTGTTAACCACCAATAGATGAAAATAAATCATAAAATGTATTCAGCTCGACGTAAGACTTAAATAAATAGATACTGTTGGTTTAACTTGAATAGAAGTTTTAAATATCTATGATGCATATATGCATATATCACCTTGCAGCTGAATCACATTACATATCTTTTTAGTTGATGTTCATATCGTCTTAAGTATTTGTCAACATCAATGTGACCTTGTTCTATGTCACATTAGCCTATTCACACTTGTTACCACGAATTTACTCACCACACCCTCGCATAGTTATGAATTTATTGTTTCACTTGACTAAAGAAACATTTTGTAGGAATGTATGCTTTTATAGATTGGACACTTGTTTGCAATATCATTGTCGGTGGAAACTGGCACTATACCTAAAGAATGACTGAACAAATAGCAGAGACGGGGTTTCAGCCGGCTGATTTAAATTATTTCTTTAAATAGAGTAAAGCTTGAAATATGTCAGTTTTCCCTCTTTAGAATGTTTTTGTAAATAAGTTTTTATTGTAGTTTCCGTGGCGTATTCCCAATAAGCGTTAGAAACAAAGATATACACCCTTAATCCCGGTGCCGATAAATGTTGGGTTGTGTGGAACATGCTAACAAATCTCAGGTACGATATATGTTTGATTCTGGTTGAGAACAGCATGAGAGCAACATGATTGTTTTCATTGGAGATGAGACGCAAATATTCAAAGGGGTCAGGCAAACTCTAAACCAACCGCGTTTCCTTCACTGAGTCGCTTCAAAGGAGGCCCTGTCTGTCTACCTGTGGAATAACATGCATTTGTATCTGTTAAATTTGTGTGGTAGATAGATTGATATTATTTATATAACGTCTTACCCCAAACAAATTGCAAAAGAAACCATGAAGTTTCTGAGAGCGATATTTCGTAATTAGTGTGCTTTAATGGTGGGAGAATAAATAATTAAATTTTTCAAACACAAACTGGTCATATATAAAATAGCATTTTCTGACAAGACCAGCGATAATCTCGTAAGATATGACTTTTACTATGTCTATTAAATGGTTTTCGACGTCTCTTCAAGGTCACCGTCTTGCGCCAAAGTCGTGAATCGCACCGTCTGGGGATTTGTTGGGGCCTGTCTCCCCCAGAAAAATTTCTAGAAATTTCAAGTCGGTCTTGCCTGGACGTGAATACGGCAACCTGAAAGTGGTCGATTTTAATGTAGACATCTGAACTCCAATCAACAAATCAATCAACCAGGCTGTTGCATTCACATGACACCAGACGTGTCACCGATGAAACAAATATGCCTGAAACAAATGTCGCTGTTAGTGCGACCCATTTTTGACAATTTCAAGGTCCCAAATAATAGTCCTTTTTTACTATTAATAGTAATTCAATCAGTAAGTGCTATTTACCTTATAATAGTCGTCTTGGCTTTTACCCGACATTACACAAAACACCAATGGTAACTGTCGGGTGGTCTCTCCAGTCTTAATGAAGGCGTGGATGGAAAACAGCTGAGACCATGGCTTGTTCACCACCCGAAAAGTTGCATCCATATACCAAGTTTTTGCGCGTGCGAGTAGTTGCATCTGTCTATCAGTACAAAACATGTGATGGCGCCTTTCCCCAACTTTTACTCTTTTTTGATAAAATCCCGGTGCACTATGATCGATTAAATCTTCGTCAAGCTAAAACAAAAAATAAATAAAAAAGTACATTTAAGTACATGTTAATAAATAAATAAAATTGTACATTTAATTACATGTTAATAAATTCTTATATACATGGGTATTTAATTGTAATAAATAAAAAAGTACATTTAAGTACATGTTAATAAATAAATAAAATTGTACATTTAATTACATGTTAATAAATTCTTATATACATGGGTATTTAATTGCATGAGTACTTACGCTTGACGACACGTCAGTGGGATCTTTTGGTCGCAGAGTCTGTCGGGTTCTTTATAGCGACCTTACAAGTGCTGCAATGGGTGGTCTGCTATGAATGGGTTCTTCTGCAGAACCGACACTGGATAAAACTCTCTCCGCTATTGAGGAACATGCCTTGGTAAAAACATTTCCTTTGGCTTCATGCTTTGCCTGTAATGATAAGATAAAACATATTAAACTACAAATATATTATTGGTTTATTTATATTTTATTTATTTATTTATATATTAAATTCATTTATTATTATAGAGTTAACTAGGTTAACTAGAGTTAATTATGCAGAATTAATATAACACAACATACACAGATGGCAATAGAATGAGACAGTGTTCAGGAAAAGGGCGGAAACGGAAGAAGACTACCTGTCCTACTTGATTCTAGGACATAATTTAAAATTTACATTATAGCATGGACCTACTTGATTCGACCAATTTAATACAAGGAAATGAATGGCATAGTTTGTGTCAAGTGAATTTAGTGAACTTTAAACCCCATTTACTTGCCCCCTCTCTACAGAGATAAATACTTTTCGTGTTACATACAATAACAATTATTGGCCATTATTAAAAAAATATATTAAAAGGAAATGAAATTCTGTTACCTGTTTTTCTTTGTGTAGTACATGCTAACATCAATGACTGGAAAAAAAAATAACGAAACTGTAGAGAAACTTCTGAATCATTGAAAGTCTAATATTAGGCCTACACATTGATGACATTGATATAAAAAAAAGGCTGATTTGTTTGTTGTTGTTTTTTTCTTTTACAGAAATAAGATTACATTTCAACTAAACAACTAACACAAAAGTTAGTATCTAGCTATAGTCCATGTCTGGATATACATTTCTCCTTTTGCCCGAACAAAAATCAAAGATGGCGGCCAATAATTGCAACCGGGTATTACTATAAAATCAAGACAGATTCTTACCTGCTGGTCCTAGTCGGGGGTTTCTTGCAATTATAAGTATTTGAACAACGGTGTAGCGCCGATTAGCTAATAATAATTAAGCACGATTTCAGAAAAATTAAGACAGATTCATTAGATTGCTGAATTAGCGGAACACTTTTAGAACACATCAAAAAAAATTTCTTTGTGGCGCCATTATATGAATAGACTTCCGGTGCAGTCAGTGGCAGTAGTTCTAAATCTGACTGTTTTAAACGAAACGAATTATTATATACATAGAAGCAATATAGACATGCTAAATTAAATACACGGTTTTATTTTTTGTAAAAATTTACAAACCTGCGGTCTGGTATTCTATGTGACCATTATAATTTTTTTTAAAAATATCACGGCTAAAGCTGTTGATGCTAACTTCACTACATCTGTCTAACTGAATGTCGCTGATATAATATCAAAGAAAGAATTTGTCGCAATGACTAAAGTATAGATACTTCTTCTTAGTTAGTTGTATTTTACGTCCGCTTCCACCGAAGTGATATCGCAGACAAAAAGTATAGATAACTTGGAGAACCATTATATCAATAAGTCGATTATGAGATACACGTGGATGATCAATTAAATTTGATTGGTTACTTTTCAGTTAACCAATACTGTCCAATTTCGATTACATCAACCAATTACATTATTAAGAGTTTTACTCATTTTTTTTGTTCATTGTACATTGAATCAATTTTCGAAAACACCAGGGTGCTGAAAATCACATGTACACTATATATTCATTTGATCTATCAGTTTATTGGGTCAATAAAAAAGACAGACATTTTAACTATACAGACAACTTAACATCAATTAACATTCAAGTCTGTCTGGCAATTGTCTGATTAATTGGTACTCACACCCTTCCAGTGAAGAACAGCATGTGATTTTCGAGATGTGAATTAAGCCCTTTATTACTTTTCTTAAAACTTGACGACTCCCGAATTCAGACTTTGTATGGAGTTTTTTTTTAAAAAAGAAAACAAATCTTGGAAGGTACACATTACTTGTGTTAATGATATGAAAAAAACACAAGATTTTATAAATCGACACAAGTTTGTGTTAATGGAATGCAAAACAAAACATAACTTGTGTAGATTAGTTTTAACACAAGTACTTGTGTTGAGATCCAATACAAGTGTTTTTTCAGTGTAACATAACATACATTGAACAACCTAAACTGCGCTGTACTAAAATTAACCACTCTATAAACCTGGGTTCAGGGCCAAAATCCTTTTTTTTTTTACTTAAGTTTTATTCAATTTTCAATAGTTTTTCATTTATATACTAGCTATGATATATATATAACTGCGTGGATAAATAAATGAAAATATTAATCTTATATGTTGTTAAGATTTCTATGTTTAACATGAATACAACAGAAATGTAAAGCAATGGTTCATAAGGTATAGTATGCGTATCTAAATTCACATTCAAGGTTGTCTTCGATGACACAGAAAAAATATCGAAAGACCTGAATACTTAATTAATTGTGCGCCCAGGAGGAATTTATTACTGTCTGTATATCACAGTGGCACCTCCACAACTCACTACAGCGAAAAAAGTTCATGGCATGAGAAATGATCTGACGTCGATGAGACAGATTTCACGACAGTTGGTTCAACATCCCTAGACCATTCGTAGATGATTACGAAGATATCATCATACAATAGCGACGTAAAGGACCTCAACGTTCTGGTAGACCTTTCAGTAAGTATGTAAGAGAAGATGCAGCGCTTTCGAGACTCGTGCGAAGTCATCCTGTTGCGCCAAACACTATGCTGAAAAGGGAATGGTTACCCCACCACCACATATCCTACAGAACTGTTCGTAATCGGCTCTAATCGGCTAACGACCTATATTGTCACATCATGGATGACAAGGCTAGAGTACGCTGTGCGCTTGCCGTTTTTGATTTTCTGTGTCAGAAGGCCGTTACTACATTACCGTGGCCAACCAGAATCCATGGCATGAATCCAACTGAACATATTAGGATATTCAGAGGGATCTCCCAGCGCATAATCTTGACGATTTGAATCATGAACTTTACCAGGAACTAACACGAACTTAGAGCCACGTCTTATCCAGTCAAGGGTTCAAGGACGAGGAGGGTTCAACAGGTGATCGAGGCTGACGGTAGATTGGATAACCTGCTCGTATGTGTCTCTTCTTTCTGACTTGTTTTTGTCTTCGTTTGCTTTTTCAGTGTTTGCCGGAGGCAGCTCAAAATTGAACCTTCTAGAACGTAAAATAGCTAACATATCTGTTCAAACACTAACACTATAATCCCAATAGGGATGGTGCGATACTCTTTCTTTTTCTAAGTCAGAATGCGGAACTCCGTGTCTGTTATTCAGATTTTTTCCCTTCCTTTTAGACCCATTACACTTACATATAAACTAACTTTAAACTTAATACATTTGCATATTAACTCACTTTAGACCCATTACACTTACATATAAACTAACTTTAAATACACATACATATTAACTTACTTTTAGACCCATTACACTTACATATAAACTAACTTTAAATATACTTACATATTAACTCACTTTAGACCCATACACTTACATATAAACTAACTTAAATACACTTACATATTAACTCACTTTAGACCCATTACACTTACATATAAACTAACTTTAAATACACTTACATATAAACTAACTTTAAACTTATTACTATAAACTAACTTAAAACTTAATACACTTACATATCAACTCACTTTAAACTTAACACATTTGCATATTAACTCACTTTAAACTTATTACACTTTAAGATGAATATACTTACATGTAAACTAAATTTAAACTTAATACACTTACATATAAACTAACTTTAGACCCAATACCCTTACGTATAAACTTTAGACCTAATACACTTACATATAAACTTACTTTAAACTTATTACATATAAACTAACTTTAAGCATAATAAACTTACACAGAAACTAACTTTAAAATCAAAACATTTTAAGCTGAATATAAACTTACGTAAATCTCTGTTGAAAATTTTTATTCGCTCTACGTCATAGATCTGTTGTAAATCAACACACCACCAACCACTTACGTCTTCTACTGTATGGGAACAGGACATAGTTTCAAAAACAGAACTGGTATTACCATCTACAGCTAAAGATGCTACAGAGCTAAACTTCAAACCAACATGAAAATACGTAGAACTCTGGTTTGTTGGTTTACCAAGGGCAACGTTTGGAACTGAAAATCATAACTAAATTCACATAGGTAATCATTTAGGCGCAACATGCTTATTTTAATTTTTTGCGTACCAAACATCACAAAAAACAACAATGTTATGTGTCTCATATACTACTGACCCCATTAATTCGTTTTGGGGATTATCTAAAGATGCATTATTTAAGGTTTAGATAAAGCCATTTGGTGCTATAATAGTTCAACAATAGATAATGAAAAATGAATATATTGAAAATTTTGGTCAAAAACTTATTTTACCCATACAAACGTTACATGTTTTCATACAGTTCTGTCTATATTCCGTGGTGCCACATGATTGGCAGTTGGTACTGATATCCCTACATACGTTTAATGCTGTAAATATATTTAAATATCAGTGGTACCATAATTATCTGTTATATCATGTTATACATATTTCTGTTATATCATGTTATACATATATCTATTATACATATTTCTATTATACATAATCAACACACTTTTTATGGAATAACAACTACTATGCTTCATTACACTGCGACGTCTCAACAAGATTTCACAAGTCGTTATCAAGCATGTATACAAATGGATAAACAGAATCCTCTTCTTCTATTACTCCCAGAAAAGCCTGGCGCAATCCATCGGCTGTGTTTGGTCTCGGTACGACGTTACTAAGTCTCCTCTGAATTTCATCCCAAAGATGTTCAATCGGGTTTATGCTGGTCAGTGCATAACGTTGACACCGTTCTGCTGTAGAAAGTCCCAAGTAACTCTGGCGGTGTGGGCACGGGCGTTGTCATGCTGAAAAACGTTGTTTCGATGACGTGCGAAATGTGATATGACGTGGTTTCTGAGAGCTTGATCGATGTAGCGCACTGCTGTGATGTGCCTCCTCTCCCTGGAACAAGATTTGGGAACATCATAGGACCCACTCTCTGGTTCAGGACGATTCCACCCAAAATCATTATGCTTAGACCTCCCCATGAGTCTCGTTCCATGACGCATTGGTCAGAATAACGCTGGCCACGTCGACGCCATAATCTGGTTCTGCCATCTGCAGTTGATACGCAATACCGACTCTCATCTGTGAACAGAACAGTTCTCCATTGCCTGCGTCGCCATTTCTGGTGTTGTTGGGCTAACTGTAGACGTTCACGTCGATGGCAAGGGTTGAGGGTCGGTCCACGGTAAGGTCTACGGCAATGGGTGTTCTCTCTGGTGAGACTTCGGCGCACTGTAACGGTACTGTCTGACGTGTTGTCTCTGATGCCTGTGTGAAGGTATTTTGCACGTGCTGTCGTACAACATTGAGGTCTTGTTGCCTTGCGGTAACCATTGGTCTACCAGTTCGGGAGCGATCAACCGTGGTGTTGGTGGCCCGAAAGCGTTGCTGAAGCCTGTAGATAGTCCGAACATTAACCTGGAATTGATTGGCAACGGATTGGGAAGTGTGGTCAACGTCGAGTCTTCCAAGCACCTGGTTCATCTGACCTGCCGTGAGTCGTGGCATACTGCTGACGTTGTAGTGTGAATGAGTCAACGGTATGGGGTGCATTTTATGGGGCTGGTACCGGTGAACAGCGCGTGCAACATGAGTTGAAAATCATGGAGAACACATTACCATCTCAGAAGTCAGGTTGGGATCTTTCCTGAGACGTTGATAGGTTGAGGTATCTTTAAGTAGGTCTTCAACTTGGAGAGTAGATTGATTTTCTTCTTGTGTTGAATTTCGGTCACTTATCACATACTGTCTTGGTGAGGTAATCATTAGTGATATTGTTTTTGATTTTACTATCGTATAGTCTTTATAGTTTGTTTCAAGTTGTCATGTTTTGGTATTTTTTATATTCACTTGTTTATTTAGGCTGGTGTGAATTTTCTTCTTAATTTCATGGAATTTCTTGAGATCAACGAAGTTTTGAAGCTCTGTTTGTAGTTGGTTGATGTTAATGGAGTTTTGCTTTTTCGTTTCCGTAATTCTCTAAGTAAACATTTGCGGGCATATCAAATAATATTTGTTGCAGTTGAGTTCACTGGAGATATAACTATCTTTGGGTATTAGGTCACTGTTTTACATCTTAATATTATATCTCCATGAACACTTTATTTGATCTTTTTGGTTGTATATATTTAGCTAATCACAGTATATACGTTCATGTACTTTTGTTTCATAAATAGCGTGTGACAGTTACTCATGCGTTCAGTGTTCTTGCATTCTATTGGATACTTCGCTCTAGTGTTTGTATAATATATATATATATATATATATATATATATATATATATATATATTCTCGTTATATTTTATCTATTTGTGTATATGCTTGATAACGACTTGTGAAATCGTGTTAAAACGTCGCAATGTAATAAACCACAGTAGTTGTTATTCCATAAAAAGTGTGTTATTTGAATACTCTGTTATACATATATCTATCTATACTAATATCTGTGACTGTCGTTTGTTTTTCAGCCTTTTCTGTGTTGGCGGCTATATTAAGGCTGTCCCGAGGCTGAAATTTGGATAGCTGGGACGGAGGAGCAACATAGGCCTGGTCAGAGTCTTATATATAAGGCTCTGGGCCTAGTGGCGTTGGACTACCACTTCCAGTTTATGGTTTATACCCGTGCTACGTCGGGTCAACCGCTAGTTATATATATTTCTATTATATGATGTCATACATATTTCTATTAAACATATTTCTATTATACATGCTTCTATTATACATGCTTTTATTATTCCATTATACATATTTCCTACCGGTAATTTTGTGTGGTGAAATTTTCATGTTTGTCATATGATAGGCCGGGACTGAACTAAATTCAACAGATCACGGGAAAATAAAACTAGCATACAGTCTATCCTGTTCTTGGCTATTTGAATGGAAAACTAAGTACGCTATTGCGACTAGCTTGTAAAAAACAATGAATGAATGAATATGGGCCGTATATACGAAACGTAAATATTATTGTACATATATCTAACATCAGACTTACCTAATATATTAATAATTAATGATGATATAATTGTTACAACAGAAAACGTAATCATTGGCATATTGGATTCCTCTTTACACTACCTAAAATATATAAACTGTTATAAAGACAAAGTGAGAAACTAAACAATTATGTTTGTTTTTTTCTTTTATAGATATAGAAACCCCCTTCCCTTAATTAAATTTTTAATTAATGACAAAGATGTTCACCAGACTGTAAACGATACACAATTAAAAAAGATCTATGTAAAACTATAAAGATTTCCGCACGCCGACGATTATTTGACAGCGATTTTCTATCATCGACAAAAAATCACTGATCTGTCATAAATTATAAGCCCGATTAATGATTGTTCCCTACATGTTATCAAACATATGGACACTTCTGGCAGACAATCTATCTCACCGACAAACAATACGTTTTCGATGTAGGTTACTATTTTAGTTTTGTATAAAACTGTCATTGGGTAATGTTAGAAACCCCATATTTTGCATACTGGGAAAGTATTTTTTATCAGATGTTAAATCCCGTAGACCTAGTAATGTGAAACACAGAAACGTTAACTCGATCTATGCATTTATGTTAAGACCCGGTCCCACTGCACTTACGGATGCAAAGAGGATTTAAAACGGGGAAAAAAACGTGCCCTCCGTTTGAAAACGCCATGCATCCGTTGTGTACTCATTGCATACGTGTTTCATACGCTCTATCCATCGAGCATCCGTTCACTTTGATTTCATCCGCGCAAAAAGTTTTGAGCTGCACAAAAAATTTATAACGGATGAACTTTCTGCCGTCTACGATATAAATGCGCGACATCTACGAGCACAAAACGTTCCATGTCCGTTATCATCCGTTAAACGTCCACTGTATCCTCTCTGCATCCTCTGGGCATCCTCGCAAGTCACATCTGCTCCAGCTGAAAACGGAAAGAGGGAGGAAAGATAAGGTACATGGAACGTCTATACATCGTAAGTAGCACGGAAATAGAAAGGATGTAAGCGTATGCATCTCATATATAAAGTTTTCAAAACGGACAAAGGGTTTGTATCTGGGATGTATATGGTATATTGAAGGATGTCTGGAGTTTGCCGGAGCTGTCATCCACTTCCATCCGCTACGCTTCCGATGAACATCCATTTAACATCCCCGCTACATACTTCCCACGTTCGTTCTTTTGCGTTCTGTTTTCGCAAATTTTCGTCAATTTTGTCCATTTCTGGAGCGGATGGAGCCACACCCGAAAGTTTGCTCGTCCGCTGTGTCCTTTTTGCATACGTTTTGTGTCCATCGGCCACTAGGACCGGGCCTTTAGGCCTATTGGGGTAGATTATAGTTCAGCGCTTGCGCGTAGGGGTCTAGCTGTGGTGTTGGATAAAACCCACAAGGTTGGATATGCGAACCAATTCCTTGTCGCGAACTAGCGGGTCGATTGAAACAACGCTACTTGACTTAATGGCACCACAACACACTCCCACACCCACACACACACCATATTCCCTAGAACAGTGATGCGACATGGTCTACTGATCATTACAATGTAGTGTAACGAACATCGCATTTAATTGAGTATTTCGTGTTTATATGTGTATACAATATAGGCTATATATATTTTCTCATTGAAGGAAGTAATTTGATGCATGTCTGCTGCAATATGAGTTCATCTATTGCCCGGGCTTCCGTCATCTTCTAGGTCGGCCAATTATTCATTAATTGTGTTTCGGTATTTGTATCCAGCTCAGTGGTCCACGTTTACTTTGTCATGGTTCCAGTCCAAAAAGAATATTTTGCTAGCTGGACTTAGTAGTCACATCACGCTATACATGACCATTTCTTTACGTAAAATGAGGTGAGTGTGATGTGACTTGTAATAGTTTTTCTTGATCACCCAATGTACCAAATGTATATACATTGTATCAAGAAGTCGTTGACTATATATTTTCAAAACAAATTTATAGTAAAAAAAAGCCCCCCCCCCCCCCCAAAAAAAAACCAACAAAAAAAACCCCCACTTACCGACGTCTTTAATGATGAAAACTGCTTTATGAATTGTAGCCCTTTTTGCAAGGAGGAAGTAAAATAAACTAGTTCTATGTGTGCAATAATGGTAAAGTCAAGGTCGCGAGATATAAATCGGTAGGGTTAGCGCTAGCCCTAGCCAAGAAACCAGTTATGGCATGGGGGCACGTAGCCAGCTCGTAAAATTTGGTGGGGCTATGGAATATTTCGGAGGGGCGGAGGATGTGGCCGGCTTAGTAACCGGCCACAGCGAAGCGCGAGCCAGGGCGGGGGATCTTGGGGTCCTCCCCTAGAAAATTTTGAAATTTGGTGCTCTCTCCTCGCATCTGAGGACATTCCTGGGCCTCAAATTGAAGTGCCTTAGGCAGGGTTTTATGGCTGAATTTTCTGAAATTTCCTTCTTCAACTCCTCCCGCCGATATCATCTTGGGGGTAGCAGAGAGTGTATTTTTGATTTACGCGGAGAACTCTAGGCCGGGCAATACAGCTGTAGTATCAAATTTCAAGTGAACTACAGTATAGATATTCCATTATTTTCTTCATAGAATTACAGTATAGGCTGAACAATAGGCACCTACATTTCAGGCGCCCGTAGGCACCCTACATCAGGTGTAGGCAAATACAAACATTTGAACCGGCGCCTTGTAGGCGAACAAATAAACCAGGGCCTCTTTTAAACCCATAACCCGGATGTAAAAGGGCAGGTCCAAGGAAAATGGCGATAAATTATGCAGCCTCTGGTACCTTCAAGAGCTCGAGCTAATTTTGAACTATTGCTTCTTCCCGTAACAGTAGTTATGTACGTATGGTATCAAGACAAGAGGATCAAGGCCTCAGTGGACCCATGTTCCTAAAGCAACGACCGCGAATTTTACAACATCTGCTAAGACGTACGTAGTTAAGGCGAGATCAAGCCTTCTATTGAAGATGCGGTGGACCATGCTACGAGCCTACGGGTCGCCTACCAATTTGAACACGCAGGCCTGCGAGGGGAGGGGTGCAAATCTTACCAATTATCTATATAAAAAAACCCATAAGTAACTACATTTCGGACAATTTTCTCTTTGAAAAGTAAAAATATCACGTAGTACGCATGTGTCCACAGCTGTTAGACTTGGCATTATTGCAAGTTGCCATAATTAATGTCAAGTATTGCAAGCCTACCCAATTGGCCCGGTAGTCTTAATTTATTAAATAAGTAAACAAGACAAACATTAGAAATTATTTACAAATATTTCATAAGATCCGTACTTGAATACGCTTGTAAATCGTGGGATTGTTGTAATGTATCTGATCGCGATAAACTTGAAAAAATTCAACTTGAGGCAGCTAGAATTATTACAGGACTCCTGATATACTCAAGTAAAGAATCTTTATATTATAAAACTGGCTTAGTTAAATTATCAGAACGTCGCAGGATAAGAAGACTGTCTCTTTTCCACAAAATTATATATAACAATTCTCCACACTATCTTACAGATAAATTAACCGAGCTTTACACGGCAAAGCATAATTATAACCTACGTAACAATGCTGATATCCCCGTTCCTTTTTGCAAATCCCCATTATATCAAAAGTCATTTATCCCCCAAACAGTAAAAGACTGGAACAACTTACACGAATCTATAAAAACAATTCCTGATATAAAACACTTTAAATCTAAATTAAATAGTACCAACAATGACAATGTAGCGCCCAGTTTTTTTTTTCAAATTGGTAACAGTAACGAAAATATTATACATACTAGAATGCGTCACCAGTGTAGTTCGTTAAATTCAGACCTCCATAAATTTAAATTGGTTAATAGCCCTCAGTGTAATTGTGGAGATCCAAATGAAAACGCAAACCATTTTTTTTTTTTTTTACAGTGTAACCAATTTAATAGTGAAAGAGCAAAATTATTTGAATCCCTGACCTTCTTACCTACGATTAATGTGCACACCCTATTGTGGGGAGACAGCAATTTACCCAACCACCTAAACAACTCATTGTTCCAAAAAGTGTGTTCATATATAAAAGCAACTAAACGTTTTAAATGTTGTTTGTAAGTTGTGTTCATTTGCACCCTGTACATTTCTGTTTGTTTGTTTATTTGTCTGTTATTTATTATGTATATTAGATCTGTATTGTTACACAATTTCTGAATATGGAAAGGCCGTTTGTAAGTTTTAATAACTTTTGTCCAATCCAATTGTATCAAGAATTATTTTTGTTGATGCAATAAAATATGTTTAACACAGCAAAATATATGTAAATAAATAAAAACTATAGAAATAAATATTTATGCTAATAATAAACCGCCGGTCTGTTGAAAAGCTATGAAAAGATGGAAAAAGGTTTCACCCAAGTTTCGCACATAAGGAACCGGATACATGAAACCCAACGCACGGTACCAAGGCTACCTGTTCTCCAAATCTCAAGTAAAATAAGAACGAGCTTATAAATAAAGGGGTATAACTCTTCTAATTTTTTGATTATCCCCCTTGTCCTAGTTTTTAACTTTTAGAGATAGAATTCGGTACTCGCTAAAAATTGGGACGGGCACTCTTGTTTATATGTCAAAATGTAAAATTTTGCAGATTATTGCATGTTTATCCTTGTAAATATTTTTGGATATGGTTTTCTGAAGTTGTATTGACTATGCTTAGCAATGGACATTAGTGAGGATAATGTGCAAATGCTCCTCAGCATGGGGTTTCCCTCTGAGTCTGAGATTCGGAGAGCACTCCGCATGGCCAAAAATGATTTGAATGATGCAGTTGCGTATCTCACTAATGACCACCCGGTTGTTTCTTACGACACTTTGGATGATGTTGATGTAGAAATGAAAGAAGTTGTGTCAAGAAGTTCTTCAGGTCCTCTATATGGTCCACATCTTCCACCTACTTATGATGAAGCAGTCGATGCTGAGGTATCCATCTTTGAAATAGGCCTACTATAATAATAATGATAATGTAGCAAAAATTAGTCTGTGTTACTCCCTTAATAGTTCATATCTAGTCATTCATATATGTCTACCCAATAATACTTACTGGTCATTTAAGTGTCACCACACATGGATTACTAAATGCATTTTTGCAGGTCTAAAGGGTTCGGACTTACATGACGGTTCGGACTTACTCTTGCTGTAATACATGTGTTCAAAAATAGATGATAAACAATCAAAAGAGACAAAGTCTTGATTATCCATTTTATTGTTAAACTTTTAAATGACAACATTATAAGTTCTACTCAAATTAAAATAAGAGCCATCTGATGGCCCAGAGAGATGATTATGGGCCTGTTAAGTTTTAAAATAAATGTTCAGATAATAATTTTTGAAGCCAGAAAAAGGACATGCAATAGGCAGCTTTAGCTTTTACATAATGCATCTTAAGATTATAATAAATAGACTTCCTATCCAATATAAAAGTTCTTTATCCAATTAATTGAATAATTAATAGATTTGGGAATGACTTTTAGATCTACATCTATTACCATAATAAACAAATGTAACAAAACTCTAAACTTACAGTATGATGGAGGCAATGTTAATGGTGATAGTCACAATATGTCTGTATCAGCAATGGATGAGAGTGATAACATGGAATTCCCAGTAACCAATCTGTATGAATTAGAGGGCAGAGTTTTTACAGAAACTTGGAATATTCCATATAAGAAAGAAGAAAGCCTGGGAAAATGTCTGATATCTGCAGCTAAATTGGCTGAGGCTGGTATGTTATTAATACATTAAATTAATCTTCAGTTTTACAATTCACAATTTTTTCCATTACAGTTCATGTCCAGAAATAAATAATCCATTTTACAATGTATTTCTATTGCATTACGGTAATGTACTGTTATGGTATGTGTACATTGTTATTTCAAGACATTTATTATTACAACCTAGTTTAAGAAAGGTTCATGTAAATTTTTAAAAGCTTTAAGTACTGGTACATGTATGTGCTTGTAACTTTCAGTATGTGTAAGGCAGGGTTGTAAAAATCTACTAGCCCGATGTCCGGGGCTACCAAAAATAACTTACGGGCTAGTGATCTATTTAGCCGTACTAGTCATGGGCTAGTGCCCTTTCACCGGTTTGTGAATTAAACTACATGTAGTGACGATATGGATAAATAAGCTGTAAAACATCCCACATTTATTTCTCAAATTCTAAAAAAAAACTCAATCATAACAATAGATTTTCTGTAGTAAAACTTAGAGCCGTATGGACAATTTTTGTACCCCTTCTATTCATTCATTCTTGACATTTCATTTCTCCATCTTGCACGCTTTGACAGGTCACGTATAAACCAGTTGAAATCAGGTTGATTTAAAAACAAAAGACTCACTTATACTTTATATTAGATTAGTTCTGACATAAATATTTGAAAGCATACCTTTGTATTTTTAAATACAAGATAATTTTGATTATTTAACATGTCAGGTATTTCCAAAGAATTTACTACAGGTGTTCATTACACACACGCCATGATGAATGGTTCCAGTGACCCGTGTGTCATCAACTTTGACCCTATCGGCACGCAGCATGGCACTTAAGTGATAATATAAGCAATTTTACTATCCTGTCTATTTTAATATTATATCAGCACATCAAACTGATTTGTTTCATTTTGAGACTCTTTATAGAGTGACCAGGTAAATAAATACAATACAGTAAAACAATTAATTTGTCAATCAGTCGAGGCTATCCTGTGCTTTGCAGTAAGTGCTAATAATAAGTAACATATACAAATCTTCGAGTGGGAAATAAAGGACATTAATTTACCGTGATATATTATAAATGACATGTGCTATATAAAGTATTTATATGGTCTTTAGTGAAAGAAAACATTGTTGTGGCTACCATTCCTGGTTTTGAAGGTCAGATATGAAATGAAAACGAATATCGAATTGTAGTTTTTTGAACCGTTTCACCAGTGCAACCGAACCATGACCAGTTAACCGAGTAGCGTACACATCCTTGATTATTAGGCAATCAAGTCTATGATCTTTATTAAAAACAATAGGTTGGCAGGCAACAAAACATATTCCAAAATATTGAAGATTAAATCTTGTACCTTGTCAAACTATGGACTAGTGGATATTAATGTCGGGCTAGTGCCTGACAGTAGACTACTAGCCCTGGGCTAGTGGATTCAAAAACATTTTTACGCCCCTGGTGTAAGGACATGGTTGATAAATTACTGTCATATTATTATTATCCAGAAAAGGATTCAGGCAACCTTTTCTTTATGACTGCTGTAGGTGTATGTTTCAGTATACGTGTATATGATATATATATATTACAGGCCTGGCAGATAATGATGAAAATTGTTTCCGCTTTATGGACAAATGTATGCCAGAGGCATTTTCTAAGGTAAATGGGTATACTATATAGTGTTTGTTTAAATAAAGCCTTAATGCACCAGAAACATGGTCATTTTTCTTGTTTAAATGAAATAAACAATTTTTTAATAAATCAATTTTATCTATTGTCTGTTTTCTGGAATTAGTGAAATAGACTGATATACTGCCATATAATTAGCAATTGCATTGATTTATATTTATGTTATAGCTGTTAACATCTGCAGCAGTTCATAAATGGGGTAGTGAAATACAAGAAGGTATATTTGATATGTTAAATTTGTTGATTGATTTGGTTGTGGCACGACTTAAACAACAACCTGTACCCGTTGGGTTATTGGATGTCTTGACATTGGTAAGTTTGAGATAGTTTTCATTTCTGTGTGTGCAATGCAATGCATGAGAATTTTGTGTATAGATCTGTGTATATAGGGGGACTGTGATCTTTTTCTAAACAGGATGTTAAACCCCATTTCATTTCATTTTGGTTAGCATGCTGTATCATAAGGTCTGTCATTGAGTCAACTGGCATGGTTTTGATTCCCCTGTTGTACCTGACATGGAGTAGGGTCACCTGTCAAACCTCGTGGGTTTCTCTGGGTGGTCCGGTTTCCTCCCACTGCTAAAGACCCCAACATGCTAGTCCCGAAATGACCTAGTTTGTGTCGAGTGGACATTAAAAACATTTCTCTCTCTCTTTCATTTCATTGTTTTCCCAAAGAACTAGGCAGACTTCCTTAGTCTGCTTCTCAACACTAAATATGCTTTTATTTGCATTATTCGGTTGTATATCTATGTTGGAAGGTGAAAGCATTGACATCCTTCCACATTACAGGCAATCTTATATTGTCCATCTCGGACTACAGGTATTATTAGGATTAAATATATACATAGACTTTTCATATTACTTGCAGGCTTTTGATCCAGAAACAGAGTTTCATTATAAGAATCGAGCTAGACGAGATACACATGGTGGTTGGGAAGATAAATTTGAAGATGGAGAACCTGTGGCTGTTATACCTATTGGCAGTTATAAATCTGTACGTCGCATTTGTAATTATTACAAGAGATTTGTTACATGTCAAAATATTAAACAATTACTGGAATTAAGGAAATAAAATTTACAATCTTCTGAAGTTAAGTAAAAAAAAAATGCATTCTAAATAGAATAGGTTTTAACAAATATCTCTTAAACCCCAATATTTCTTCACAGTTGACTTTTATTACATTTGAATAAAGATTTGGGAATATATGTATGTTATACTGTACGATACCATACAGTATATGTGGAAAATTTGAATATTTGCTTTTAACCAACACTTGTAAACTATTTTCAGCAGAACCCCTATGGTTGGTTAACACATCTTGTCAACAGAGTAAGTAAACTATATGCTAATAAAAATATTAGTATGAATATTTCTGATCATACATATGCAGTAATTAATAAATGAAAATAAAAACAATAGTATAAATATTTCTGACATAACATATACAGTAATAAATGAAAATAAAAAGAATTGATTAATATATCCCTCTATATACTATATTAATTCTTTGTGCTATTTTAGAGTTAAGTAACATAGGAAAACTAATTTTTCTCAAGTTAGCTTTGAAATTATCATGTTGATTTATTTTCTATTTATTTTATGGTTAATCAAGAAAATGATATATGAAATGATATTTCATAAAAGGTTGATTAATTTCATTAACTTTATCTCGTTTGTTTTAGTTTGCTTCAAAAGGAGGATTGGAATTGGTTATAAAGATTTTGGAAAATGATGAATTAGATGCTCCTGTAAGTTATATTATACCTCTCTGGTTGAAAAACATGTGGCGATAATGAAGTTTACAAGTACATACAAAATGTGTAGCGATAATGAAGTTTACAAGTGCATGCAAGTGCATACAAAATGTGTGGCGATAATGAAGTTTACAAGTGCATACAAGTGCATACGAAATATGTGGTGATATTGATGTATACAAGTGCCTATAAACATATTTTCAGTTTTTTTGTTAACAGTCCGCTTTCTAAGGCCACACCATAATTTGATTATCTGTTCTTCGAGAAGACCTGTAAGAAAAACCTATCATATCTATTTCTTTGGGAAAAAGACTTATTTAAAAACCAAAAGAACTTTGTTGTGCTGTTCAATAACTATTAGTTCCAAATATTTTAAGTTTTGAAATCTTAAACAAAACATCTTTCAAGTGATTACAATCTGATTAAAACACAGATCTTATTTCGTTTCATTTTTATAGTTCAAAATTTCGATTTTACTTGTCTTTACTACACTTGGATCTGGAAGCGTTATTATTTAACTCAAATGGTCTGTCGAATCGAGCGTTTGACCTTTTTTGCGCGGAACTGTGGGTAGACATTAGCGACAATAGAAATCAAAACAAAGCAAAAGTAGATAAAAAAATAAATGGTGGTCGCTAATTGGTAAATCGAATGACTGACGTAATCGGGTCAAATGTCGCTTGCTTGGTACCTGATGTCATAGAACGTGAACTCCCACTATAACTTGTTAGATCTACATGTAGTGTAGGCCATCAAAAGTATAAAAAACGAAACGAAATATAGATCTATATTTTAATTAGATTGAAGTGATTACAGTGGCTACTTATCAAGACCCCGAAGAACAAAAAATCAAATTGGTGTGGCCTAAGTGTTTATTATATATTATTATGCCCAGAATTACTGTGGACTTACGCTTTTTGTTGTCTTTATCTGTTTGTCTGTTGTCCCTTCAACTAAGCAGGGATAGTTCATATGGTCATAGAGAAAAACCCTATTGAAATATTTAGAGCTGTAATTGCTGTGTTATCTTCCCATTAATGTTAAAACTTATAAAATTTTGTTACAGGACTGAGATTTTAATGTAGTGTTTTGAAAACCGAATGGGAATGTTCATTAGGGCATATCGAAGAACCTTATGGAATTTCAAAATTTTTGGATCGATCATTTTTAACACGTATCTTGGAGTTATCTTTTCATTCATGTTGTTATTTTTGTATTCGCATCTTGTTAGAGTTAGCTTATTGGATACTTTTTAACACTTTGATACTTATTACTTTATAGGTGATGGCTTCATTGTTAAAACCATTTGGTATTTGTTCTGATTTTCTTAACTCTCAGTTATTAAAAAATTTATTGGGACCAGGAATGGATAGAGCTAATAAATATGTGAAAGGATTAGAAGAAAAAGATTTAAAAGAAAAGGTAATATATTTTTCTATCTGTAAAAAATAATTGCAGTCACTAAAATATGTCTGTTCTAGTGAAGGTGGGGAATATGATGTCATGTTCAATGTACCTTGCACAAGAATTGAATAAACTAGTGGGTAGTCGCTGTGTTCAATGTACCTTGCACAAGAATTGATTAAACTAGTGGGTAGTTGCTGTGACTCAGTGATTAAGGCTATGGCTTGTTAACCAGGAGGTCTTGGTTCAGTCCTTGTTTGGCTGAGAAAGTTCCTTGTGATTTTCCTACTTGGTTTCCTCTTGTTGGTGGTGCCGGACAGGGGGTCTGGCAAGGAACAGTCTGTGGACGTTCGGATGGGATGATTATAGCAAGATCGACAAGCTCTTTATCTAAATCTTAGATAATGCATCTTTATGGAACTTATAAATTGTTGAATGTACCTGAACATGTTTGTGTTTTGTTTTGTAGAAAATTGGTAGTGTATCCAATCTATTGGCTTCAATGAAGTTATTGTGTTTAAATATGTGGCAACAAAATGTTGATGCTATAGATGAACTGCGTCTAGAGGTAGCACTTAGAATGTTAAAATCTCCAAACTTTAATGCCAAGATGAATTCATTAAAAGAGGTAAATAAAAAGTTTATTAATCATGATAGTAAAAGTTTTATTTGTTTGCAGTTGATCAGTACAATTTACAATTCAATATGAGCTACTTTTGAAGAATTTCAGAATATGGTTCCCCATACAATTAATTTAATGATTGATTTTTACTCCATTGCACTGTACATTGAAGAAATAGTCCAAGAGTTTGAGGGAGGTAACTCTGTTTGATTGTGCTTGACACAATATTGTCTCCCTTTAAAATGCGGATTGAATTGCATGATAAATAATGAATAAACCTTTTGTTTCTAGGTGACCAAATTGATCGAAGAATCAACTAGTTCAAAAATATCTAAAACAGCCATTTTAACAGACAAAATCTTAGATTGGTTGGTAGAAAATAAGATATTATCAATAGCTCTTGAAGGTATGTATTTATTATGTATACTACTTCACAAAAGAGAAAGAGAGAGAAATGGGGTTTAACGTCCACTCGACACAAACTAGGTCATTTCGGGACTAACATATGGTTTAATTTTATTTCAATAATTCGCATGCGCGTAGGGGTCTTTAGCAGTGGGAGGAAACCGGAGGACCCGGAGAAAACCCACGAGGTTGGACAGGCGACCCTACTCCTTGTCACGTACAACCGGGGATTCGAAACCACGCCAGTTGACTCAATGACAGGTCTTATGATACAGTGCGCATGTGCTAACCATTCGGCCATCCAACCCCCCACTACTTCACAACTAAAACTAAAACATAGTTATAAAAAAAGTAGAGGATATTCAGAAACAATACAAAACTGCGGAAATGCACTGCTGTTTTTATTAGAGGTAAACAGTGTATGTTAATAACAGACCAATTGCCTACACATGAACATAAACAGTTCAAATGGGCGGCTTATCTGACGGCCCCATTTCACTCGCAAAGAAATACACTGTCAAAAGTGAAAATGGACGTTTTTAATTTTTGTCTTAATAATGAGCAATTGCTCCACCAATCCTCAGACATTCAGCAATTCGTCGTGGCATGCTCCTAATCAACCGTCCAATCATGATTTGGGGCAATCTGACCCACTCCTCTTGCAGTGTTATCGGTTGACGTCAGCGAACAGGTCTCCCGATCAAATTAAATGTAACTCACTTAAGCAAAGATACGCTAAACAATAAATCGTATGCAAGAACTGATAGGAAAGCAAACATGGATAGGATAAACCCCTCCCACGTGTATGGTGCTATTGCGTGTCGCACATGCAGCTCAGTGTTTCTTTTGGGGCGATAAGTTCTTCATCTGTGAACATACTCTCAACGCATGTCAATTGTCCATGACTATTTATCATATCACAATCTGCATAGGTAATTGTATTTCAATGTCCCCTACTTTTTTTGAAGAGTATATTAATCAAAACCAGTCCACTCTTAACTCAGAGCTACCATGGATTGAAAGGCCTTGTTTATGATTATCAAGTCTTATATCGTTCATGAATAATAGGTGACATACTGGAGTATTTATTTCTGCTTATATCGAAGTCCAGGGCTGGCCACAAAGAAAATAATGGCAAGCAATTAAGCACTCACGCAAAATTAACATTGCGCAAGTATGGGTAGTGGTTAATTTTACTTACACAAATTCACATACCAATAAAGACAAGAAATTGTATGTGGAATAATATAGTTGTTTAATCGGTAACAAAATGAATGAGTGAAACACCATTACATAGAGCTTTAACTTTGAATGGCTTCTGATTCAAACTGTTAATTAGTTTGTTGTTATCCACTTGTATATAGCCTTCTGTAACATGTTTGATTGTATCATTGCTTGATAACGGTGAGAGTATCCTCATTGAAACGTTGCAGTTAATAAACCTAGTGAATGTTATCCATAAAACTGTCTATTTACCATTACATATGGACTATAATACACTGTAATAAGGACAGTATTACCTTAATATTATTTTGTACACATTTTAATCTATTCCGGTTAAGTTTTTGCAAATGGTGAATGTGTTGTCTTGGCAACGATTACCACAAAACGAAAACCACAAATTCATCTTGATTAAAAAATCTATTTTACTGGAATTCCCCTGTAGCCCATGGCTATAATTAAAACAGTGACCTCACAGATGTTTTTTTATTGGTCAATATATATTAAAAAGTAATGTAAATGTGGCGTACAACACATAGATTGACAGCATTGTAATCTCAGGCCAACATGTGTGTACAGCTGCAGGGACAATTGAACAATGAATCTTTCAGTTTCACAGCATCTGTTTTGTAAAAACGATAAATATTGACCCAAAAAGTCACAAGTTTGGTAACAATTATCCATTGAACGATGTCCGCAGGTATCTGTCTACTGTAAGTTTTGTGGGTGCACGACTGATCGCGCTCACATCTCGTGGCAAGTCCTGATGTCAAGAGATTACTTAATCTACGTATAATAAAACAAATTGGTTCTATTTCAAAATTGTGTGTTCATCATCTTTCCATTGAAAGTTTAGTGCATATGCCTTTTGTAAATGTATTAAAACAGATTTGAACATATATCAATGGTATCCACCAGTCAGCATAACCTTCATTATGCACAACATCTGTAAATTGATATTTTATTAGGCATTTCATTTTTTGTTCATTTTTTATATTTTTAAGATTTATTTTGTTTTTCAGGGAACATTGACCAAGCTCAATACTGTGATAAAATCAAGAACATTGTAGATTTTTTAGGAAGTAAATTATCAGTAGATGAATTAACCATGATTTGGAAAATGCAGGTAAGTGATTAGATTGGATAGAAGTGTTATAAACATATTTTAAAAATGCTTAAAATGGGTTTCAAATCACACATAAATCTGTTATTGTCCGAAATTCCATCGTTCCCTGATTATAATAAAATAAAGTGCTTTATAACAACAGAGTTGTTTTTTATAAGCCCTCATTGAAATGTGGTCGTATATTGGCGTCGTGTCCGTCCGTCGGTCCGGCGTCCACAATTGCTTATGGACGCTCTAGAGGCGAAAGTTAATATCCGATTGACTTTAAATTTATACACAGTATTTGAGGTAAGAGATAAAGAATGATATTGATTTTCAACGATTTCCGATAATTACTGCCAAAGTTATGGCTCTTGATCACTTTGAAAAATCTTGTGATGCTCTAGAAGCTAAAGTTATCATCCGATTGACTTCAGATTGATACACAGAGTTTAAGATCTTGAGATGATCAAGTATATTGATTTTCAATGAATTTTTATGAATTGAACAGCTAAATCCATGATGTTACAATTTTCGTATACTAAACGTTAGCATGGGGCAGAACTTTATAAAAACCAAACAAATTCTAATGGTTTTCTGATAATTACTTAATGAGTTGTTACTCTTAATCAGATTTTAATGGATTATAAATGTTTCAGTATCGAAAAAAGTAACTCTTTGTTGACTGCCCGGATGATTTAGCTGCTGTGGGCATATGTTTCGTTGCCTGGCAACCTATCTTTCTCAATTATTGCTAAATGTTTTTAAATGTTGTAAACCCACTGTTGTTTAATAGGTGCTTGAATCTGATGAATTTGTTACTCTTTTTAGTGGGTTTGGATGGCTGATTGATTATCATATGTGTGTTGTATCATAAGATCTGTCATTAAGTCAACTGGCATGGTTTCGATTCCCCGGTTGTACGTGACAAGGAGTAGAGTCACCTGTCTAACCTTGTGGGCTTTCTCCAGGTACTCTGGTTTCCTCCCACTGCTCAAGATCCCTATGCGCAAGTGAATTATTGAAATAATATTTAACCATATGTTAGTCCTGAAATGACCTATTTTGTGTGGAGTGGACATTAAACCCCATTTCTCTCTCCCTCTCTCTCCACTCTTTTTATTATAGTGACAAGCCAAATGATTTTGTTTTTTCTGTTAATTTGAAGAACCATATCTTCTAAGAATTTTGTTTTAGGTATGGAAAATATAACCTACTTAGCCCTTAATGCCCCTTAAGGAGCGTACTTTTAAATAATCTTTACAATTAATAATTCCAGAATGGCCAGACTAATAATGTGATAGATAATATACATTCTATAGTAGCTGCTGCAGCGGTTAAATTTGATCCACAACAATTAGAACATCTATTTTTACTAATACAAAAGGTAATTAAAAGTAGCTACACCTCTTTGATGTAGGTCAATAGGGTTGAATTAATCTGATGTGTTATTTACATCTGTAATTAGATAAGCACAATACGATTAAATTAAATTTCGAAAGATTTAGCTGAAGTGGTCTTATTTACAAATTTAATTTCATTTTTGGCTTTCTGCGATCACTTATATCTCAACACTGACTTATCCATAGTTGTAAAATTTTAAATTTTAAAAAGATTGTCTTCCACAGAACATATCAACACATACGATAAATTTTAAGTCATGTAAATTGTATGTTTTGTCCCGAATGGATTAGAGTTCAAAGAAAAATTAGTAATATTACAAGAATCCTTTTATAATTAGTAAATATAGCAACAATCTTTTATAATTTGTAAATATAGCAACAATCATCTGTAATTAGTAAATACAACAGCAATCATTTATGATTAAATTTAGCAACAATCATCTATAATAGTAAATACAGCAGCAATCATTTAAAATTAGTAAATATATATACATGTATAGCAACAATCATGTATGATTCTATGATTCTATTTTGTAATAGAGTGAAGAATGCATCAGTTTTATTGAAATAGGCATAGTTATTTTACTGCACGAACTGTAGAGATGACACATGTTTTGTATATATTTTGTTAGAAATGGCAAGATGATAGTAATAGAATGAGAGAGAAATTACTGAGTTTAATTGGTAAAATAGGAAAAGATGCCAGACTTTCTAAAACAACGACTAGAGTAAGTAGAATGCATATGATGGTTTATATAGTGTGAGGGATATTTTAAATATAAAGATATGAAGATATTGATGTGGCTGCAGAAGGACACTGGAATCTCGACAAGAATATCCTGGGTTTGCATCCTGGCGTGAACCGAGAAAAACCATCAAGATTTGTCAAGTTCTTTCTTGTTAGTGCTGGCGCTTGCAGGACTGACAAGGAATGTGCGACTTGTCATTCAGATGGGACAAAATACTGTGGAACACCTGTATACAAATACTTCATAGTTCAATTTCAATGAAGAATAATGAAAAATGGCTCTCTCTCTAGGCAAACTTACTCTGCACCCTTACATTGTACATAAACTGTTAAAATGAGAAAATATTATCTGTTAGTCTCAAGATGACCAAATTATGGTATTGACGAGACATTATATCTGATATATTATTATGTATTTTAAAGATACATTATGGGAGATTCGATAACGAGTTGGCAGTTCTCTTTATTATAGTTAAAAACTAGATAATGTAAAGGCAATTTACTGAAAATTTCATTCAAATTGATCCATAATGAATCTAGAACTAAGCGATTGAAATTTCCATCTAGCCTCGATCATCATTACTAAAGTCAGTACGATAAACAGCATAGTCTCGATTATCCGTTAAATCGTGAAGGAAAGTTATGCAGTAAATCGGCTCATAATCCACTAAAGATCGCAGGCTAGCGATGCCATCTAGAGTTGATTATGGTCTGGATAGGTTAATTAATGTCTAATTATATAAATAATTTAGATAACATTTCAGGCCTAAAGAAAGACCTGCAGTAAACAAATTTGGCTCATGCATAATGTATGTTTAATATATTAGATGTTTTTAAGTTTATGTATTTTGTTATAGGTGTTAGAGTTATTATGGGATTTAGCCCACTTACCTGTTTTATCAACACATCTAATAGAACAAGCTTTAGATGAACATCATGCTATACTCAGTGATTCATATAGTGTTAAAGAACAAGTTAAATTACAATATGTTAATAAATGTGTAGAAGATATTAAAAAGGTATTATATTATTTACATAAAACATCTTATTTATCATTTTTTGTAATTAATTCTTTACATGTTATTGACAATATTGTTGATCATATTACATTTATTTTCTAATTTCTGGGGAAAAAAAGCAGTAATAAATTTGGTGGTACAATTTTATTACATTTGGAATAAAATGTAATCATGATCTCTACCATTAAAGATGTCTTCCTTTGAGAATATAGGTATTAATTACACTACACTCTGTTGAGTAGGGGGGTTTGGATGGCAGAATGGTTAGCACGTGCACACTGTATCATAAGTTCTGTCATTGAGTCAACTGGTGTGGTTTCAAATCCCCGGTTGTACATGACAAGAAGTAGGTCGCCTGTCAAACCTCGTGGGTTTCTCCGGGTTCTCTGGTTTCCTCCCACTGCTAAAGACCTGTATGTGCAAGCGAATTAGTCCCGAAATGACCTAGTTTTTGTCAAGTGGACGTTAAACCCCATTTCTCTCTATCTTTCTTCTGTTGAATATATACTCAGATTGATTATTTAACATTTTTTATTAAGAAAACAAAATCAAAATACCAATCAATTTGATTCACAGCAAATAAACGGAGAAGCATAGATCGAGGGAATTTTCAAATTGTCATATCTTTGTAAATACTAAACAGAATTCCATCATTTTTGAACTGATATTACCATTCAAGATTCAACATTCCTCAATATTGTACTTTGCAAGAGTCTTGCGTCTTTTGTTTCATTTTCCCAATCACTGAAAGTGTTATGCTTTTAGATAAAAATATTTTGGTGGGTGATACGGAAGCGTATCATTAAAATTAATATTTATTTATGTTTATTATTCTCAGGGTGCTTGTGTTCTACCAGCTTTAAGACAGTTGATAAACATCAGTAAAAATATCATGAAACAAAGTCAACATAAAACAGACAAGGTAACACAGTTATTTGAAATGATTCTTAACACTTATTTGAAATGATTATTAACACTTCTTACTTTTATCAATCTTGATAAAGGGTATTGCACCCGAAACGTCGACCCATTAAACAATCTTCTACTTCTACAAGTCTGTTGTGTATTCTGTTGAGCGGGGGTTCTTTAATTTTATTTTACTACTCCGCCCCACCGGTATCATCTTTTGATCCAGTCTCCACGCAGATGTATCAGCCTGTCCAGCTTTAATTACTCTCTAAGGGAGTGTTGCCGTACCCTTTTCCTGTTTCCACTTCTTACATTTATTTGAAAGGATTATTAACACTTCTTACAGTTATTTGAAATAATTATTAAAACTTCTTATAGTTATTATGTATCAGTGATTGAAGGTCACCTCCTGTGTTCATAGTCTGTGACATTTATACATTGTATTTATAGATATTTGTTGATAGTAGAATATTTGTAACAAAAATAAAAAATACCTGAAGTTGAAGAGTTATTGGCATTTCACAGATTTTGGCCGGTTGTTACGAAAAAACAAAAAGGAGTTTTCGATTTTACATGTTTGCCTGTACTATTAACCATGCCTATTATAATTACATTGTATGCAAAATATAACTCATTTATGGAGATTACCTCTCAGTTTAACAGTTTTGTCAAGGAGTTTCTTGTATAATCAGGTCCAAATACCTCACTTCAATTTTTTAAAAATATGCTATTAATGGCATATCATTTATGCAGTGATATATTATTGTATTATTTCAGGGCGTTAGATTAGAATTAAGTAAGAATTGTGGTATATTATTGTATTATTTCAGGGCGTTAGATTGAGTAAGAATTGTGATATATTATTGTATTATTTCAGGGAGTTAGGTTAAGTAAGAATTGTGATATATTATTGTATTATTTCAGGGAGTTCTATTAGAATTGAATAAGAATTGTGATATTATTAAACTAGTTACTAATAGTTTAATTAAATGTCATAAACAAGGTGTATGTTGTGTTGGTGATGGCCAGTTATTACCAGATACTATTGTAGATGGCAGATATCCTCATGCTGATGTAAGTTTTACATGATCTTTATGGATGCTGGGGTTTCGTTAATTATTGGGAGGTGAAATAAAAATCAGGCTTGTATATTAGTATTACTCACTCTTGATTTTGGAAACCCTTCCTCTCAGTTATCACCATTTACTATTATAGGTGACAGGTATATATCCCCATACATTTTACATGATCTTTATTAAAGGGACAATAACACTCTTGCTGGCTTGAAAGCTCCAGAAAATAAATAATATCTCTATCTAAGTACTAGATGTTTAAGTGTCCTACCTGTTGTGTAAATTATCCATTACATCCTATTTTACTTGTCCAGAGGGTTCGAAAATATGTTTAAATCGAAGTTTCATTTGAAAAGGTTTACGTTAGACGTTTCAAACCATTATGTTGGATTTTTCAAAATTTTTAAATAAGGTGTGTTAAGATGAAATTTGTATCATCAATTAATTGAAATATTCTAAAATAGTACAATTTGTTGACCAGAATAAAGATTGGGACATATTATTCAGTTACAACAAGAGTGGTATTGAGCCTTTAAAGATACATTATGGGAGATTTTTATAGAGAGTTGGCCATTCTTGCTATAACAGTTCAAAAGTAGATGATGAAAGAAGAATATATTGAAAAATTCAGTCAAATTACTTTATTCTGAACATAGTTATCATCGTTGTAATATTTGACTAAAAATGGTAGCGAAATGCGTCTTCACCTTCGCCGATCGTTTGATTGACAGGCGTTAACTCCACCTACATATCTCGATTATCAAGTAAAGTTTTCAATGGCATACGGAAATGCTTTACAGCGGCCTCGCTAAGTACACTCTATCATTTAACCTCGATCTAACTGACATATTTTCATCAGGTTACCCCTTATTTGATTTAATCAATTAGTGAAATCATATTTAAATCCGAGCTGTAGCCGAGCCATCCGTGGGTCTACAGAGTTGATTTTGGTCTTGTTGTTTAAATAAAGATCTAATTTATAATTTCTATAACATCTGAAGCCTAAATTAAGACTTGCAATAATCAGATTTAGCTCTTGCATAATGTATGTTTAAAGGTGAATGCTATAAAGCATATTTTAATGTATTAATTTTATGACTACCAATAATTATTTAACCTTTGATTCTGGAGAGCCCTCCCCTCTTGGTTTTTTTTAAGACAAAATGATGCTTTAGCTCCCATAGTGAACATGTTTGTACCTACACTCTTTTGATATTGACAAGAAGGTCACCTTTATAAACAAATGTTCAAATTATGTTATGGCAGGTTTTTAACCCCTTGAATCTTAAGCTCTTGAATAGTAAATGTTCATCCAACTGTGCAGTATGAACTAATTATCAGTTTTACCCTAAGCCCGTTTTCCATGTACAAGTTTTCCCATTGTTTCCGTACGCATTTTTGTCTGTTTCCGGTGGAAATGAGTACATAGAAAACGTGCTTCAGGTGTGATAATGTAGAATATATATGGCAAATCTAATGCTTAATTCAAATGCTAAATTTATTTTAAAAAATCATTTACAAGACGATTGATTTGTAAAAATATATTTTTATTCCAGTATATGATGTGTCATCTGAACTTTTTACAATATGTTCTGCGTGACGGTGTATTATATTTACCGTGGAATAGAGCTAGAGATATATGGAGTACTATGGTAGCCAGTCCTAGAGCATGTGAATGGGACAGAGAGGTAAATTTATACACAAATTTACATCTTATTCATATGTGATAAAAAATACCAATCAAATCTTTTTTTAATAATGTAAATTGAGGTAGTTTTGAAACATAATATTCAATGTATTAAATGCCCTTTTTAAAACTCATTTTGATTATAGTGGTTCAACCAAACTTTGTTAAATTTAAAATTACTGATGGTATTGACAACTATTTCTAATAACGATGCATATCTCTTAAAAATTATTCTCTAATGCTATGAAATTTTATATAAAGTAATTATGAATTTATTAGGCACCTGAAATCAATTGGTGATATGCTGCTATGTCACTATAACCATCATCACTCAGCATAGAATGAACAAACATGCACCTTTATAACAATGATGTAATTGAAATAATTAGTTCTGTATTGTTTTCTCATATATTTTTATATTTTCTTAGACATGTTATAAATGGTTTAGTGATCGTTTGACTGATTTAGAAGCAGATTCACAAAACCAGCTGTTTCAAAAAGAAATTTTACGCTTGGATGCAGTAAAACTTAGTGAAAAGGGTTAGTATATCAGTTATCATTAAGTTGAAGATATAGAATATAGTTGTTTTAAATTTCTAGGGAACCTTAGGGGATGAGTGAGTATGATGCTGGCTCGCTAACCAGGAGGTCTTGGGTTCACTCCCAAAGTTCTTCAGGATTTTTTAGGCATGGTCCCCTCTTTTTAGTGGTACTGGCATGGTTTTCCCATGTCAGTTGTGCAGGACAGAGGGCTTGGCTATGACAGTCTCGTTGTCTAAAAAAAAAAAAAAAAATCCTGTGTACACATTGATGTGCACATAAAAGAACCTTAGACAGTTGGAATTTGAAATAAGAGTAGGTCGTAGCAGCACTGTCCCTCACAACCCACTGTATATCGTATGTCCATTTTCATTAGCCCAGTCGGTGCAGAAAAGTAGGACATTAAACCACATTTAATTAAAATTTCATAGTGTCTGTGATTTAGATTAATGTAGAGTGAAACCCTGCTGTTAAGGCAAGTTGCTGGACTAATATAAATAATATACTGAGGTTAGAATCCCAGGCTGTAGATTTGATACATTTTAAGAGATTATAATCTTTATACCAATGTACAGCCTACACATATAGATAGGCTTGTAGGCCAACTACCATGCTATATGTCCTATAAACATAAGTCGGGAAAAATTTAAAAACGTTTCAAGACTAAAGATGGTAAAATCACTAATAACTATTTTTCAGGTTTTGCTTGTTTCAAGAGTTATTTTGAAAATGTCAATTTATATGAACATAAGTTAAAACGTTCTGGAAACTTATCGGTAAGTAGGATCATTATTTTCTGCATAAATTATTGAAATTGCTCATTTATGTAGATTTAATGTATTTGTGTATTTCACCGAACATAATTAATTAGAATTTACAATAAGAAAAATCAGAAATTGGATATGAATCCCTTTATATACACTTGTTTTACATTAATGTGTGCTTTTAGAACCATTTTTGTCTAGTTTAAAGTTCCAAAGAACAGGGCCATATGCTCTTTAATGGAATGTGCGTCATACAAATGTCCATAATAATAAAAAATAATATTTATTTTCAGGTAGTAGAGAAGTGTGATCTATTAGGGATAGAATATTTATGGGAGATTTGTTTAAATGTACCTGATGAAACTATAGCCAGTAATTCTATACAACTTTTATTAAACATGTCCTATACCTCACTTAATCCACGCCTTAAAAAGGTTAGTACATATTACATAATCCTTTTCAATTAGTACATATTATATAATCCTAGAATGGCATTTATTCATCGAGCACAATAAAACACTGTGGTATTGGGGTGCATAGGCCACAAGATGGCCTGGATTGTTTTAGACAAGCAGAAGGGCTAAAGATTAAACAGATCACGTGGCTAAGTGGGTAAGACGCTAGCTCGCTAGCCTGGAGGTCGGGTGTCGATCCCTGCATTGGCCGAGAAAGTTCATCCAGATTTTCCGGCGTGGTTCTCCCTTGTCAGTGATGCAGGACGGAGGGGCTGACAAGGAAAGCTGTCTAGTCGTTTGGATGGGACGATTGGCGTGCACGTAAAAGATCCCTTGGCAGTTGGAATTCGATATAAGAGTAGGCCGTAGTGCCGCTGTCCGGGCAAAATTTCCCTCATAGCACACTGTATGGCGTATGCCCGTCTTCATTAGCCCAGGTTAGGAGCAGAACAGTAGGACGTTAAACTCCATTTCATTTCATTTCAACAGCCATCTTTCATTTCATTCTATCCCAGAATTCTCTCCAAGATCAAGCCTTTTATTAAAAAAGGGAAGTAACTCATTTAGCACAAAGAAAAAAAGGAGGCTTTAAACCACTATTTCTTAATAAAATTAATAAGTTGTTTTAGTAACAGGGTATATGACAACACAACAATCTTTAATATTGAATACATATACCATGTTTTTCTTGACAAATGTTCTATTATCATTATCATTTGTGAATGGAAACAACAAAAGAACACTTGTCAAAACATTGTGCAAACCAGTTATTGTATTCCATACAAATGACTGTTGTGTTTTTATATATAGTAAGTGTTTTAAGTTAATCAGTTTGACAGAGCAGCTACTACTAAAACTTCCTCTTAGGATTGCTCATTTAACCTTAGAAATAAAATTGATCATGTTCCTCTAAAAATATGTATTCATTCTGTGTAGTTTGGTTGTAATACACAATATACTTAAACTTTAAAAAACACCTAGCCTTCTATTGGTTGACTTTTGTTTCTCCAGCCTTCAGGTTCCCTGAAAATTACATAATGGTGGATTATTTTTCTTTCAATTTCAGGATCCAGTGTCTTTACATAAGAAGTTTATATCTGAATGTTATAATAGATTGGGGGTAAATAATGTTTTTTTTAATAATTCTTAGTAAATAAGACTTTAAATTTGGTTTGAAATAAGAATTAAAATAAGAAGTGTTGTAAAACTAAATATTTATAACAATTGTCAGCTACCAATGGTTCTTTGGTAGTTTAAGGAATTTTGATGTTTTTGACGTGTTTTAATTTGATTTTGATAATTAACATTCATTATTTTCAGGCTGCCATGATAGGTATCGGTAAAAACTTAATTGTCCAAACTATATCAGCTGCTACCAAAACTTTAACTGCTGCTATTGTTCCCGAAGTTGCCAATGTACCATTGCCTTCTAGGTTAGTTTTCCATCCATTACAAAAATGATGACTAATTTACAAACACAAAAAAATATTTTTTCAGAATTCTTCAGTTTAAGATGCTCTCCATATGACTGAGTATATTTGATTATTTATGATTATGAATATTGCCTATTTGTTACATAATGGCTGATGATTGATTTATGGCCTCTGAAAATGAAAAAGTCACCACAAAATTTGAATATTTCTTTACTCAAAAGGGACCGCAGTGGCTCATTGAGTAAGGCGCTGGCTCGTAAACCAGAAGGTCTAGGGTCCGCTCCAGATGTTAGCCGAGAAAATTGCTTTGGATTTATCCGGCATGGTTTCCCCAAGTCAGTTGTGCAGGACAATGGATCTGACAAGGAATAGTGTCTAGTCATTTGGATAGGATGAACAACTGAGCTCCTGTGTACACATTGGCATGCACATAATGATTCTGAAAAAAAATAGTTTATGGGAAGACTTGACAATCTGTAGAAATTTTTATTATAGATCAGTGAATTTACTAGCAATAGAAAGATTACTATGGATAGCTGAAGCCTATGTTTTATCTGTAGAAGAATTACATTTGACACCTCGCACCATCTTGCCACACGGAGCTTCCTTTCATGGATATCAATTATCAGTTACTTGTGAATCACAAAAAGCTATGTTTAAACTCATGGTAAGTATTTTATGAAATATTTGTCTTTATTTACTATTCATTTGTAACTTTATATTTTATCACAATGTTAAATTATTGACCAATGTTTACATAATTTGCATGTTACTGTTAGCATGGCTCTAAATAAAATCCCTATAGCTTTTGCAATTCCAAAGTTAATGCCCTTGACTGGTAGATTCTTAATCAATGAACTTTACCATACTCACTCTATAGATGACAGTTCTCATTCCATTTTCTCAAAAATTTTCCAATATATATAGTAAAATGGAAATTGCTGGAAAAGTTACCTCCCTTTCGAGGTTATTTCCCATCGCTGAACAGCAATTTTCGATCTATATATTACCTGCTCTATCTTACCTGTATTCCATTAGATGGGAAGACTGGATGCCATCACATGTACTTTCCCTTGTAGAATAATAAAGTGGGTATCAGGTGATTTTAGAGTAGTTATTTTGTATTAATGTGTGTTATTTTATTTTACAGTGTCACAGTAATGAAACATTGGGATCTCTACGTTTAAAAATATCTGATTATTTAAATCAGTCATTAGATCATATACAGATCATGTCAAAAGATAAACTAGTAAGTTTTGATATATACTATGTTATTCTATTCAGATTACTATTGATTGCAAAGTTACAAATCATTTACAATTACTTCTTATTAGCGACTTTCGACTAGAGTTCTCTAGTGATTATCAAGCAATGATAAAATATTAAATATAACAAGACAATATATACATGTAAACAACAATACTTAGTTAATGCTGACCAACCAGAGGAGACACCCTTCTAATTACCTTGAAGGGAACCTAACTTAATTCAATGCAGCAGTTGAGGTAACTGAGGATTTGATAATTAGGCCCTTGGGTACTATACCGGAACCCCTGCATCACATTAAGGAAATAAGATTGTTACATACATTTACATATTTTCTTTCTGTTCTTTGTATTTGATTGATGAGTTTCAAAATGGTCAAGTATTTACAGGACAAAACTAACTACAACCACTTTTTTTTATATTCCATTTTGTTTTAGATTAGTTGGATTAGCAGCTGCATGCGACAATCTGCAAACTGATGCTAATCATCGATCCTGCTTTAAGTTCCAATTTACTTATGGATTTTGTAATCCACTAGATAATGACTGAAATATAAGAAAACTGCGGTGACTAGTGATCTCCTTTAAGAGCAATTTTGCTGTCATAGAATATCAGTTTTGATTCTCAAATGCTTGTGGCCGTAAAATTGTTTTTATTATCAAACAAATTCACCCCTTAGTGATTGTTTGCAGAAATCATAGCTTATTGTTGTTGCATACTATTTTAGACTTTCTGCAATCTTTTTTCAAGATAAGTACAGCTCAGGACCAGAAATTATTACATCAGTTAGAGATTGAAGATTGTGAGGTGGTACAGATTAGAGTTGGTACATCATCATCTTCAACAGTAACATCTGGTACTAGTCTACAGTCAACACAAATACGAGAGGTCAGTTTTATAATACACCATAATCACTCTATTCGCTTTAATATTATACAAATATTGATCATTTAAAAATTGGATATACAACTGAAAACAAAGAAAGAATGTTATTGATTGAAGTTAAAGGAAAACAGTAGAGCAGGGATGAACAAATTTTAACTAATGCATCAACAGATTGAAAATGTTAGCTAATAAAATAATTAAACTAATCTGTAATCTATATACATCATTCGTTCCTGAAAATTCTTTTAAAATGCAACCAAGATATACAGTCTATGTACATAGGTACAACTACAAGACAGGGACTTAAAGATGCTTTTTTTAAGAGCTAAATCTGCCTAATGCACATCATTCGTTTGGCCTCAAATATTATTATAAATCATTAATTAAACATTTATTCACATGCCAAGCCCATAATCAACACTCTGGACCATCGGATGCTTTTTTTTTTTTCAATTTATTTAAAAATGATTAAGATTGTGTTTATTATCGTAGCATTGATAGCAATGACAATCAAGACTACATTGTTCTTTAAATGGCAATAACTTCTTAGAATGAAGTAATTTGACCGAAATTTCAACATTTTTCCTTTTTATTAACTATTTTAACTATTATGGTGAGGGGATCACGTGGCTAAGTGGGTAAGACGCTAGCTCGCTAGCCTGGAGGTCGGGTGTTCGATCCCTGCATTGGCCGAGAAAGTTCATCCAGATTTTCCGGCGTGGTTCCCCCTTGTCAGTGATGCAAGACGGAGGGACGAAAAACCGAGGTCCCGTGTACACATTGGCGTGCACGTAAAAGATCCCTTGGCATTTGGAATTCGTTATAAGAGTAGGCCGTAGTGCCGCTGTCTGGGCAAAATTTCCCTCATAGCACACTGTATGGCGTATGCTCGTCTTCATTAGCCCAGGTTAGGAGCAGAACAGTAGGACGTTAAACTCCATTTCATTTCATTTCTATTATGGTGAGAACCGTCAGATCTTTATCTAAATTTTATACATAATGCATCTTTAAGTTGAAATTCTAATTTTCATGCCATATTTATTTGCTTTTTCTTGCAAGCCAACACAAGAAAGTAGTAAATCATCTCAGGTAAATGTTGTATATTGTATATTATTTATAGTAATATACTTACCGGGATTAAAGCTTTATATTTTTTCTTTGATTTGCTCTGCTTCTTGTCAAAAGATGCTTAAAACTTAAAACACAGTTTAGTTCAACTTTTCAAATGGAATATTACTATTGATAAGAAACAAATATTATATTCACATGTCTTATTTTATTATTATTCTAAATTCTAATTAATTTTAATTCTAAATTTCTTTAGTAGTTGCCAAGAAAAAGCACTGATATTATAGTGTCTCAATCTTTCATGAAACCATGTTATTACAGAATAATACTAATATAACTTATAAATACACCAGCCTCTGAAGTTCAGGGCTGACGGCAAGCAGATAACAAAAAGTTGAAAGTGTCTAGCAATTTATGGATTCATATACCATCTGTATATATATTTTTTTTTAACTGTCTTTGTTTTTGTTTTTTTCTTGCTTTTACGTTTAATGTTTCATGTTATATGGAATACTAGTGATTGACACGGTGTGGCACGGGTATGACCATAAACCGGAAGGCTTATACTACTCCCCAGTCTGAGCTACCCCTATACATACACCAAATTTCAGCCTCGGGACAGCCCTATTGGCCCTGCTTGATTTGTCCATACCGCCGCATACCGGCTGACTACAGTTCAGCAGTTTCCGCGGCGAGGTGACTTGATTTAACCGGAAGTCGACAAAAGTTTGGATGTGGAGTACGCCGAATGCGCCACTTTTAGCGGCAGCTGTGATCATTGGCGCAAGATGGTGAACGTGTCAACGAGATAAAATTCACGTTATTTAGGAATACCATAAAACACTCATTTTAAAGCGTTAAAATTAAACCAAATATTTTAAAGTTGAATTGGAGCTTTGTGAAACCAGATGTTCATATATCATTTATTTTTTCTCGGTAATATTACTAATAATAATTTTCTGCTTATTTTGCGGTCACTTACTGATAGTCATACTTTCAAGAATACTGCTTTTGATTAAAACATGCCTTGTAACCGGTTTAATATTGTAATATTATCCGACCCGGTATTGTTTATCAGTAGGGTCACTTGATTTGCTTTAATACGGTAACCTGACCAGTGTACGCCATGTACAAACCGGCTCGCGTATCGGTGGACAAATCAAACCGGCCCATTGTAGCCGCAAATCCTGTACAGACAGACAAACAGAATCCTGAGTTGCCACATGATTTACATATGTATTGATGCATTGTCAGATGTACATATTTGCTCATTATTTTATGAAAAAGTGGGAGTTGGGTGATCGAATGGTTTAACTTTTACACTTTAGGTTATTACATAAAGTTTGTCAATGTGTCAAGTGGTGGGGTTTAAATTTCAAACTTGTACGTGACAAGGTAGGGTCACCTGTCGAACCTTGTGGGTTTTCCCCTCTGGATTTCCTCCCACAGCTAATGGTTTCTACATGCTAGCGTAATATTGAAATAAAATTGAATCATACGTTAGTCCCGAAATGATCTAGTTTTTGTCTAGTGGATGTTAAACCCCATCTGTCTCTCTCAAATGAAAATAGTCTTTGTTATGCTGATGATTCATCCAAATGAATATGGAATCTCAAACTTATAATGTTGGTGTTTTGTTTTATTCAATTTGTTGCTATATGAGATTGGTGCTTATTAATATTTATAGCGTACATAGATGTTGTTGGTTTACTATTATATGTGTCTATATTCATATATGTTTGTTGTTTTATTATATCATCACCCCTGTCTGTTGTCTGCCAGTTTTTGATGTTAAGGTTGAGATTTAGTCGATTTCGGCAGTCAGTTTAAGAACTAATCCGTTTTGAGAATGACTCAAATATGGTTTTCTTAATCAGCATTTAAAAGGCGCAGGACGTAGATATGGCAACACCCTAAAAGTTGAAAGACGAACAAATTCTCATTTTGTAACATGTATTGATGACATTTTATAAATATTATTTAATTTTAGGTCACAACACAACCAGCTTCTAAACAGATTTATGATTTAGAACAGGTAATTTTCAATCTTCCTATAAAATATGCCTCCAATTTGGTAAAAATTGAATAAAATTCAGCCTAGGATGTTTAAAATAGTAAAATGATACCATTAACGTCCAAGCTGAGCAGTAGATATAATACATGTATTTATATCTTTTAACCCTTAAACCAAATACCCAAAACCAAATGTTCCAATTATCCCAGATCCTAGAAAGTTCCTCTGAATTTTCTGGCATTGGTTTCCCCTTGTCAGTGTTGCAGGACGTGGGTCTAACAATGAACAGTGTCTAGTCAATCGGATGAGAACGAAAAAATCCATTGTAATGCACATTAAAGAACAGTTAACAGTTGTAATTCAAATTGAAAGTAACCCGTGGCATTACTGTCCTGGCCAAATTTCCCTCATAGCACACTGCATGGTGCATGCCCATCTTCATTAGCCCAGTCTGAGCAGAACAGTAGGATGTTAAACCCCATTTCATTTAATTTCATTATATTATATTAATACCTTTTCAACTTAGACCTTTTCATATTGGTTTTGTTTATCGTAAAATGTTTAACTTGTGAGTTTAAATAGATATTAAAAGATGTATATATTATACAGGAGAAGATGTTACCTGGTGTTGTTATGGCTATAGGTGGCCAGGTGTTTGATATGTTATATAGATTAACAGAGCTTGATGAATCAAAGTAAGATGAATTTCTTAAACTATACTTATATAAAGGGCAAAAAGGTATTATTTATATCATGCAGATTATATACAGGCAGGTTCAATAACCATGTTATGCAGACAGTTTCCGGGTCTTTATTTTAGTTTCCTTCCGTTTCTGAAGCCCCCAACTGCAAATAGGTGAATTATCCCTCTTCCTTTCTTTATGTATGTTCTCTCTTTCTTTTTACTAGGATTACAAAACGAGTGCAAAATTTACTGATGTTAATACCAACTGACCCAGCTGTATCAGAAGCCTTAGATTCTCTTGGACAAAAAGTATGAAATAGTGTGTTATATTATTGTACAGTTAAATATTGAACCTTAATTATGTGCTTGTTTATCTACGCTAATTTGAATATCTGGATTTTTACCAGGATTATGCTGAAGTTAAACTCTAAGAAGGATTTTCTTGTTGGCATTTAGTGTTATTTCATCATAAGGCCGTACAAAATAAATATTCTGGTTCTCAGACAATACTTTTCAAACATATGAAGCAGGAGTTTTTTTTTTAATTTTTGTGTTTATATTTTATCATATCTTCATTACGTTCTAAATGACATCGTATTAAAATCATATATCAAGGACACTACATTTATCTCATCATGTTATTTATAGAAATCTATGATTATTATTGTCAATATCAGTTTCATTCAAATTTCTTTATAGAGTTTTTTCCTTTAATCCCTGTAAACATATTTATGTGCTGTAATTAATGGGACAGGTTTTATTTTTCTGTGTCGTGGGATTTGGCATTATCTGAGAACCAGAATATTTTTTTTATATGGCCTAAATGTGAATTTATTTTAGGAATATTTTTTATTTGTTTTGTTTATCTCGTTAAGTTGAGATATTTTACATGTAAAATGTGTAATTTAAGAAAAATGTTTTTATACTTTTAGTTATCTTTAATTTGGTTATATTTTTTTTTTACAGAGTATGAAATCTTCTACATCAAATGATGATGTAACAGGAATCAAGAATAGTCCGAAAAAGTCTGCTAATCCCACAGCCAGTCCAAGATTGTCACCTAAAGAAACTCTAAAATCATTATTTGATTCCAGTGCTCTCGATATGTCTGCATTTAGAGTATTATATAACCTAGAGGTATGTACGAATCTCATCACACTACACGCATTTAAAGAGGGTGGCGGTAGCTAGGTTAGTAAGGCACTTTGTCGAGAAAGTTCCTGTGGATTTTCAGGATTGGTTTCGGCTTGACACTGGTCCTTTGTACCCTTCTGAGTTGGAATTTGTATGCCCGTCGGTGCAGAAAAGTGGGACGTGAAACCCCGTTTCATTTTCCAATTATTTAACAATTCATAAATATTCATGTTATTAAATCATCTAAGACACAACTACATGAATTTTATTTAAGATTTTCTTGTCATTATACTATTATTATAAATATATATATGTATATTACAAATTTATACTATACAGTATACATCTAGAAGATGAATATCTAGAGAAGATGGTATTATTTACGGGAGTGGGGGGAGATATATTTTTATTTGAATTATTAGAGAAGATGATATTATTTACGGGAGTGGGTGGAGATATTTTTTATTTGAATTATTAGAGACGATGATATTCTTTACAGGTATTAAGTGGTAAACTAATGCCGACAACTGAAGATGCAAGTAGTAGAGTTAGTGCTAAAACATTCTGTGAAGATTTTTTACTGGCTGAAGGTTTAACATTAGTTGTTAGTGTATTACAACCCGAGTCCTTACCAACTGATATTAATTATGAAATACGACAAGGGTGTTATTCTATATGTTTACAAATGGCTAGGTAAATATATGTTTATATATCAATATATCTTTATAATTCATTAGAACACTTCAATAATGATAAACATGAAGGTTTTGATATGTTCTCATTTAAAATGGGTGTATACCGTCGTCACATTCTACCGCCATCTGATCACATTTTCTTTTAAATTCACAGGGATTATTCATTTGGTTGAAATTCAGGAATTTGTGCGCATATATCAAGGAATTATCTTGGGACTGTTAAAACTTGGGATAGAGTTAAAAATGCATTTTTTAAAATCTGTCATGTGGGATTTGTTGACAATGAGTTAGCCTGGATGTCTTTGCTTTAGCTGGGGTTTTTTTTCTGGTAAACCATATTTCTAGCTAATGAGATGCTGTCTCTAGTTCAGATATACATGGTTGTACACGTGTAATAGTTATAATATGATAATTATTACAATGGAAGTCAACCATTATTACCAGTATTTATATTTGTAGCTATTTTTGATTTTAATTTTCTTTGTGACATACTAATTGTATACAACAGCAGTGAAACATGTTTACAGCTGGGTAGACTGAAATAGTAGAGTTATTTAGGAACACAAGATAGTGACTATCAGTTGAGGATTTAACTCTCTCCCATTGAAAAATTATATTTGACTGACTAAAAGAAATTTATTGGTTTAAACAGTATTTATTTCGAGAATATTATACAATCTAAAAAGCGTAAATAATAGGATACAAAAACAAGCCAAGTAGGCTTATATTAATTTGCTTCCTTCTGGTTTGGGTGTATAATATATGTACAATGTCGAATTATATATGATAAATCCCATTTATTGCATTTACTAGGTATTTATTATGTGGTCAAACTGTGACTGGTGAAAGTATTCCACAAATAGGAAATGATGATGAATCAGGTGCAGCTTCCCTAGCAACCACATCACCAGCTCATGGATCAAGTTTAGTAAATAAAGTTCAATCTGCTGGTAGTCAAGCAATACAGGTAAGATCACAAAGTACCCACAGTTCTTGTTGTAATATTAACTATAAAAATGATTCAATTATTCTTTATGGAATAGTATACTACTGATTTTTACGAAAGCCATGTTGGCTCAATGAGCATGATGCTGCCTCACTAACCAGGAGGTCCTGTATTAAGTCACAGCGTTGCCAAAGAAAGTTCCTCAGAATATTCCAGAATGGTGTTCCCTTGTCAGTAGTACAGGTATAGTGTCTAGTCGTTCAGATACCCATACGCGCAAGCGAATTATAGAAATAAAATTGAACCATGTGTTAGTACCGAAATGACCTAGTTTTTGTCGAGTGGACATTAAACCCCATTTCTCTATCTCTCTCTTTATGTCCAGAATATACATCAATGTTAAAGTTAGACCTGTATAAATTATATACAGTCGATTCAAATGTATTATAGATAGACACTCTTTAGATCTAAGCTGACCTCTAGAATTGAGGTTCTAAAACATTTCCAGTATTATGGCGAAATATTTTAGTTTTAATGCAGTTCACTTTTATTTTTTTTAATATTTAGCTATAGTGAAAAGGTGCTATTTATTTTTATAAATATCTAAACAAATATCTTTTATTTAGACACTTGGAGAAAAAGAATTTACTAAAACAGTTTCATGTTTTATGAGAGTCACATGGGCAGCTGCTGCAGGGAGACTTCACCTGCTTAGTTTTTCTCAGCCAATCAGAGAAAGCCGAGAATCGTACAGCTGTGGACACAGAAGTCGTCAAAGCAGCTCAGGTTTGTAATTACATGGTTCTTTAAACTTATGGATGACTTTTACATTAAGAGACAGCAGCAGAAGCACTTTAGCCAAGAAATTAAACATTTTAAATTTGAAATCATGTTTGAAAATACCATTGACTGTTTATAATGATGAGTTTGGCTAGTATGTGTGTTCAATCTTTGGAATTTAACATAGACTTCACTGATCATAAATTGGATTACTACTACTAGAGATAATGTACTATTTGACTGTATGTAAAAACAATGGATCTGGTAAGGATGTGTGTTAGTTCATTTACAATTACTTCGTTAATTTGCTGACTAGATGCTGTACTATCTGATTATACAGTGATAGATATTCAGAGCTATTTTTTTTATAGGTAGTACAGCTAGTACTAATAGTGATAGTGATTGTCAGAGTTTACATGCTGGTGTATGTTCACATCAAATATCTATACCTACTAAAGATGTACATATAGCTCAAGAGGCACTAGAAATATTAACAGCCTGTTTAAAACTACGAAGTGAATTAATATGTAAGTAATATTGCCATATACCACAGTAGGTTTCAGTCAAGATTCATTAATTGATTTAACTATAAAGGTATTCAATTATTCTTTATGGAATGCTATGCTAGGGCTTCAGCCATACTGATTTTTATGGAAACCATGTTGGTGCAATGAGTTAGGAGCTGGCTAACTAACCGGGAGATCCTGGGTTTAATCACAGTGTTGGCTGAAAAAGTTATTAACTTTAAGGTTGTAAAACATAGTTAATATAATCAGTAACTATTGAGGATAACTCTTGACTGAAAACTTTAAGGTTGTAAAACATAGTTAATGTAATCAGTAACCATTGAGGATAACTCTTGACTGAAAACTTTGAGGTTGTTAAATATAGTTAATGTAATCAGTAACCATCGAGCATAACTCTTGACTGAAAACTTTGAGGTTGTTAAATATAGTTAATGTAATCAGTAACCATCGAGGATAACTCTTCACTGAAAACTTTGAGGTTGTTAAATATAGTTAATATAATCAGTAACCATCGAGGATAACTCTTGACTGAAAACTTTGAGGTTAAATATAGTTAATATACCGGTAATCAGTAACCATCGAGGATAACTCTTTACAGAAAACTATGCAGTGTATGTCCTGTCCATGGAAGTCAATGAAATTTATGTATTGTTTGAAATTGTTAGTATTTTAACATATGTTTCTGTAGGTGGAGAAGATTGATTATTCATTTATGATTCTGTATTGTTGAAATTGCAACTTTATATATAGACTGTAGTATAAAGCAACACAAAAGAAAAATCTGCTATATTTTGTATAATCTCAATCAAGGCCACATCAAAAAAATAAAATGTGCCATTCACCTATATTTCTATTTTCTAAAATACTGATGAAATGTACCATCTAGTAGTATTTCTTAGTGGCAGCTGTTCAAAGAAACATGCAGTTTTCTTTTAGATTGCCTAATATCCGATATTGGTTGATTTTCTAGATATTACAATCTATTAGTTTTAAACTGTCATTTGATTATTTAACAATTGATTTGATTTATTTTCTTTCAGCATCCTTTTATTCCTTACCCTGTGTTAGTGATTTTGTAATTGATATACTTGTTGGATGTCCACAAGTTTTAATTCGTAAGGCAGCATTAAAACGTTTATATGATCTAAGTCAAATAGAAATAATAGTACCTAGAGACACAAATTTACAAACACCACATCAATTTGTACTACAGTTATTACTCAAGGCTTACCTCCCTTTCTGGGTGACATCTTCAAATACACGAGGTTCCAGTCAAAAGTAAGCTGATTTTAAATTTGATTTCATTTTGCTTTTCTAGTGATACATATGTTTATCTGAAATACCTATAAAAATATTGCTTTCTATTTTTTGGGTGGGGGGGTGAATAATTTAAAAACTAAAATTACTTGCCCTTCTCAAACATTTGTTGAGTGGCTTTTAATATATCAAGACCTGGAAAAAATGGTTAATGTGTGCCCATTGGATCATAAGGTCTGTCATTGAGTCAAGTGGCATGGGTTAGATTTCCAGCTTGTACGTGACAAGGAGTAGGTTCCAGCCCTGTGGGTTTTCTCCGGGTTCCCCTGTTTACTCCCACTGCTAAAGAACCCTACGCGCATGCGAATTATTAAAATAAAATTGATCCAGATGTAAGTTCCGAAATGACCTAGTTTGTATCGAGTGGACGTTAAACCCCATTTTTCTCTCTCTCTCCCTAAACATCTTTATCTCCTTCAATCTATTTATGTAAAATAAACCAAATCATTCTGAAAATAAGAAAATATTTTTATTATTAATTTAGGCTTCTCACCCAGTGTTCACAGTATTTTGATTTAAGATGTCAACTTTTAGATCACCTTTCAGGTAAGTCATTACTATTACCTGTTTATGGGGTATGCATGGGAAGAATCCACCAGTAGTATTGTTTTTTTCTTGGTTATTCCCACTGCTTAAGAACCCTACACTCACAGATAGATTGATAAGAAGACATTATACCACGTGTTAGTCCCAAAATAACCTTTTGTCTATTATCTATTGATAGAGAGTAGAAATAAAGGAAACAGTGAAAAATATCCTTTATTCAATTTCTCTTCCCAAAAATCATGTACTATTTTAAAATAAACACTCCTGTTATTATTTAATGAAGCACATATAAAAAACATTCATAAAGAATGTAATGGCTTGTATTAAAATGTTTGTATATTTTGTTTCATGTCCATGTGTTATAATTTTTGTATATTTTATTGATGTCCATGTGTTATGATATTTGTATATTTTATTGATGTCCATGTGCTATTATATTTGTACATTTTAGTGATGTCCATGGGCTATAATATTTGTTTATTTATTGATGTCCATGTATTATAATACATGTTTAATTTATTGCTTCAGTTCATCAACAGAAGAAATTACAGATAGATGTTGTATCTATGTTAGAAGATGAATTAGGATGGTTGAGTAATTTTGTACCATCACGACATGTTGAGTTAAATATAACTGATAATACACTACTAGCTGGTCATCTTAAACTAATAAAAACTCTATTTACTTGTGAACAAGTCAACAAGATTGAAATGGGTAAGAAATCTTAATAAACAATTTAAAAACAACCATATATACCACCTAAAACAAAATACACTCTCTTTTTGTAATTAAAACCACAGATAATCATTTGCCATTTTTAGTCAAAATCTAATGTTTCACGGCCTAATCCACTCAAATTTATCTTCTTATTAAAAAGACAAAACCAAAATATAAACGGTAGATAATCTCCTAGCTTGGATTAAATTGGATTAAAAAGAGGCCCATCAAAAGATTTTAACCAACACCCATTTGCGACTCTAGCTTGTTTGTATTGTCTACGAAAGATGCCAAATGTTGCTAAATTCGCAATTCATCACATCTTTGTAATTGCTGAACGAATTAGAACCATTTTTATACTGATATCCCTTTTAGAGATCCAACTTTCACAATATTGTAGTTTGTAAAGATTCAAATCCCTCAAATGGCTATATATCAGTTTCAGAAGATATTCATTATCATCTATATAATCAATAAGACTATTTTGTTGAAAATTGTTCATTCATGAGTTAGAATTTGCTTTGAAGCTTGAAACATATGTAAGATATCACCACCAATTGAAAAACCTGTTTATGTAATTCAATAATAGGTTTTCTACCATATCTATTGATATATGTATTTTTATATTATAGGTAGTGAATTAGTGAGAGATTTATTACATGAGTTTTTATTTCCTGCATCTAAGTTGATGTTGGATAGTGTCAATCAATCAAAAGTAGATTATAATCTAGCTGAATTTAATCCTAAGTAAGTATAATATTTATATGAAGAATAAAGTACACTTAATCAAACAATCCTTGTTTGGGGGGGGGGGGGAGAATGGCTGAATGGTTAGCACGTGCACGCTGTATCATAAGGTCTGTCAGTGAGTCAACTGGTGTGGTTTCGATTCCCCTGTTCTATATGACAAGGAGTAGGGTCGCCTGTCCAACTTCGTGGGTTTTCTCTGGGTCCTCTGGTTTCCTCCCACTGCTAAAGACCCCCACGCGTAAGCAAATTATTAAAATAAGGTTGAACCATATGTTGGTCCCTGGGTGGCATAGTTTGTGTTGAGTGGACATTAAACTCTCTCTCTCTCTCTCTCTCTCTCTCTCTCTCTCTCTCTCTCCATCCTTGTTGGTTGGGTTTTTTAAAGGATAGTAAAATGTGGTTGTTTTAAAATATATTTTGTTTGGAACAGTCATTGATTGTTTCAAAATTTTCATGCTATAATATTTTACTTGGAACAATATATCCAGCTGTGATTATATCTGGTTAGTTTTAAAAAACTGGGAAAGGATGGTGCCTTGTTTAAGGACTCTAGAATTCATCATTAGACTTAAAGTCATATGCAAAGAGTCATTCTTATTAGCATTCTACAGAAAATGGATAATATTTATAACATCAGTGCAAGCCAGACACCTCCATTTCTTTGTTTCATATACTTTTAAGATAAAATCTGATTGTTGTTGTAGATGTTCTAATACTGAATCACGAGTAGCAGCCTATGAATTATTAACAGAATTAGCTGATGATTGTTTAGTTAATTTACAACAGATTTGTAAAGAATTAATACAGATGCATCATCAACCTAATAATATCGGTGCTAATGAATGGGATGTAAGTATTTCTATATATTATAGGATTAACTATAAATTAGAGATTTAATGATCCCATATCGACACTACACGCAAAACACAAATCTACAAGATAAACCTGCGGACAAGACAGAAAATAGACATTGCACCAAATAAACAAAAATGTTACATGTTTTTAGAGGACTTCATGGTGGCATTTGAATATCATCCAAATTGTAAGATTAAAAATGTAGAACTGACTTGTTGTCATATTAGATATTTGTTAATATCTGTCTTTTGTAATTGATTTAGTATAGGAAGGTTATTTAATATATGTGTATTGTGATGAGATTAAGGAAAAGACAGAGAAAGTACTAAATAAGTTCTCCCTGTATTAGAAATATTGTAATTAGATTAAAAAGAAGGCCGAATAAGTACTAAATAAGTTCTTCCTGTATTTGAAATTTGTATTATTAGATAAACCAAAAAGGTAGAGAAATATGTTTAATTAGATCAATCAGAAAGGTAGAGAATTAATCAACTTCTGTATTTATTATTGTAGTATATGCCACCAGTAGATGGTCGTGCTAGTTGTGGTTATGTAGGATTAAAGAATGCTGGAGCTACATGTTATATGAATAGTGTTATACAACAGTTATATATGACACCAGGTGTACCTGAAGCTGTATTAGCTATAGATCAAGATGATCCACAAGAAGAAACGTATGTACATCAATCTTTACAAGATAATATACTGGTTCTCGGATAGAGGATCGTGTTTCTAAATGACTGTCTTAGTTCTGGTTTTGATATTTGATATTCAATAATATCGAGGTAGTCACGGTGGCTCAGTGAATAAGGTGCTGACTCAATAACCAATAGGTTCCTGGTGTTGGTCGAGAAAGTTTGTTTGGATTTTTTAGGATTGGACTAAAAACTATGGTCCTGTGTACAAGTTGGCGTGCATGTGAAAGAACCCTTTGAATTTAACAAAGAGTAGGAGGATACCCCACTATCTGGACAAAATGTCCCTCATAGCACACTGCACGGCATATGTCTGTCTTCATTAGCCCAGTTGGTGCAGATAAGTAGGACGTTAATCCTCATTTCATACATTTATTAGTTATGAAGTGTATTTTAGTGGTGTAGTTTTATTATTTGCCTTATCTATCTTTTTTGTTCTTCAATGGTCATTAGTTACATGTGTATAATATATTTATATATTTCTTCTCCACAGAGTATTTTATCAAATGCAGCAAGTGTTCGGACATCTAATGGAGAGCAGACTACAGCATCATGAACCCGAGAAGTTCTGGCAGGTGTTTAAACTCTGGGGTCAAACTATTAATGTGCGAGAACAGCAGGATGCTTTTGATTTCTTCCAGGCTTTGATTGATCAAGTTGATGAACATATGAAGGTAATAAAAGTTATAAAATAAACTTGTTGTTTGATTATCTTGTGCCAAACAAAGTTACGGGGGGGATATCGAAATGGACTCTGTCCACTCGTCCGTAAGTCCTGGTTCTGTATCAAGTAATCTTTATGGATTTTTGTACACACATCCACCTGTTGTAGTAGTTGTGCCTTTTATTTGCTAATGAGGAATTTCTTGGTTTTAATCAATTCTTGTTTTCATAGAAACAAATTTTACTCAGTTTCTGGTATACAGGGGCAGGTTGTAAATGATTGTCAATAATTGTTGTATGTTTATTTTGTTTAATAACATTTGAATTGTGCACCAAATTTGAATATTTTTTTTTATTCAGAGAATTGGTAAAGATGAGATTTTTAAACAGAAATTTCAAGGAATATTCTCTGATCAAAAGATATGTAAGGATTGTCCTCACAGGTGAGAAGAAATATATATTTTGTAATCTTTTCAAGTTATTTATTGATTACATTGTTGAGGATTATCAGTTATAATTCACAGTTAAATTATTTGCACCTTGCTGTAAATTTACTAAATAATGTATTTATACTACTGCTAACTCATCAGCTAATTAAACCTGTAATGACCTAGTTTGTGTATTCTCTCTCAATGTCTAATTTATTTTATGACAGATATGAAAGAGAAGAAGCGTTTATAGCTTTAAATCTGACCGTAAAGAATGATACATTACAAGATTCACTTGATCAGTTTGTTAAAGGAGAGTTACTAGAGGGAGAGAATGCTTATTTCTGTGAAAAATGTGGTGAAAAGGTAATTAAAGTCAATATATTTTATAAGAGATTTGATAACAGTTGTCGAAACATCGTACTATTTGATGATAAACCAGTGATTGTGTTCTGTATAAATGTTTTTTTTATGTGCCTAATTGCTAAATACTACTCTAGGATTATAGGTGTTGGATTCAGCTTCATCACAATATATATCGAAATCAAATTTCTCAAAGTCTTTTCGTCTGTGATAGAAAGTTCCTTATTGATGTAGATAAAAGATTAAGACTTATCTATGGTTTTCCGTTTGTATATATATATATCTATTATTATCTCTTTGTTTTATTTTTCAGAGAAATACTATCAAGAGAATGTGTATAAAGACGTTACCTTCTATGTTATGTATCCAGTTAAAAAGATTTGGTTATGATTGGGAAGCTAATAGAGCTTTAAAATTTGATGATTACTTTCGGGTAGGCAACTTTAATGTTCATAATAATATAAAATTGAGTTTTTAGTATGTTTGTGGGGAATGGAATTCAAGATTTTAAATTAGTATTCAGGTTTAATCCAAAAGCCAATATGTTGAGCTGTCCTACATTAAAACAAATTTGTATTTAGAAAACTGCTTGTTACTTGAATTGGATTCAAAGAAGTCAACATAATTAAAGAATCTGTCTTGTTACCCGGTAGTATCCAGACAAAAGTTAACAAAGATTATTTATATATATTCAATAAACACATTTCAGTTTCCATGGATATTAGACATGGAACCATATACTGCTGAAGGTATGGCTAGAAAAGAGAGTGAACTGACTGATGATAGTGATACAGGAGAAAAGATTAATGGTGATATTAATCTAAGTGATACAATAGAATTATCATTAAGTCTTGATTCACAACCTAAACAGATCAACTATGAACTTGTTGGTATTGTTGTACATAGCGGACAAGCTAATGCTGGTCATTATTATTCATTTATAAAAGATAGAAGGTAAATTATTATTTATGCTTATTTATGCTCTTTTTTTTATCAAATGTGACTCTGGCACAGATTTTGTTCTGTTGGGGTCAGAATTGTTTGTTAAAATGATGAATGGCAGAGTGTGTTTGGTAATTTAGAGCAAATTAGAATGTTCTAAGATTCATAATCTTTAGTCTGTATAAGGCAAATTGATGTTAAAATACGTGTCCTGATCGCCTTATTTTTCACAAGGAAAACACAGCATATTAAAATCTCTTAAATTGCATAATCTTTAGTCAACAGAAGGCAAATTAATATTAGAATACATGACACTTTATTTTTTTGAAAGGAAAATTTTTTTATCTGTTTATATATATTTGTAGGGGAACTGTATTAACTAATCCTAATAAAGGTAAATGGTTTAAATATAATGATACTATAGTAGAAGAGATTATAATGGATGATATTACAGTAGAACAAGAATGTTTTGGTGGAACATATAAACCTAAAGTTATAGATCAATGTAAGTTTATATACTCATTCTTAAACTACCATTTGTTAATATGCCAAACATTATAGCTGTGTTTTCTTAATCCTATCAGTGCTACAAGCAAATTTTGGTTGATGGATAATCTGGAATATCTTGATGAAAAATGCTCCCCAATCGAATTTCAGCAATATGTCACATGTCAACGTTTATATCAAAAGCATGTGATTAGTTTTTCCCATTCAAGTTTTGGATATCGGCCCTCGCCACTGAAAGTGTTAAATTAAATGATTGAAAATTTGAAAATCCCTGACAAAATATGTTAATTAATTCTGCCATTGAATGTTTTTTTTACAAGAAGATCCATCTTATGATAGAATTTTTGACATAACATTTTTAAATAAAGCTGAAAATGTTAACCATATAAACTATTCTTATTAATGAGAAATGGTATCAAGGATTACTAAAATACTCATACCCGGCCGTTGTCACAGCTGTAATAAAGATGTATAGACTAATTTGAGAGCCATGATTTGGATTTTAGGAGGTGGGCCTGCTAGTGTCAGCTCCAACATTATTATAAGTGCTCTTCTGGAAATGTTAATTTGCACGCTGTGTGTTCTACACTAATAATACTATATATGATATTTTATAGCAAATTCATATCCTGAAGAAAGATTGAGATACTGGAATGGGTATATGTTATTTTATGAAAAAATGGATGAATTAAAAACACCAGGGTCAGCTAAACGCAGTCGAATTATATCTCGGAGAGTTTTACCAGAAGGAGGGTAAGCTGATTTCTTACCTAGAATAATATTCTGATGTCAGTGTCTGTAAATAATGAACAGCAGGAAACAAAAATATATTCCTGTTGTGATGTAATTTTTCTTTGATAGCCATTTTGTAATTCAACATATTAACCCAAGGTACAAGTTTTATAGATACACAATTACTGACGAGTATTCTCATCGAAATGTCATCCATAAAAAATTGCACCTTGTGGTTAATATAATTTTTGTTCCTCTGATCTGAAAGTCTTTGGGGGGGTTGGATGGCTGAATGGTTAGTGTGTGCGCGCTGTATCATAAAATCTGTCATTGATTCGACTGGCGTGGTTTCGAATCCCCGGTTGTACGTGACAAGGAGTAGGGTCGCCTGTCCAACCTCGTGGGTTTTCTCCGGGTCCTCTGGTTTCCTCCCACTGCTAAAAAACCCTATGCGCAAGCGAATTATTGAAATAAAATTAAACCATATGTTAGTCCGGAAATGACCTAGTTGTGTTGAGTGGACGTTAAACCCCATTTCTCTCTCTCTCTCTTTAAAGTCTTTGATACTGAATGTGCTTTTTTTGGGACAATGTCTAACTTTTCACATCTTAATCCATGTTAGAATTTACTCAGATTGATTATTAAACATTTAATAATATAAAATCAAACATCAACGGTTGATAATTTCCAAGGTTTGATTCAATCGAATTAAAAAAAGTCACAACAAAACATTTTACCCAACACTGGTGTCTCTTATAACGCCTGTGGAGGATGACGTCAAATTTTACAAAAAATCATTTAAAGGAGCTAAATCGCTAATATTTGGGACCTAGAAATTGACACAAATGAGTCGCAACGCATATAATAATGTAATATGAATGTATATAAACTGATTTACATTCAATTGCTATTCATTTCAGAGATTGACCTCTGACTGTATAGTATTATGCAAGGTATTCATATAATCCCTCGAAAAAGGGCTTTAATTTTAAAGGCAGTTGATAATAATTTCTTTCGTGTTTCTAAAATTATTTTGTAGAAAGCGAAGTTTAGATTCAGATAGTTTAATGGAGTTAACAGAGTTGGTACATAAAGGAGAAAGAAAAGGAATATTTTTAGATAAAATGCCGGCCAGTATACAACAAGTTATACATGCTGAAAATGTTACGTATGTGAAAGATAGAGATGTATATAATATGGAATATTTTAAATTTATACGAAACTTGGTAGCTAAAAATATAGTAAGTATTTTTCTGTATAGTACATTTATTTATATAGTTGTGTATGTATAGTGATGTTAAAGTCTGAATTTTTTTATAGCCTTATATCATATTACAGTCATTGTTTAAATAGTTGCATTTACACTTGGCCATGATAAGCGTACTGTAATCGTAACCATTCACTATGCCACTTGACTCATTGACAGACCTTATGAACATCATTCAATAATAAACTAATTATATTAATTATATGTTCCATAGAATTATGTTGTGTGTTTGTATAATATATACATTAAACTTTGCATAAGTCGGATTCGTATATAAGTCGGATTTTTGCTCAACTTGGATAAAATCGTTTGGACCTTTTGATCCTGCTCGTTTTTCTTATTAAATTTCTGCGTGTAAATTGGATTTCCAAAGTCAAATCTTTGCTCAACTCATATTAAAATGTTCGGTGTATTCATCTAATTCCAGCTTTTTTCCTTCGTCGGTTTCGTCCAGATGGTCTAAAATGCGGTTAGGTATTCTATGCATAGAGGCCCAAAATACTTTCCCCTATCATTTTGACTCAAATCTGCTGTCTGCTGTACGAGACACTTTCCAGGAAAATTTAGGACATTTTTCAAAGATGGCGACAAAACAGAAGTTATCTACACGCACCAAAACGGAAATTATCTACTCGCACATACGAACAAAAGCTTAAAATGTGCCTTTGAATCAATTATTCTCTGACTCTTGCTGTTTATTTCTAATCGAGCTAAGATTGAATTTCGGTCTTCGGCTAACTGGGATCTACGCTTAACTCGGATAAAATTGGTCAGTCCACTTAGAGTTAGATCCGACTTATGCGAAGTTTACTGTAGATATTATTTAAGTTATCGAGAAGCTTATATAAGATTTGTAGTAAATAATAATTTATTAATGTATATGTATAGTTTCAGGATGATCAACAAGTTGAATATGGTACTATGTGTGTTCAATCTATACAACTAGGTACACGCTTTCTATTTCATACATATCTTAGAACACGACAGAAAGAAGTGTAAGTATTGTACATTTCTTCTTACTAATTACTATAACTATACATTCTTGTCCATATTCTGTGGATAAACTGCCAACCATGGTTAGATCATCATCCGATGTTGAGCAGCATTGCTCTGTGGGGGTAGTTCTCTGGTTCACACCCGGCATCTCCACCATGCTCTATGGGGGTAGTTCTCTGGTTCACCATGGATGGCATGGATTAAAATGTATTGAATCTAAAAACCACATGTAAGATAGGCCATGTTTGGCCATGTTTTATTCAACCTCTCTAGTACCAAAGATTCCACATATGGGAGATAACTCCCGAAGACTCCAATAAAGAACAAAGGGGAGGGAACTCTTCCATGAAAGGTGGCATTACTATTTATGACAGTATCAACATAAGTTTAGAGAAACAAACAAAATGGTGTAACATACAGTAATACATACAGTACCACCAATCAATATATAACTTCGATTCTCAACAAAGATTTGACAATTGTCTTGATTATGTGATTGAAATCTGAAGATTGTAAATACTGTTATCCATCCTGTCCGCTAAGTCATAACTGTGTTCTGTATTTATTTACAACTATAACATTATTCTTTGATTGTTTTTAGAACTGAGCTTGACCAATGGTTAATCGTGTTACAAAGAATAATCAAATTATGTAAGGAAGCTTGTTTTTGGTTGGTAGAATATTTTGGCAGTACAGAGGGGTCAGAATTCATAAAGTAAGTAAAATAGATTATTGTTTACCAAATCAGAGGATAGTGGCAGTCCAGTCCATGAAATAGATTATTTCCATTGTGTGTAGTTAAACGGGAACCAAAGAAAATCCCAGACAAAGATTCTCCTGAATCCGGGCGAGATCTCACTCCAGAAAGTCAATAGAATGGACTGTGAGACCTGTGATATCCATTCCAGGAGTCTCTGCGTTAAATATCATCAAGTGTTTTATGCTGTGTTGTAGATAAGATAGGTTTGTGAAATATTTTTGTCACTCACTTAGGTTTAAGTCTATCTAAGCAAAACCAATATAATAAAATATATGTTCGTTTTTCAGGCCATTTTTGTTGGAATGTCCAAATAGAGATATTCGTAAAATGTTTTCTGAATTATTAGAAAAACTGATGACAGCTTTTTTTACCCATGGTGGTGTAGCAGTAAGTATATATAGGAGCCTACTTATATTATTTTATTTGATAACTATTTAAAAAAAAAAACCTTCATCTCTGAAATGCTGTTCAAATATAATGTGTTTCGAGTAGTCATCTTCACAAATGAGGAAATAGTTCAGCAACATTTCTAGCATTACACAGATGTTAGTATTACTTAAACATACATTATGCAAGAGCTAAATCTGCCTATTGCAGGTGTTTATTTAGGCATGAAATGTTATCTAAATTATTAATTAGACATTAATTAACTTATCCAGACCATAATTAACTCCTGATGTCATCGCTAGTCTGCCATGATTACAGGTATTAGGATCTGATTTCCTGCTCAACTTTCATTCATGATTTAATCATGAAATGGATAATCGAGACTATGTTTTTTATGGTACCGACTTTAGTAATGATGATCGAGGCTAGGCTGAAAATTCAATTGCTGAATTCTCAGTTCAGAGTGGATCAATTTGACTGAAATTTTCAGCAAATTCCCTTTACATAATCTAGCTTTTAACTATTATAGTGAGAACTGCCAGCTCTTTATCCAATATCAAATAATGTATCTTTAAATCACAACAGCTAGGACATTTTGATTATTGATAGATATCACAAATCATCTTGGACCATTTCATTTGGTGAATACTGAGTATTATTAAGTATTTGTATTTAAATTATTTCCTTATATATGTAATCATTTTCATGTATTCTCATATATTTAATCATTTAATTTCAGACACACAAGAGTTTTGATCCTATAATAGAACAACTATTACATATGTTAAATAAAGATGTTGTTGATAATGTTAAAAACTCAGTACAATATTTTCAACTTATCTTAGCCTACATACAAATGGTAAGTTAGTCCTTCACTCATTCATTCATTCATTCATTCATTAGCTCAGTCCTTTGCAAAAAGGTAGGAAAGGGTATTTAAGACAAACAGTATTATTTTTACATTTTTTCTCTCTAAGCCAGTGTCTAATATAATGTTCCTATTGTATTTGAATATATTATTCTTTATTTCTAGGGAACTAAAGCATGTGCCCATATGTTTGGACATAAAGGTTTTCAGAGATTAATAACATTTTTATTGGGTCATCCAGCTACATATGTCAATGGAGAAGAACAGGTAAAACATATTATTCATCTTTACTTGTATCCCAGTTTTATTTACATTCTGATAGACCTAAAGATAAATGACATTAGGGATATAACAACACGATTTAAAAATTATAATAAAACCAATTCAATTTATTAATGAGATGATCATCTTATGCAAAAGTTGACAGTCATCCTAAATACACATAGATTGAATGAAGAATCGAATCACAGGACCACTGTTTTTGTTTAATGATTCTATCAGATATAATCTAAATACTGAAGATGAATGTTTTATTTTGTTTTTCTAGGATTGTTTTAGTAGAAGATGGAGTTCTATACAAGCTCGTGAATTTAGTTGTCTACATTCAGCTCTAGCATCAATAATATTAAACTGTGACGTATCATCTTATAGAACGGAAGGTAGTTTATTCACTATTATCAACTTTTAATATCTGCTTATCATATAGATCAAAATATCTTATATCATATAGGTTGAACACCTGTGTTTGAATTGGTCTGCGTGTAAAACAACTGTTGACTGTTTGAATTGATGAAGTGTAGGAGGAAATGCCACTGCCCATTCCCCTCACAAACATTTCACTTTTATTCAGATCCTTGGATCCTGTTGGATTACACAGTCACATGTAGGTGAAAAGGAAAAAGAACCATTCTCCATGTTAGAATTCCAATCTTTCTTTTATTACTCAAAAAGGCAGAAGAACTACAGCATAAGGGAGACAACTTGTGTCTTCCTAAACATAAGGATTCAGACCACAATGATATGACTACATGTCACCATAAAAAAGAAATATTAGTCTTAAAATGAAATGTGTATTGTGTTTTTAAGAGAGTTGTCTATAAGACAATGATTGTTTTCATACAAACACCCTTTCCTCATATTGTCTTTCACTTTGAAATATTATACCCCATTCTTAATGTATATTCTCATCTAAATGGGCATCCTTATATGTATTTTCAGAACTTGGAGAATTTAAACCAAGGATGCCACAAACTGTTCAACCTAAAATATTTCTTCGTATGTCATCTGAAATGGAGAAATATATCTTTGGATCTGATAGTGAACGTTATTTAAAAGAGGTAAGTAGGTCTACATGTTCTCTTGATATTATATACTACTGTATGTAATTTATTACAATTGGTGCTGTTTACATGTTTATGTCAGGACAGTAAGATGTTTGTATAGGAATACCTTTGTTATATTTATTTAGATACATTCTTGACAAAAAGAAAAATGAAATGCTCGAGATATGATTTAGATACCATCACAATATAACACAAGGATTAAGTTACACTAGAGGTTGTAGATATTATATTGCAAGTTATACAAGCTGTACTGGAAATTATAGGTTATTCAAACTGTACAGGTCATACAAGCTTTTTACTTGATGATGACCTGGCAAGGACCATGCATAGTCATTCGGATGGGACAAAAAGCCAATGCCCCTCATACACATGTACATAAAATAACCCTTCATAGTAGGAATTCTATAGCTGTTCAGGAAAAATGTTCCTCATAGCACACTGTATGTCGTAATCTAGGCAGGTGCAGAAAAGTAAGACGTTAAACCCCATTTATTGACTCATTCTATACGTTATATATTACAGGTTATACAAGCTGTACGTGAACTAGGTACAGGTAATCTACAACAGATATTTGATATGTTACTGTATTGTGCATTCTGTAACACCAAGTTTAGTTTAATGGTTATTAAACAATTAGCGGTAAGTACAAATTAAATATATGTCACTATTTGTTATATTTGTAGCCTATATTTCCATTGGGATATTTAGAAAACATTGGCCATGACAAAAAATATAGTTTGATCAGCTGATTGAAATATTGTCGAAGGTTTATTAGACTAGGAAAATATCAGTGTAAAGACTATCAAGCATATCAATCATATAAGAAACATGGAAAAAATTAAGTGATAGACAAGTGTTTCTAGTAAGAAAGAAACAGAATTTTTCTATTAAGGAAAACAACATATACTTATCTGTATTATCTGAATGAATACCACCTGTATTTAATTAATGTTTGTAATGATAAGAGATTGTGCCTATTTGTATTTCAGTCCCATTATATGAATTCACCATCTAATGAATTAAAACCAATCTTTTCATTACTCACTGATTTACTGGTAAGTTGTATTGTGTATGATGTATTTCTGTGGTTGGTTGTTTGTGTGTTTTTGAGTAATATAATAGTGCACAACAGTGCCGTATTTAGCTATAGGCTTGGTAGACTGAAGGCTCAGGCCTCATGAGCCTTCCTTACATTCACTGTAGTCGAGAGGTTGGTTGGACCTCTCTGGTACTCCAGTAGATTTACATCTTAGTATTGGAATATGGTTCCAGTAGATTTACTACTATATATAGTTTCATCACTTAATGGAGCCATCCAATATATTTTCTAGTGAATGGAACATTTGGAAACATTTAACCTAGTCCTTTACTGAAGTTCTATGTTATATTTTCAAAGAATACCAAATTGTTCCAAATTGTTTGCTTCCATGTATCATTTTTGACAGGCTTGTGGTCTCGGTAGTCACTTTTATCAGGTCGCTCAGTTAACATTAACACATTTCTTCATCTGATTTAACATTCTGGTATTTATATAATTCTCATACTTGACTCTAATTACACTTGTATCAGTGAATAGTCTTTGAAATCGCCTGTTTTAGATATTATATTTAAATATTATGTATTATAGATCATAGAAGATCCACTACAGTTAACAAGGTTGAAGTGGGTTATTGATGGCTGTGTTGATGAGAAGGATAATAAATATGAAGGGTTAATATGTAAGTCTTATCATTTTGTTTTCTTGTATCAAAGATATATCTCTATTGCGAATGGCAAAATGGATGATTAATAACATCAACTCTCAATTTATTTCTCTCTCAGACCAGTTATAAAAATCCGTAACTGAAAGCACAACATGCCATAATTCTATGCATATTATTACTTCTTTTTTTTTCAGCTGTTATACGCCTTAACCATGTATCTGACAGTATTCGATCATATCGATGTATAAAGTTTTTAGTTAGTTTAACAACTAATTGTACTGTTACCAAAGATTATCTTCTACAAACACCTACTAAATGGCAGTGGGCTGTCAACTGGCTCAAGAAAAAGGTAAATGATAGCTATATTCAGTTACTAAATGCATTTATTGTAAATAGTAGCCTTCTATTTAATTTCTTTGAGTAGATTCCATTGGTGATGTGATATTCAAACTTTCAAAATTCTTACCAGTCAGGCCTTTATTGTGTCAGCTACCATTGATATACACTGAAAATATGTGAAACAAAGTGTTATATATATATATATATTGTTTACAATTATTGTGATATGACATTGTTTACAATTATTGTGATTTGTTTACATTTATTGTGATATTATATTGTTTACAATTATTGTGATATATTTATTGTGATATTTTTACATTTATTGTGATATTATATTATATTGTTCACAATTATTGTGATACTATATTGTTTACAATTTTTGTGATACTATATTGTTTACAATTATTGTGATACTATATTGTTTACAATTATTATAATATTGCATGGTTTACAGTTAGTTTAGTATTAAATCTTTTTTTTTATATCTTATATTACATATTTTCCAATTAGTGTAAGACCAAATTATTTTTATTGCAGATGAATAGTTCAACAAGCGCCAATCTATCAAATGAAGATACAAATCGTAAATCATTCCAGAGAACACAAAGTGCACAGGTATAGATTAATACAATATACCAGTATATATTGGAATATTGATTTTCAGTTACTGGCAATCATTCCATGATATTGGCTGAAAGTTATTATTAGATCTCTGTAATACTTCATGGAAGTAACTTGTTAACTATTTTATAGAACAATAATTATCACCACCTTTAGCTTATGTAATCTATTAACTAGATTTCAATAGGCTGATGAGAATTAATCTTATTACATCTATTGGTTTGACATTTCTGCTCAGGTACTTCTTTGGTTAAAGGAAAGTATTTGTTATGCAAGTGGCAATTTGAACTCAAATATAGAGAGAAAAATTATTTCAATTTCATTTGATAAATTAGCTGGAAATACACAGGCAACATTTACTGTTAATTTGTGAGTGACAGTTGGACATGGCTTCTCTAGTTTATATCAAGCAATGATAAAATATAAAATGTGATAGGACAATATGTACATTCTTGGTTAATGATGACATCCCACTAATTACCTTGAGTAAAAGCTAATATGTTAATTAATGTAAAATTATGAAGAATTTAATCAAGGTTGATTGCTGTAAAGCTAATAATAACATCCAATATAAATACATAACACTTTTATCTGAAAAGTAAAACAAATTACTGAAAATAACTATCACTTATTGTTCTCATCTTAAGTCATTATATAGACATGTTTATCCAGCCAAAAATATAGAGTAAGGAAACATGTCTTGAACCATACACTAAAACTAACCGTTTGTGTATTTGTAAGCAAAGCATTAGGAAATCAGGTAGTTGCATAGATCAAAGATGATTGTTTCTAACTGCATTCAACACATAACTAAATAGATTTATTCATTAAAATATATCTCAGATGGTTCCTGGAAGTATATGAGAATACAGATATGAAAATAAATTTATATTCCCAAAATAAATTGACAAAATATTTATTATATTTCAGTACACACTAGATGAAGCTACAGCTCTTCTGACAGAGATGGAAGCCCTGGAATCAATCAATTCTGATATCACTATGCAAAGTACCTCAAGTAGTGATGATAAAGATACCTCTAATAAAACAGAAACTGAGGAACAAAAATAAACAATATATTGTACCCTGGTCATAAAATAAACCACATTTAATAAGGGTTAAAGAATAAAAATAACAGTTATTATTTGTGAAACAATAGACACTAAGGAGTCTTTAAGTTTCTCCTAATATATTGATATTATTATAAAAATTTAGTATTTGCCCTGAAGATAACAACATCATATACACAGTAGATGAATTACTTTATTTTTTGTAAAAATTAGGATTTCATTCAAAAAGATTAGATGCAGAGGGCACAAAGGCTTTTTTTTTATTTATTCAGGGTGTTGAGTAGTCTAAGATATGCACTAACTTTTCAACATGGATCTTGTTAAGAATTACTAATACTTGTTCCATGTGTAAAATAACAGTCTGACCGTTTGCTGTGTAATAATGGAGATACAAGCGGAAAGAAATAAACTATTTATAGCAAACATTACAAGAAGGTTTCCCCCGACCTAGATCAGTTCCTTGAATAAATTATGACGTCAGTCACGTCACCTGCAGTAAACAATTGTGGTTGCCTCCAGCAACAGTTTCACACTGGACTATTGACCTCTTGTCTGTTATCCAGGTCTCCCATCTATCACGACTGGAACATTGCCGAATTTCTGTATTTTAAAACTTGTTGTAGTCATATTCAAGGAATTTACCGAAAATCACAAAATCACATTTGAAGGTAAATAATGAACAAAATTTTTAAAATATTTTGAGTAGATATTTTTTAAGGTGTAGAAGTGTCACTTATAACCTCTACTTTCGATCTAAGGGAGAAATTATGTCTTTTTAGCATGAACCTATAGAATTTTCAAGAAAACTCTTCATTTTTTGGCGTTTCTATGGATATCAAGCAAACCTCGGTCTATAGCCAAAAAGCGTCCCTTAGGTTTCTTGGGCTTGCATTTAGCATTCTTCATGCCAAATCTGATGAAAATTCATGAAGGGAGAACTGAGAAATTTTGACTTTTGCTGTCATCAGTACCCTTTGTTATCATACTTTTGGGCCAAGTTTGGAACGAAATTGTAAATAAAATTTTTTGGGTGATTAATATGAAGTTTATCACCCCAAATAACAAAATATGTCATATCTTATCAACAAAAATTTAAAATGTGCATTTTAGAGTACTCAACGCCCTTAAAAATAAACTTAACTTGTTGGAGGATTTTCGATAAGATAAATGGTGTAAGATATGGAGAATCTTAAAGCCATGTACTAGATATGATTTATATTAAAGAGATAGGTTCATTATGTTACAGTGAATATGATTGGTTCTTTGTACAATATATTCAAATATGATTGGATCTTTTCTTAAATTAATCAGTGAATGACATGCCAATATAAATAATCTCAATCCTACTTCAATGGTCATTCAAGTCATTATGCAAATTACTTGTATATTTACATATTTTGTATTGTTGGCTTTTTTCTAAACTGTAAATATGTAAATAATTTTAATGCCATCTGGTATACTATTTCTCAAAGTGCTATTTTGCAAATAATGAATCGTGTATATAATTTATATATTAGAGTAATGTAGCATGCAATTAAATGAAAATAGAGGATTTATATATATATATAAGGTAGCTGTTGATGTATTATTATTTGAGTGTAAGTGAGTAATAGTTATGTTCAATTTACTTTATGTACATGAAATTGATGGAAGTTATAATTATATTAAATAACAGGATGAGTCCATTGGGGTTTGTTATATTATAGGGTTGAATCACAATACTTGTAATTATATTAAAATATGAATGAGTTTCTAGTAATTGTAATTACATTAAGTTACAAATAAAATTAAAAGACCCTTTGGTTTAAAGACGAACTATTGAAGCCTTAAAGCTTGACTCCATTCTATTTCCAGTTTGAAGTAGTGTTAAACTTCCAGCAGCAATATCTTGTTGAAAAATTATTGAACAATAATCCACATAGATTATCACTTGAATTAGGCATATATATAAATTGTCTTATTTCAAGAGTCTATAATTCCGCGATATACAGTAATGGCAGTTTTGTAATGACCTTCGGAATGTTGTGATTTAATCTGTCTGCTTTTGATAACTTGGTTATCTTTTTTGTATTAAAAGTCGAAATGTTGAGGATTATAATTATTTTACTTTTTTACATATAAATTTGTAAGAATATGACATTAAACATAAATTTCATTTGAAAGTTTTAAATCACAAATTGTATGAAAGTACAGAAGCCTCTGTATACATATTCTTGCAGTGTTTTGTTTTCATAGAAAAGGGAATCCAGGCAAATTACTTAGATCGTAATTACCTGAATGTGCCTTCATTCTACATGTGTGAATTTCTCACGGGGAGGAGAAATGGTTACAGATTAAAATATCAAGTGATGGCAATCGAAAGCCTTGGAATCCAAGACTATTTAAATTGTTTCAATAGTGTTTAATAATTAAACTGGAAATACACAGGACACAAATTCTATTGTTTATTACGGGTGGTATAAATTGAGTATGCCATAGAATCGTTTCCTATATAAGAATAAGTGTTATTTGTTTGATAATGACAGATATATAAACTGCATTTAAATATAATTATCACATGCACTATTTTTTTTGTTCTATTTTATTAGTGCTAAAAGGATAGATCATACTGCACGCAGCGACCCATCTACATCATACTTCCCAGAATGTGACTCAGCCGAGCTAGCTGTAGATAGACAGCCTAAGTTTGGGATGAGGATAGATATGTCATTTATTAAATCATTCTAGTGGAATATGAACAGATTTTTCACAATTATTATTGATCACTTAAAATGAATTGTTGAGTTTTAGTAATAAAATTTGTATTAAGTAGAGTCTGATCTATGCACCTTAGAAGAAAAGAAAATTATTGTCAGTACATTGAGCGTCATACTAACATTCACACCCAAATGACAGACTTTGCTGGATTACATGTATCTATTTTAACTATATTTGAGAAACAACTTGCATTAAAAAGAATATATAAATTGAAGTTTTTTGGGGTTCTTTAGTCAGTACATATTAAAGTATTAGGAATTTAATTCATATTATTTTGGGATTTTTTTTTGTTGGAGTGCCAATATTATGCATGTTATGTAAAATATTTTTTTGTTGAATTTTGTTATTTTATGCAATGTACATGTAATTTACACAGGTTTCTTCAGTTATTCTGTTTTCTTTCTTCTTTTTTTTTGTTTTAGTAAAGTGTTATACTGCTTGTTATAAGGTTGTACATTTTGATAGAAGAAAAAAAAAGAGTTTAATCATTTAGCTGCTGTGTGATTTCTACTTTCTATAAAATGTTATTAATTAAATCAGTTTATTTGCAAGTAAATAATCAAATGAGATTTCTTTATAATAAATTATTATGTAGATGTGCTTTGTTCTAAAAGTAGTTAAATGTAAATGACATAAATATTTCAATGTTTTCTGTAAGTCTCTGGTACTATTTAAGGTTTGCATTATAGTATTTCCCTGATGAATTTTTGGGATGTAATGTGATAAATATTACTGGTCACAATTAATTTGGTTAATCAATGTAATGAACAATTGGGTTTATTTTGTAAACAGAAGGTTCATTTTGGGTCAGATTGGGGATGTCATACTATGAAATCAAACTTATGATAGATAGTGGAATTGGAAAAAGGTTATTCTATAAAACTTATTTTTCTATTAAACAAAGTCTCTATGTGAACCATATTTGATATAATGATCAATTAGATTTTATTTTCAAACAGTAGGTTTATTTGGGGTCAGGTTGAGAGTATCATACTGTGAAATCTGAATTAAAGTGGAAAACCCCAACATATTCTATAAAACTGTTATTTTAAGTAATCATGTGAGCTTAAATATTATACTAGAAAGATATCAGAATTAAAAGTTTGTCAGGTTAAATTTCGTGAACACAAGAGTCCTAACACCGCTTTATTCATTGATGATTTCCAATAATATCAATAATGAATTTTTGAATATAAAGCTCACCTTTTTTTTCATGTGGTAATAATATTAATAGAATATTTGTATATTTCTTATATTGTTAAAATACTTGTACATCATTTACATTTTTCTTTCATTTATATTGTTTATAAAACCTGTCTACATGAGTCAATTGTTGGTGTTTTCTGTTAGTGTTCCTCTAGTGATGAAAAGGAGTTATGGCCCTTGTCATGTGGCTATCTTAATTCAAACCATGTATGGGTAATTTAAGTGTTTACCTTAACTTGGTTATTCTTGCAGAAAAATCTAGTGTCTGTGACCGGTGTGGGTGTGCATGTTGCTGGAGCATGCCAGATGCCTTGATATCCTATCATCTTGTGTAAGGTTGTTTTCAGATTATCCCTTTAGGAACTCCCTACTAAAGAATAATTGGGCAGGCTATTTAGTACAATGCCTTGATATCAAATTCTGGCATGAACATGAACTTTTCCTTGATAATGTTACACAAGTATTACGAGAATCAACAGATGACAGGTAGTTCTTTTGTCAGCTAGTTATTCAAATTCATTAACCTTATTTTAAGTTCCCCTGAATTCTGAAATGTTTACTTGGACTTCTTGAATCTAAGCTGGCTTTAGCAATTCTTCAGCCAAATATAATTCTATTCATACACACAGCTGTAAATGAAATATGGTTTTAACATCTTACTTTTCTGCCAAACTAAACAAATAAAGAATGGCTTATGCCATTCCAACTGTCAACGGTTCTTTTACATCCATGCCAATTTATACACCCTCGTTTTTTTGGTTTTTTTTGTACCATCCCGTTGGGAGCAAAACAGTAGGACGTTAAACCCCATTTCATTTCATTTTTTGTACCATCCAGATGACCAGACATTCCTTCCCTCTTTTCTGCATATCAACAAGGGGAAACCCTGCTGGAAAATCCTGAGAAACTTTCTTGGCCAACACCAGGAGCACATCCCCCAACCTCCATGAGACCTGGTTGTAAGCCATTGCAGCACCCACACACAGCTGTTATTACTCTGGGGAACAGTATGTTTTCCCCTGGTAAGTGGTGCAAGCAAGATGGAGGGCCTGGTAAAGAATGGCATATGTGCACATGTCATATCCAAAAGAATCCTAGACGGTTAGAATTCAAAATTTCATTAAATAGCTCACTGCATGGTGTATAGGCATCTTCATTAGCCCAGTTTGGAAATGTTAAAGTAACCCCAATTTCATTTCTTTTTATAAGCTGCCAATGATATTTAGAATCTAAAGCCTAACATTAATATTTATTCCCCTTATGTGCAAAATACTGATTACTTAAGGGTTAGATCTATTTGATAAGGCCAACTGAAAGTTTGGTCAATGGTCACAAGATGTAAACAGGACTAGCCCTAATCCAAACCCTAACCCTAACTTAAAAGCTTGTCAACTGCCCAAATCTTATTTACATCTCAGCTATCTAGAGGACAATTGAGTTGGCCTTAATAGATCTAGCTGTATTTGCCTTGGATTTTGTGTTATTTCACTCTCTTTTCAGCACATGAAAATCCTGCATATATTATTAGTTCATATGCACTATAAAGAGAATGTCAGCAAAGCTTTCTCATGAAACTCTGGTCAGCATTATAGTAAGGGCCCTTTATCACAAATACAAATAAAAAGACATTTTACTTTTCTCTTTTTTTTTTTATTGACATCAGATCTCTAGAAATATTTTCAACCATTATGTTCAATGATCTCAAAATCTGCAATAGTATATTTAAAGCTAATAATTCTTTTTTTTTACAATCATGCTTGAACATGTTGAACTTAACAAAATAACACAAATTAAACCAGAATTATAAACCATGAACTTTTTAATATGTGCATGCAATATTCATCCATTAAGGTGAGTAATAATATCAAATACATTAAAACAGAAATGTGAATTGCTATTCCACATTCCTTTTATTGACATTCAAACAATTCACAGAATTCAAAAAATCAATTATAGTTAATAAGTTAATTTTTTCAAAATGTATTAATAAAAATTATTGAGGGCAATTCCATCTAATTATGTAAAATGAATTGGCAACAGTATAATCAGTTTCTGTTAAGTAGTGAAAGTTATTTCATGAGGTAATGTAGGAGTTTTGGGATACCGAGATTTTGATTAGTTCTTGTCTTTCAAATAATTTTCACTCTGGTCATCTTCCACTCACACCAACCAGTCTTGCCTACCTATTATTTTTCTCTTAAATAATAAATCTATACAATATAGTAGCACCATGTATCATAGAGTACTCTGAGCGTCTTGTCCATTAGCAGCATAGATAGACAATCCAATACCTTTAATCTGTTACAATGGCCTCGACAAGACTGATCAATAGACCTGCAACTCCAACAATTACGAATATCATTAACCTAAATATCTTGAAATAATTTTCGTCATTGAACTCACGAAATTGATCATTTTTAATTGGGGGAGGATAAGCATGACAAATTTTGGCAAGATTACACACCAATTAGGATAAAAATATCAATGGCTGTACTGACATAATCAGCAAATAAATATTATATAATATGTATAGGAATTATTGTAGTACCTATTATAATGTCTAGACAGAGGTAATATAGATACGATTTTAATTGAATATACTTTACTTATTATACATACATGTACATAGATAGTGTTACATTTCTTTAACTTTCAAAAATAATATTATCAACAAATTTATCATTAACATCGTCTTCCATCCTACAACAAAATACTGTTATCATTAAGACTTTTTTCTTTTTGCTTTTAAAAGATGAAGAATCAATGAAGTTTGGAACTTGAAATGTTAATAAAAAGATGGAGGGGTTAAAATTCCTAACTAGAAACTGTACAACAGCACTATTAAAAACAAACACATTGGAAACAGAACATTTGATATTTACAGGTTCTCACGTCGTCGTCGTCTCATTGCTAACACATCCCATTAATGGATGTAGAAAATGACATCTATATATAAATGCTGAAGTTAAATTACTTAATTATTCGGCAGTGTTTCCGTGCCATTATTATAGAAAATTAAATACCAGCATGAATTGAAACACACAAACAACCATACACATGTATACATCTGACTCACATATATAGACAGGAAACGCGTTCTTATTTATTTAGTTTTTTGTGTTTAAAATGTACATACACTATATCTGAAAAATTATTACTTATGGAAATCTCACCACCCTATACTTAATGAAGCTAAAAAAAAAGATTGGTGCTTTGTGATCCGTGATAAAATGGTCACGTCCAATCAACAAATATTTTTTGTACAATATAATTCCAACTTGGTTTTTTTTCCCTTTTATAAGAAGTTACCTTCAGAACACATGACATTGATTTGAAGAAATAGAGAGGTGTTCATTTAATGAAGAGATGATAATATGATAAGTTATAATTGAGCAACAACAGTGGTAATAAAACACATCACTAAGTTCCATCCGATAAAACAATATACAGTCCAGTCCATTTATTTTTATTTATTAAATTTAACATTCTACTGTCCAAGATACCCAAATCTTGTGAGATTTCTCCACAACATATATAATAAGCATTGTATACTTGGCACTGTGATAAATCAATATATCCGATGCACAGTTCCAGATGTTAGCGTGCATCAGCTTAGTGAGACCAATCAAAACCACTGAACTGTCGTAAGGAAGATTCCATGCATGATGATGATTTGAGATTAGTAAAAACAGGGCCATCTCAAAAATCGGCAAATTCTTTTGCACACTTTTCTGTCGAAGATATGCGCAGTGCTTCTTCTTCGTAGTCATCAAAATTACTAGTATCTCCTGCACCTTTATGTTTAGGGATAAATGGAGCTTCAACCTGAAATGGACAACAACATACATTAAGAAAATACATCAGAACATTAATACCAAACCAGTTATACACATTAGTCGGAACCAATACAGCAAGGGAACAATAATCGTTATTTAGTACACAGTGGTATATACCCATTACTATCCATGATCTAAAACAGATGGATGATCAATTTGACTATATAATGTTAGTTGTATAGTAAAGAGATGATACTATCATTGAGCCATGGACTTCTTGATGTAACAGACAATAGTTATATCTAGATACATTTAGTAGAAGAAGACCAATTAAAATTTTGGACCCTGCAATTATGATTTTACCACAGAGAGAGAGGGTTTATCATTTTCTCATCACAAACTAATACATGGTACTATTTTAATTCAATAATTCGCTTTCATGTATGTAGGGATCTTTAGCAGCAAGAAGAACTGTTTGGTTAGGCTGGTGACCCTACATCATGGCATGTACAAATGTGGCTTAATGACAGGCTTCATGATCTAAATCACTGGTATAATAAAGATTATATGAAAGAATGTTTCTCTATACAAGCATGTGGATTGTCTTGTTTTCTTAATAAACATTGATTGTGTACAAACCTTTCTCTGATAAATAGCAATCCAATCAGTACTGTTAAACCATCTGTGTTGTTTAATATCATTTACACCATTTCTTAAATTACCAAATCTTTTAGTTAAATCAACTTGTAGAAGATTACGTAATAAATCTTTTAAATCACCACTAAAATGGGAGGGGAACCTAACCTGTAAGAGAAAACATAATTCATCAATGATAAAAACATAACAACAGTCAGGCTAATATTCCCAGCTTTAATAATTAAATAAATTGATGACACTCATTCACTACTAACATATTTATCTTTTCATAAAGGATCCTGTGGTCGATCTCTGCGTTGGACGATAACGTTCATTGTGATTTTCCATCATGGTTTCTCCTTGTCAATGGTGCAGGTCCGAACAAACGAAAAACTGACATCCTGTGTACACACTGGTGTGCATGTAAAAGATCCGTTGACAGTTGGAATTCGTTATAAGAGTAGACCGTAGTGCAGCTGTCCTGGCGAAATTTCCTTCATAGTACATGTACTCTGCTGAGCAGAAAATGTTCATTATCGAACATAGTCCAGGTATAGATGTAATGTAATTATACACCAAGTTTTATCACTCTCTTTTTCAGTTAGAATCAGAGTTATCATGTTCCAAAGCATTCACAAATCAAATTTCTTATCTTTGTTTAGTCTACATATAACCCAGTCAAGACATTCACCTCATAAACATCTACACACAGTTTGAACATTCTATCGCAATTAGAAACAGAGTTATGGTATCCCTAAAAGTGTGATCCACGGATGAACAAGGAAGTCGGTTTCAATAGTCCCCCGTTTTCCCGAAAGGCTTAGAATGATTAATGAAATTATATTTGTCCCCCGTTTTCCCGAAAGGCTTAGGATGATTAATGAAATTTAAATATAATTAACTCAGGCAGTCATTTTAAATAGTAAGACGAACATTAGTGTCATTAGCTCCTGATTTGTAAATTAAGTGTATGTAGTGAAATGAAAGGAAACATCTACTCGAGACTAACAGTAACATATATGGTAGTTTATATTTGTTAAATTGTGTGCAATGCCAGGGTGAAATTGTTATACGTGCAGACAGAAGCATTTCTGGCTACTCTTCTTTGAATTCCAACTGCCAAGGGATCTTTTACGTGAGAAACTATCTGTGCACAGACTTGTTTTCAAACCAATTCGAATAAACAGACATTAATTTAATATATTGATGAACAAAGCCTCTCTTTTTAAATACAAAATCACAATTTCCATTATGTTTTTCACAAACCAAAATCAAGTCTTCTTGGGTTTTTTTTTTATAAAAGTATAATGTAAATGTTTTTTGTGAGTCTATTAACCAATGGCCTACATTCAACAAACAAGATCAAAGTCAAAAATCAATAACTAAATGAAGAAAACAAGTAGCAACACATCAACTATCAAACTGATACAGTTCATCAGTTATAACACCAACTCTAACAGAATAGACTCTTCCATAAATCAATACTAATAAAATACAACTTGGACTACTCCACCCTCAGATCAAGGGATGTTGCTATGAAATGTCTGTCATTCATCATTTATAAATCTTTATATATAACAGGGCATTGGGTTTGTTTTTAATTGGATCATCTTCAAAGTTCAGAGACAGACCATTCACCTTTCATACACTTCCTAATACCCTTGTTTGGACATCTTAGCATGTTCAAAGATTTCGTTTGTTACAAATATAGGACTACAATAACCTTAGTTAATTGTACAGACAAATTAACACAGATTCTTTGTAGAATTGTTATAATTTAAGCTGTAGCTTCCAGCAACAGACAATTTAACAACCATCAGTTCAATTTTACCTGATATGAAAGAGAACAATTGAGGCTTCTGTCCTGACCCAAGTTCACTAGGAAACATGTACTTTAAGTTAAATCTATAATTCACCTACTTTAATAATAGTATAAAATAATGAACTTTATTATCGTATATATCACAGCTGTATAGAAATAGCTTCTGAGAAATTAAATACAATATCAAACTCAAATATGGGTTTTTCCACAATCTGAAACAACTCGGTCATTAACACACTAAATATTTCTGTAATAAAAAACTTAGCAGTAATTTCATACCCATACCAAGAAAATTCAACTGTATACCTGAATTAAGCTAAATTGGTTGACCTACAAATTAATATAACAAAATATTTCCTTTCATGAAATTTGACCTGAAGATAAATGGTGAAAGCTAATTTCAAAATGCCCATGCTATGATCATAGACTTTAGTGCTAGTAAAACATCACTTTGCAATTACCAAGGTTTCAGGTTATAAAAATTCCTATATGAACAGACTACACAACTGATAAAGTATAGTGTACTTAATTTTTCAAATCAAGGACCATCCCAACTTCAGTCAGAAGAATATGTAGGTTATACAAGATGTTTTATTAGAGTATGGAGGATATGGAAGATGCTTTATTAGAGTATGATGGTTATACAAGATGGTGGGTTTTTTTTCTTAAGTATGGAGTGTTGTGTTGGGATCACTACCTTCTAGATGGAGGTTATACAAGATGCTTTATTGGAGTATAGTGGGGGGTATACAATCGTGTTGGCACATATATTCTTTTTTGTGTTATTTTGTCGCTCCAGTAAAATACACAATACAATGTGCCAGGGACATTTCAATTTTACCCACAATATATACATGTACCATGGTGTTGATACCGGTAGTACATGTCTAATTTATTTAGATATTTATAACACTTTATAATGCTATTAACTAGTGTCAATCAAATGAGAATGAGCGTATGTGAAGTATATGTTGTTATAAAATTCGCTGAGAATTGACTTTAACAGCATGAGTAACTGCAGGCAACGACAGAGCTTGGTGTAAACAATGTAAATGGTGGTTTTACCAAGTATTTATTCGTAGTTAATTACCCAGCAATATTATACTACAAGTGGTTTAATTGGAGTATGGAGGTTATGTTGTATTAGAGCAATATGGGGGTTATACAATATGTTGTATTAGAGCATGGGGGTTACAAGATGTTTTATTTATTTGAGTATGGGGGGGTTATGCATGATGTTTTGTTAAAAAGTATGGAGGTTGTGGAATATGTTTTATTAGAGTATGGGGGTTATACAATATGTTGTATTAGAGTATGGGGGTTATACAAGATGTTTAATTAGATTATGTGGAATATACAAGATGTTTAATTACAGTATGGGGTTGTAGAGGTTGTTTTATTAGAGTATGAAGGTTGTAGAAGATGTTTTATTAGAGTATGGAGGTTGTAGAAGATGTTATAGATTGTGTGTGTAGAGTAGTAAGGTCAATATTTCTATACAGATGACATCTAGTTGTACTAATACTACTGCTTCTAATCAATAATGTAATGGTGTCCAGACAGTTCTATCAATGATATATCCATCATACTGTATCAGTACATTCATCACTCAGACTTTCATTGATTCATTTCTACTTTCAATATTTACCTTTCCAGAGACAATTTTTTCATAGATTTGAATAGGTTGATCAGCAAAAAATGGAGGATATCCTGCTGCCATTTCATAGATAAGTACACCTAGTGCCCACCAATCTACAGCTTTATTATAGCCCTGAATAAAATAAAATTATTTTTATTTTCATACAGAATTACCATATTAGTACTAGAGCCCTCTTAGGGAGGTGGTCTATGTAGCTAGATCAAACATTGACAGCTTATTTTCAGATCAAAGATTTCTGGAATCATCAGCTCAAGTGGCAACCTGTTAATGATGTCCTCAACCTTAGTAGCTAAGGGTTTAGCTTTCTTTAGCAGATTGGGATACCAAACAAAACATACATATTAACACAAGTTTTAAAAACATAAAAATGCAATCTACCAGGGCAGTCTTACAATAGATGGTCAAGGTTACTTTTCTGTCCCAAGAGAAGTCAAAACAAGCATTTGGCATTTTTTAAAATGAAACAATGTTAACAATAATTTGCACAACTTATTCCAGATAAGAAGGCAATCAGATTGAAATATACATTAATAATACATATAAACACATTATTCTTTGCACAATGACATCTGTACATATGTGTAATAAATGGAATAGAAGTAAATAAACTGGAAACATCTATCTTAGTAATTAGTGAATAAATATCGTAATTACCTTGCTGAGAATAATTTCAGGTGCCAAGTATTCAGGTGTGCCACATAACGTCCAGGTTCTGCCTTTAACACGTTTAGCAAATCCAAAATCAGTTACCTGCAGAGGAAGAAGAAGACCAGTTAATTTGATAGAAATAAATTAATATCATATCATACAAATAAAATTTGAAAAGTTAGATATTAAGAATTTATTGTTATGTAAATTATCTTTGAAAATTGGAATACATGCAATGACTATGAATATCAGAATTTTAGTGTAAATAAAATTAACAAATCTATCTTATCATATTGTGCCCCCTTGTTAAAGCTTCAACAGACTTCCAATAGAAATTCTATGTGTAACCAATAAATACATATGTCTTATTTGAAACTTCTAGATAACATAAATTCAAGATGATCTGTTGACATTTTATTAACACTATTTAAAGATACAGTGTATATTTCCTAGATAACATAATCAGACTACCAGATGAATATATTTTTTGCTATCTTTCATGCTTCTTCAAGTGATGTTATTTTTATGAAGCTTATTAACATTGCTACCATTATATAGTGCACTTGTTTGCAAGCTAGTGAATGGGAGACAGTTAATTGACTCTTGCGTAATAATGAACTTATGCAAACATTGTGGGCTTATAAACAACTTGAGTCTATCATTTCACTATTCACAGTCATACTTTCAGACAAAATTAAGCTTAGACAGTCGAAAAGATGACCTAATTGTGAGAACATATCTTTAAAGGCAGCTTGCTCTTGTTTGAGATACAATGTATATCTACATGTACATGTACATACAGCGATATATTTTAAACATATAAATATCAAGAATTCAACATAATAAAAAAAATCTTTAACAAAAACATGAATTGTGAAACCATAATATTTCATAACTAAAATAGAACAAATAGATTTCAAAACAGAATTAGAAATACTATAACAACAATTTTCAATAAGGATGAGATTTATTTTCTTTCGAGATATCTATACAAATACGATTTATTATGACATCATCAAGTTTCCTTCAATAAGAACATTGTGTAGTCCTAGAAGCATTGTTACCATAAATATCATTAGAGTATTTATCATGTTCTTATTACAATGCCTAGCATGACAATTGCTCTTTATCCATCTGTAATATCAATCTATGTCTAATACACCATACTTATTGTAAATAGATTTATTAAACTGAGCTGGGTATATAACTAGAAATATTAGCCATTGTTCATTTATTAATGCATTCCATCAACAGCTTATTGTCTATAGGACTTAATATAAACAATAGCCAGTACTATAAATAGATTTTAATGAACATGTGTTTTTTTTCTCTGTTCTCAGAAAAACACCATAACTCACATGTGGGTGCCTGAAAGTGAATCCAATGGATTTCCTTACATTAAAGTAAAGTGGCATTAGGTAAAATTGGAAATAGAGTTGATAGTTCTCGCCATAATAGTTAAAAAAACAAAATAGATAACGGAATGAGAAAATGCTGAATATTTCTGTCAAATTACTTCACTCTGAATCAAGCTTTCGGCGATACAATTTTTGTCTTGCCTTGATTGTCATTACTACCGTTGTTACGATAATTACCTAAGTCTTGATTATCCATTTTTACGGTTATATCATCAACCAAAAGACATATTCAAATCTACTAAATATCGGAGCCATCCGATAGCATCGAGAGTTGATTATGGTCTTGACACTGGTAAGTTCATTAATGTCTAATTAATAACTTATATAACATTTCAGGCCTAAAGAAAGACTTGGAATAGGCAGATTTAGTTCTTTCATAATGCATGTTTAAGGGAGAATGGTTTAGCTCACTGCATCTATTAAAGTTGTTTACTTCGAAGTTCATAATAGAAACATTATAATGCTGTTCATCAATCATTCCACACTGACAAAGTCAAGGATTTATTGAGTTGTTTTCAATAATATTGAGCTGTAAGTAGTGTACATGAACTAGTCACAAGGCTATGCTTACTCTGTCCAGAGTATCTGATACCACCTCTTCTTTAAGATTTCACACACAGTCAACAGTGTTTTGCTGTATTTTAGCACTGTGTAGGCTATATTGAGGTCTTTAAAAAAATCTTGTCAAAAGGTTTTCAAACAATGTAAATTGCCTAAGGAATTAAATGCCTTACATCAGAATATATACGTGACCGAACATAACACTATATAAATCGTTATCATATTCATGTATTGTGATAATTACATTCAGTTATCATATACATCATTTCAATTATCATATACCGGTAGTTTATGGCAACAGTGCTGTATATTAAATAAACTGTATTAATATCACATACATATAACAACCAGAAACCCACTCCACTTACATAAGTTATTCTTACATTATTCAAATAAGTCACATTTTAAGATTTAATGTCCATTTTATGAACATGCCAACATTGGTACAATTGCAAAGCCCAGATATCCTGAAACCAAATACCAGTATCACCAATGCCATTGAAAATGAATTTAATTCTAACTTATAATGATATCATGGTTGAGTAAGCTATCAAACTTAATAGAAGGTGAAAGGTTTTTGCTTACAGAACATGAAATGCTCTTAAATATTTTTTGGGTTTTTTTTTGTTTTTTTGCAGTGTTAACTGAAAGAAAACAGAATGCTTTCATCATGGTTGAGCGCAGTTAAAAGTAGCTAGTTTTTAAAAATGCCAGTATCACTTTAAAGCGGTCATGGACCTGGGTTTTTTTTTTTAAAAAAAAAAACAAAAAAAACAAAACAAAACAAACCAGAGTGTAGACAGTAACGTTCAACACAAACAATCAAAGAGATCATATCGTTATACTATATGTTACATTATTTCTTGTGTGTTTAAAATTTAACTTCTTGTTGTCAATCTATGCAAACAAACAAAAATCTATATTATTAATCACAGTATTGTTGTCCTGGATCTTGTTCTCTATTTTTACTCAGTACAATTTCATGTTGAAACGTGATAGAAGTAGTACACACCCAACATTTAGATCTATATCTATTACTATTATTTATTTGTGATATTGACGTGATCAATATTATTAATGAGGTGTAACCGGCATCCTGTTTGAACTTATCTAGTGAAATCTGCACAACTACTATGTACTAACTAACACTAAGTAGCTAGACTTGTTTGTCAAGATAACTAAAACGTGTTTTACATGTGAAAATTTTACACTATTTTAATCTTTTTATAACCATGAGCATCATTTGAGAGATTGTTAATTCTGTGAAATCTAAAATTTGTGGAAAAATGCCAAACGACGCACAGAGACCAATACACTTTCATCATCCATTTCTGTAAAGAATGACCCAATATCTAGAATAAACAGCAAGTATAGACCATATACAGTCAAAACCAGTCTTCACAAAACATACTACTTCAAAATTGATCAATCCTGCATACTGTACATCCAAGTTCAAATTATATTGACTTCACACCACCATCTTTAATTATTTTGTAATCGTCTGTCAATGTCTATCTCATTTCTATCCATGTACATAGAAGCCAAGATGGTATCTAACCAATGTATTACATTTTAATTTTCGAAAATGACATCTAAAGATCTAAAGAAATCTTTCCCAACTTTATTCTCATTCAATTTGTAAAAAGTCAAATGCTTATTGGCCTTCCACTACATTATGTCCGTTATAATATATTGTTTGGAAAACATAAACTAGTATACTATTTTTCAGGGACTCATGTAAATGAATATTAGAAAATAAATTGATTAAATTGAAACATTCCTAAGTTTCATACTGGGCTATAAATATACTCTAACTAGGTCAAATAACTATATATAGGTTTTATATAAACTATAAATAATTCGGGACTTGTTTATTTATAGTTAATATTCAACACTCTACTTAAAGAAAAGTATCTATCAAGCTGAATTGTCACATATTCCTATCAAAAAAAAGTACAAAGGCACTTATATCAATGGAAACTTTATTTTATCTTTTTTTAATCTCCTTCATATCTAGGTTACCACATTTTAAAGGTCAACGTTTGATAAAATCGAGAGGTCAAACAACATCAAATTAAAAACTATTATTTAATTTTACCATATGAAAAGTACCCCTTCAAACACTCATAAAATAATATTTTAATCTGTTATATAAATAGCCTATATAATGGCTATATGTGTATTTATTGAGCATCAGCTAACTATACTGAGTTTAACTTTCATTATGTCAATATAATCCATGCATATTATATTAATCTCTGTATATAATTTGCTTGTGCAATGTGACTGTTTAAAAATGCATGATCATCATTACATAGATAGTTTATATCAAGTAATTACTTTCTCCAAAACATGCAATAAATCGTATATTGACTATCATATTAAAATCATCCACCCAACCGATTTTTCAAAGTGCTGGTAAGACATGTATACACATGAGAGAGAAATGTGGTTCAATTAGGTCAATCAAAACTAACATGTTTTATTTTACTTTAATAATTCATTGGCACACAGAGGGAGGGTGGGGGTTAGAGAGAGAGAGAGAGGGGAGAGAGAGAGAGAGAGAGGGAGGAGAGAGAGAGAGAGAGAGAAATGGGGTTTAACATCCGCTGGACACAAACTAGGTCACTTCAGGACTATCATATGGCTCAATTTTATTTCAATAATTCGCTTGTGCGTAGGAGTCTTTAGCAGTGGGAGGAAACAGAAGAACCCAGAGAAAACCCACAAGGTTGGAAAGGCGACCCTACTCCTGGTCACGTACAAACAGGGAATTGAAACCATGCTAGTTGACTCATTGACAGACCTTATGATACAGCACACATGTGCTAACCATTCGGCCGTCCAACCCCCTAGGGGGCTTAAAAGTAAGGCAGGCAACCCTACATGCCTTTATCAAACCCTTGACTTGCACAGATAACAGGCATTAAGACCATGAGAACATGTGTTAGACCACTCCACCACCCCACATCCATCATGATTCTTGATTGCAAATAAGAATTGGATATTAATGCTTTAATCTTCAGTAATTTGGTGCATAATGAACCAAACGTCTCACAAACTACATCCTTTATTATTACTTCAATTCTAAATATTTTGTATTAAATAACAAATTTAGAAATAGATTTATTAAATTTCGAGCTCCCAATGTGGGATACTAAATTCTACATGATGCACAAGTAAATGGCAAACAAATAGAAATCGGGTCTATATAATATTCTTTACTCATTGATTTTTGTTGTATAGACTGTATAGAATGATTCATGTTCTCTAATCATCTGTGTATGATGGCTAGTGACGGTCTATCACACTCACAGTATACAAGAGAGAAGAATAATTCGGTCAGGATGTGATCTGGTCTTGACAACCTAGAGATCAATCAATATCTAGCTAAAGAACGACAGTTTTAACTCTGCTTATACTAGCATGGCTCGTCTCTCATTCATCAACCACACTTGTTCACTTATTACATAAAAAACATGCATCAGTTTAACAGTATACAGCTGAGACGATTTCTTTTAATTTAAAACTAAGTGAAATTTATAAAGGAAATTGTTCTCTGAACATTTCAATTTGTGCAAGTTATATATCCCCGCCCTTGTACATGCATCCCATCCATGACAATCTATTTTTGTGCAAATCTATTGTATGAAATAAAAGCACTTTTGTTCAGACCTGATAAATATTTGATTCATGGAATGGTAATCATTTCTGTACATGTATTTATTTGAGTTAAAAAAATTAGAAAAAAAGAATTGATCTAGTTAAAAGACAATTTTTTTGGTATACTTGAAGACAGTTAAAATATTATTAAAACTTGTTTTCATGTAAAATTTTATAATAATGATAAATAGAATATGAAAACAATATATAAACGCATATGGGTATGGTATATAGAAGGATATATAGAAGATTATTATTTACCAGGTCAAAAAACAAACCACCACCCAACCAATCCTCCTTTAAAATATATTAATTGTGGCCATCAATTCAATCAAGCCTCCCCTCTACCTGGTTAGTTAGAGAACTACATTGTACCAAATCACTCACATTCATATTGTTATTAATTACAAACAGATTGTATTCATACATCTAAAGCCATGATATTATTATATTGATATATATCATACAGTATATATATATAGGTAGATATATAGATATATAGGTACCACAAAAACCACCTAGGTATAGCAGCCAGCATACCCCAATATCAAATCAAATACCTTTAAATAACCGAGAGAATCAATGAGTAGATTCTCAGGTTTTAAATCTCGATACATTATATCCAAATGGTGTAGGTATTCCAGCACCAACACTATTTGGGATCCATAAAATCTTGAATGCGGCTCACTGTTAAAAAGAACGATGACAACATTAAATGATGAGGTGATGAGAGAAAGAGATACATGTATATTATAAACTTACTTTTATATACCCCTGAGTATCAAAAAGTATATTTTCTGGTTTAAGATCTCTGTATACTAGGTCCAAAGAGTGAAGGTACTCAAAAGTCAAGACAATTTGCGCTGCATAGAACCGGGAATGGGGCTCGCTGAAGCAAAAGCATGAGAAGATTAAATATTTAAGAAAAAAGAGTTCAAATTATTTCATTCTGTTGATCTTATGGTGTACTAATTTATCATTTTATAATAATAATGTTATCAGTACCAAACAAATACATTTGCAACTGTATCTATTTTTTATGTAATTATCCCATTACAATAGCAAAAAAAGCTTAAAACAGTGTCTTGGATGATATTAATAGACAATTTACTATTTATTAAAATAGATTATTTGATAATAAATTATTTACTATTTATTAAAACAAGGTTAATTACAAAATCTTAACTCAACTAAAAATAGTATCAATAAAAATTCTATCTTTGGTTATTATTTCCATAACAATTAAATTGTACTGTTTTGGTACACCATTTATTTTGAACAATTCATTTGTATTTGATGCGTGGCAAAAATAATCAAATCAATACACGTGTCCATTATCATTTATTTATTCAAAATTATCTTTAATAACAATGGTAAATTTAGTACACCGTTAAGTAAATTTATCCAGAATGTGAAATAAAAAGAGAAATAAGTTAAACAATGAAACATGAACAATTAGAATTCAACAAAGAAAATTAACATGAACATTGAATTTTTTTGTTGACTTACTAATAAATAACCAGAGTTAGCTATTAAGATATTTTCAGGTTTTAGATCTCGATATACAATGCCGAGATATTGTAAATATTCAAATGCTAATATAACTTGTGCAGCATAAAGACGAGTGTGATCATTACTGGAGAAAAAACAAAAAGAAAAAGAAATGCAAGCATTACAATAAACATTGAGATACACATTATAACTCAAAGATAATTTCAGACATACATAATATAATAATCAAAGAGACAGAAAATATATATCGGACAGATTTAATTTGCATATCAATTTAAATATGTATAAAATAAGAAAGCCACAAGATGTTTTTTATACTTTCTAGTCTCGTTTGATCTAGTATTAATAAATAACAGATAATGGAAAAAGAGTGACACAAAAGCAAAGGATTTATTTGAGGTTTTAGAGGGACTTGTACATGGACATGTAGTGTGATTCAAAATCTAGATTTTCTGAATGACAGATTTATATGGATTAAAAAAATAATCGAAGGTAGAAATATTAAAATTTCTTCAAATTTCCTTGTCAAATAGAAAAGTGAAATGAATCAACACAAATTGCAACTTCTAAGGTTTGCTAAGAAATTATACAGTAAACATACAAAATCTCTTTAATTTGAGTACAATATGAAAGTGTTGGTTTAATCAAATTTATTGTGGTATATTTTGTTTTTATCAAAAGGATTCTTCCAACAATAATAACACTGTTGGTTTTCAGTGAGATTGGTCAAGTTGTGGTCATGAAGGAGTTTGTTGCCCTCACAAACTGTACCCAAGAAGAGGACACAAGCCATGGCTAGACCCAATCCATATGATAAGATGACTTGAGATAACATAACAGTCATAACAAAATCAAAGCTAAAATTAGTAAACAAGGACCAATTTCATCTTTCATTGACCCAAATTAAAGAAATCTGCTCCTTTAAGGAATATAAAATAGCAAGAAGAGAATGTGTAGAATGATAAGTGATGATAAACAATCTTAAGATACTAGTCTAAACAGAGATCAAACCACTTTATTAAAATCTACAACAATGGACTCTGTATTCAACAATGGGCGGTCTTTTTCATTTGGGTAATCAAATTTTCAACACTAAATAGGGCTAATTTATTTTTTCATGCATACTGACACATTACCAAACTAAAATCAATTAGGTTCCCAATTTAACATTAAGAATTTATTTAACGAGAATAAAACTGCTCTACTAAAGATTAAATCCAAAAAGTGTAAACACACAGCCCAATGTAGACATTAAATATAAGCAAACATGATTATCAACAATTTGTGCTATCTAAATTACAACTAAAACATGACAATGTAAACTCACCTAAATCGGCCTATTCTTCTTAAATGTGAAAACATTTCACCCCCAGTTACAAATTCCAAAACCATATACAAATTAGTATTATCCTATAAAATAAATATAAACACGCTGCGGTTAGTTATACAACCATTTTTTAGATAAATAACAAGAAACAATTAAAACAATTACATAGCTATACAAATTTTGTTTTTGATTTTCACACACATTTCTTTAACTGTTATATTCATCAAAATAATTAAGTTTAAAGAATTTTTTTTTATCAAAACAATGTGCACTGTAACTATTAAGAATTACTCAAACTGAACATGCAAGTGTATACAAGATGAACGTACCTTATAAGAATATTCTAATCTCACTAGAAAAGGGAAATTAATTGCCTGTAAAATTTTCTTCTCATTTAAAGTATGTTCAACCTGTTTTAATTTTACAACCTGTAATAAAACATCATATAGTTTATATAATTGATGATGACCAATGACCACATATTTGAACAATTCAAGGGATATTATAGTACAGAGTCGGTACATGTACACATGCAGCGGCTACCTTTGTCCACTCTATGAACACCATAATGATGTTTTTGAGAAATGGAATCAACAAACCCATTGTGGGACACGCTACATATTCTTTGGAGTGATTACTCTAGTATTTAATACATGTATGTAACATATTTGTATGTACATGCAATGTATACATGTACGTACATGGCATGTATATACACATATATTGTTCATCACCATCCGTTTAAAAAGCACAGTTGAAGAAGTTTTGTTATTTATGTACACATGCATGTATGTGCATGCTGGTGTAAGTAATAAACATCTACTATTTAAATTATGAATAATACATAAGAATATAATCTGTATATTCAGATGCACGAAATACAACGATAAAAACGATACCATTAGACTACATCAACACAAAATTTATATTGTATGGTTCTTCAGGTATTTTACATAATCAAATAATTTAATATATTCTGAGGTGCCTACATTCTTTAGAATTATGTAATAGATTTTTAGTACTGTACTCAACTTATTTTGCCTTCCTTTCACTATCATTATAACTATCTTCTGTTGTTTACGTTGCCACATGTTATGTTAGTATACTTTCAGGCAATATAGCCATTATCAAACATTATGTATATCGAATAACCTCTTTTGTAAAAATATCATTATTTCCTTTCATAATTTTATTAATAATACAATATGAATAGTCCCGACTATATACATGTATTTAAGTAAATCAGTTGTAATGAGTGGTGATAGGCCTTCTCTGTTCCCCTACCCCATTCTTTTTGAATAAAACATATAGTTTTAAAAATCTAATTAAGCATACTGTTTCTCCGAACAACTATTTTTGGGATATCATTCTCCTTCTATATGTTTCAAGATACAGAAACTCCTGAATAATCAACTTTTTCTCCAGTAGTTATAAGGTGAATAAAACTGATCAATTCACTTCTTCTCTCTGAATAAATAGAACCCTACGGTATCTAGATGTAAATACTGGCATTAAATTCTATTGGCTTTTAGAATTAAGGTCACGAGCAACCAACACATAGTCTAGATTGATAAAATGCATCTATATGAATGAAATATGATGAATCCTACTCATGGAAAAATAAAATGAATCTTCAAGATCGCGAAATGAATAATTTAGGTTCTTGATTAATGTATCCTACTGAATTTAAAAATGAGAAACAAAATCTACATTGATATCGATGTTTCATATTCAAAATCTGTCGAAGTATTAAATGAATATTGTCACACACAGACATAGGCCTACATATATAGCTACCTCATCCTTATGTGATTTGTGCAACATGTTTAAAGAAAATAATGAGACAATTAGTTAAGAAGAGTATGATGGTTGATACAAGTAAAGAAAGGTAGAACCAGTATTAATATAGAGTTGATAGAGGAAAAATCAATAGAAGATAATGAAGCTATAGAATAAGATTATTGAAAAGGCTGTACAATATGCTGGTGTCTCTCAGTCATCAACCTTAGTTAACATGACATGACAACATACTACATTCTATCAAATACAAACTCTTTTAGTGTATTCAGTCTGACCCATATCAAACCAATTTACAACATAGGAGGACGAGTTCAAATTAATCAATCTGTGCAGTTTGGCAAATAAGCACAGGGAAATAATCTATTGTGCCAGGTTTGGATTAAGATATTGTTTTAGGCAACCGTACATGTATATATGGTGTAGTAGGAATTTCAATTATTGTGTTGCTAAACATTTGGAATGTTCCAAGATAAATCTCTGCGGAGTGCATGTGGTCAATATAACGTAATATCTTAAACACCGTTAGCAAGACGACAATTTACCAAACATTATTTGACAATGCAAAGACAAATTATTATCCACACTTAAGGGACAAGGGTAGATCAAAAACGTTCAGATCAACCAGATCATAATGCGATAAGAAATTATATGTACAATTGTACCTGTATCCATACATGTATAGTGTACTTCAATACATTATAGGTGTTATATACAGAATAGCTTGTATTGTTGAAAGTGTTGTTACAAATTATTAAATGCATACACATGTAACCTACTAAATGAGAGTGGAAACCTTGCTCTAAATCTAAATATAGAAGCATTTTAGTATAAATGAAATGAAATGAGGGGGTTTAAGGTCCTATTTGAAAGGCGGACCAGTTTGACTACCACAAAGTTTTTGCAATCTCATAACACAGCATATGACCTCCTTATACAAACAACTAAATTTATACATGTACTGGCACATTTTCAGTATGTTCACATTGAGGGAACAACATGTAAACCACAATAGTTGAAGAGAGAGAGAGAGAGAGAGAGAGAGAGAGAGAGAGAAATGGGGCTAGAGTCCGATCAAACTAGGTCATTTTGGGACTAACATGTGGTTCAATTTTATTTCAATAATTCAATTTCACATACAGGTCTTTAGCAGTCAGAGGAATCCGCGGGAGAACCGGAGAAAACCCATGAGGTTGCACAGGCGACCTACTCCTTGTTATGTACAAGTGGGGAACTGAAACCACACCACTTGACTCAATGAATGACCTTGTGATGCAACACGCACTGTTTATGGAAGAATAACATTGCCAACAGTATTTCAATGTTCACAGTGAAGAATGCATACAAATTACATGTTTAACAATTTGCAGTTTCCATTGCTCCACAATACCAATGTCACAGTGTTGAAATATACAATACACTTTTCAATAATACAAAATACAGTATAATAGTTATTTTGCAAAACACACTTCTCCATTCTGCATTATAGACAAATATGCAAATAGAACTTAGCATATTAGAATATATAAATTATATGGGATCTACGACGAAGCTCATTTACATAAGGGGAAAAGTCAGGATTAAGACGGAAATTAATAATTTACGCGATCGATCTACAAGGTCAATTAACCATTCAACCATCACCCCCACCCCCTGCACAATAGTTGATTACATGTATGTGATTAGCTGCTATAATCAAAATGGTGTGCATTCAATAATCAATAGCTATACATTTCAAGCAGTTTGGATCCAAGGTCATATTAATAATTCAATAAACTTTGAAGATGCAAATATTTGCTTGATGTAATTAACATATGGTTTATAAAAAACTAGATACTGTACATGTATTAAGATATTTTCATTTTCTTGTAATATTCCTTAAAATCTTTTCCAAGGTCTAGTTGCACCTACTTCATATACATATTATCATTTCTATGTATTCATTTTGAAAATATAGCACAATATAGTTCAATATATTTGTTAATAAATAAAGTGTTATGTCCTTGCTCTAAAAGATCACATCTAGAAGGATATCGGTTGCAATAAATAAGGTGTTACGCGCTGTCTTGGCTTGAGACTTTGGTAATGAATTTACAGTACATGTATGTCTGTTGCCAAGTGTATTTCCATTTATTTTATTTTTTTGGCTATTTTGCACATATTGCGTAGTTTAGTCAATACCGTAGTGTGAAATTAATTAAGAAGCAATGATTCTTTAGACAGAAACCTAGCCCCCATAAGTACAGAAGATAGTAATCTTATTATAAGTAATGATGTAGGCTACTCGTAAAACTGTAAGTTAATCCGATTAAAATTTTTTGTGAGGCATTTTTTCAACACAAGCAACATTAACCATATCAATTATTCATGTATCTTCCCTCTGTGGATGAGAGAAATGATCATTTTAATTAAATCCCACCTCTACATTATCCGTCTGGTCTTTGTAAAGAGACTCATTCTACAGACAATTCAGAGTACAAAAGCTTACCAAATCGGCATTGATAAACAAAAACATAAAAAATAGAAGGATGTACATGTACATTACATGAACACACATCTGGTACTAGTATCTACGACTTTACTAACTATTGTCTGTGACTTTACATTATTTTCTTTTTCTTGGACAATAACAGTCTAACATGTGACAACAATATTTTAGCAGTTTTACTATTATGCAATAAATTTAAGTCTGGCATCAATTTGTTAAGGATGTTAGTTTTCATTTCAGCTAATTTTGGACTCAAATTCACTGTATATTAAAACAATATGGCAAACTCTTTGGCATAAATATTTATAGTAATAAATAAATGAATGTGACATTACATAATCTGTGTATAGAAAGTGGTTATACATGTATTATGGTCATTACATTCAGACAGTGACCCAACTCAACACTGTCCTCTGTCTGTGGTGTCCCAGATTCTTACTTTATTGTCATTTATGTGCATTGGCAAGTTGTAATAGATCTTTGATTTTTTTTATCATCTAATCTTCAAATAACTATGTAAATGTATGCAGACACAACTTGGTTGAGAAATTTCCAGATTTCTTCTTGGAACTGAACCAAGCATCCACTATGGTGAGGTCACACATCTATTATTAACAATTACTGCTGTATAGATAGCCCAAGTCTGTATAATGTAGGAAATAAAACGTTTTTACTTACTTTCTGTTTATCGAGAATTTTCATGGCATAGTAATCTTTATTTCCTTTATGTTGTACTAACATGACCCGACCAAATGACCCGGTACCTAATGTCTTTATTCTATCAAAATCATCCAGGCATGCATTGTTCTGAAAAAATATAAATTATTATACATTTGATATGTACATGTAAATGAGATAATTATGCACGTTCCATCATTTCTATTGCTTCTTTAATGTATTCAGTACTAGGTTTTCTCTGTTTTATAGAAATACTGACTTATGCCCCAACTTTGTATTTAATGCACTTGCAGTTTTTCACACACTTTATATACCAGTACAGTTTTGATCCCTTTTGACAACTACTACTTGTATCTGATGCTATTTAATTTTACTTGGCTTTTCTCAAAATAGATAGCATTATAGTATTAGTTATATAAATAGTTTTTTTCTTCAATGTGCTGACATTGAGATATCTTGTAGCACATACATGTAGTCATTCATGAATCATACCAGAATAATACAACAACGTTTGGCAAATATTCCTCTCTTTACTTTAATTGTTTCCCTTATAGTTAGTTTGTTTTAATTTGAATGAAGCCTGTATCACTGTAATGGATGCTTACTAATGTAATTAAAATTGTTTATATGTGATGTGGTCCTTCTGCACTTACTACTGTATTAGGTCAATATACATGTAAGAATCCTTTATCAATATTATCAATTCAAGGCCATTCACATTTTATTTACTCATTCAGATAAAACTGTTCTTTTTACTTGTACACTTGATATTTTTTATATACATGTAGGCTAATTGTGATAAAATTGTGTTGCTTTTTTATTAAAAAAATACAAAATATATTTTTTTGGGTTAAAAATGTTTAATATTAGACCACATGTACATGTAATCCAACTAATTATATGTACATATTTTATTTCTTGATATTCTGATGATGTAACATTTAACATCCAAACTAGCAAATTTCTCTGCAAAAGTTAATAAGTTTACTTTGTTCAGCAGAAGGCAAAATTCTTGATTTCCAGTTACATGTACATGCATCTACGCTGATAATAAAACCTTTTTTACTATCTACAAACTCCATGTACATGTATCTTAAAAGAAATCACAAAAGTGTTTGTCTGTAAGAAGTAACTCCAAAATTTGATTTAGTCTATGGAAAATACATATCGTTTAGCATAAACATGAAACGTGATATTGCACAAACATGATTTATTAGACGCTTTTTGTCAGTAATATTTGTAGGACATGCATATGGAATTTACCACCTAAAAGCTTTTATTTCTTGCGTCAAAAAGCCTAGCAGAGAGTGTGTGCGGGTTCCTTTCGAACATAGAGTACGTGTAGATCACATGGACATACACATACATCAATGACAAAGCGTCAAAGGTTTACAGGGACCAAAAAAGGACTAGGTTTTTAATTAATTAAACACTGTCAAGCTCATTGATCTCCATTTGGATTCATGTATACCTTACTGTCTGTACGAACTGTATAGATGACTGTTACTATAGCAACAAAATGCCAATATTGCACAATTTATTTTCCACCTCTACTCAACAGCTATACATGTACATAATAGATTGCAGAGAACATAACACATAATGAATCTAAATCTAATATTCCTTTCCTTTTCAGCTATTGAGATTAATCATAGCAAGATACATGTACTTTAAAACAGATAAACATACAATTATTTATATGAGCAAGTCCTCTTTGATTGGATAGAAATATTCAATTGCCAAATTTTGATTTAGAATGTCAGAGTGGGCTTTCGACTATCAAAAAACTTTCACTGAAAGTCGTGTGCTTGTCATAAGACAAAAATTACAATTTGTATAAGGACCACCATCCGTATTACTCTTTTTGCAATAAAATTTTTATTGGAGCTTGTTCGATCACAAACTGAAATCAAAAAGCACACCCCAATCAAATAAGGGTACTGCGACTGTTCTTAATACACATAAGATATACTTATCTAAACATTCTCTAGAATTACCAATAAATATTAATGTACATGTAGTCTACATACCTGGGCTGGGTGATCCCATTTTTGTGTAAATTCTTCTTTGGCTTTGGCTAAAAATTCTTTGACTGTAAAGAAAAAAAAAACACTATTATACATGTGCAAATATGCTTATTTTGTCAATATAATCATTAAAAGCAATACTCTGCTACTGCTACATGTACATGTAGGTAATCAATCATGAACATTTCATAAACTTTATAGCTCATATATCTTGTGTACCAACTAAAGACAAGCAGATCAGTCAATGTTTGTGGCATAAAAAACAAACGTAACTGTATGAAATCCAAATCGGATAAAATGATTACAAAACCTACTGAGATGTGAGAAATGGGGTGAACCTACATGTACATTGGAATCAACTTAATTGAATATTTCAGGTATACATGTATGTATTCTTTCTTCAAAGTATAAATACTATAGACTTATAGAGTATGGACAACTACATGTATGTTTCTTTTTAAAATCACATTGCAAACAACAATATTGTAAAAGTTGAATATAAATCATATTACATAGTCAAAACAATCCAGAGTCACAAAGTATTTTTGCATTTATATGAATCCAATTTTATTTCATTCCATCTATATATTAATCCGATTAAAAAGGCAAACGAAGAACTGGGACATAAATATGTAATTCACCAGCAGCTTACTGTGCAGAATATACATAAATTAGATATATTCTATTTTTATAACATAACATGTTAGCTATATCACAATACCCCCAATTATAACTAAAAGTAAGTGAAAGAATGTGTAAATCCCTAGTATAAATGTAGTATGATGGGGTTTATCTCTTTGATCTTTGGGGCATATTCTTTGCCCGGAATAACTTGCGGTTTGAAAGTTGGGGGGGAGGGGGTGTCTCTGGATAAATACAGGGGAATTTGGGGTTATTCTTCTGAACAATTTTCTTTAAACCTGTAATGGGTTATTCTTCCAGGGTAGGGTTTTTTTTTACTATAAGAAAACATGATGTAAGGTTTTTCTTAGGGAATTTTGGGATATTCTCATTTTGCGTACATATGTAAACATAGACGGTTGATAAGCAAGATAAAGTCCTCAACTTTAATTATGCTGGGGAAAAAAGATTTCAGGAAAAACCCTTGACAGAAAAACCTTGGCCCGCTGGCCTCAGTTTTTCTTTTTCTCAGGTTTTTTTCTTTGGTCTTTCTTTCCCCAGCATAACCTCAGTCTCTTACTTTATCCTACATATAATGTATTCATGATAATATTAGTGAGGCTGATTATTATGTACTTTGTACTAGTGGTGTATTCTGATTTTGAAAATTATGTCTTCAAAAGAATGTTGTCACTTAAGTGTAAATATGTTATACAATATCCCGAACTATGACAAAACACATAATTTAATTAATGCACATCAAAAAAAGTCATCACAGATCCCAGGTTGACTTCAATTTGGGGTCTTTTCGTTTACTCCACATAAGCAAATATAAACACTACAATATACATGTAGCTTTTACTGCAATCATTTCTGTAAGCACAGCAGCACCTGCTGGTTGGGGATGTTTTCAATGTTTGCTAGTCTCAACACTCAAACAATATAAACTATATCCTATAATAAATACAACTAACACAAACCTGATAACAGGTAATCCATTTTTTTTTTCAACTATAAAAGTTTATGCTCTTCTCTCTAGGTATGTGTATTCTAATCCATGTCTCTCCTATTTATTTTTTTTTATTGGGGGGGGGGGGGGGGTTGTAGTTAGTTACATGTACATGTAGCCTAGAAGTAGATTGTATAATACACACTGATAATGACCAGCAAATTCTAACTATGACTTAAAATTTATAAGCATTATTTACTGTACACTGACTTACTGGTCATTCCACTTACCCTAAACCATGTCAATGTCAAATGTTATAAACATATTTATGTTCGGTGTAATTGAGTGAGGTTTACAAAAACAGTATGTAAACCATATACCCAATCCCATCATGGTCAGCTATTGCAAAATTTGAGTTAATATAATGTAGTAAAACAAATGTAATGTTTGACGTATTGTTTACAACGAATATTTTGCTTCGTGGAAAAATTCTGGTTATCACCACATTTACCAGTAGTTCTATTTTCTATGGCAATATCATGATACCTTTCGTTCAGTCAAGTCAACGAACTGGGCGATCGAGGCCATAATTATATGGATGCTCGGCGAACTAGACTACCCATCATTGAGAAATAAACTCACCATTTTCCGCTGGGTCACCCTTTTTCGCTGTCGCGGCGTTTCCCATATCCAATTAGGAATGAATGGCCGAATGTGCAAATACAGTTTTTTCCAAAGCAAGTCCAATATTCAATGACAATAATACACCATATATTTTTTGCTTCGTTCCGGCTTTTACTGACTGCTAATGGAATAGGCCATCACTATGTATTATTGCACGGATATATCCCCCACAATGTTGCCGTTACGTTGTTGACCTAGCTCCACTAAATAAACAATGTTAACCCGTGTAATTTTATACATAACTGTCACACACGATATTCATCTTTTAACTGATACAAGCGTGTAGCATAATATATAGATATTAGATCACGGAATTACTTTCTGACGCGTCTTGTCAAAAAGTGGTAAATGTCTATAATAGTGCATTGTGGGTATGGTAGCGTAAACAGATACTGGCAGATTTCTAGGCGAACGATCGTCGCGTGTTGTTATGGGACCTGAAGCGAATCCACTCGTGTGCATCCAAGCGAAATCGGTTAAAAAGGGCCCGATTGTTCAATACGTGTTATATTTATATAACATACTGCCAACCTTTTATCAAAGTAATTAGATAATGAATCTGTTTTATTGAGAAGTAGCATACCGGGTGGTATAATATGATACAGTATACAATCATTACTGCACAGTTAAGTACGTGCACAATCGTTACTGAACAGTTTATTTATACACTGTTGATTAGTTATTACATATGTATGCATATACAATTGTCTATTACATACGTATTCATTAAAGACACCCTTCAAACAGCAATAACTATATGGGTGTCAATAATTGAAATTCAAGAGTTCTCCTAATCACAATAATGTAAACAATATTACCTTACATTTACACCTATTTGAAAGAGACCAATGATAAATGTAAAGTAGGAATGTCAGGAATATTTGAGGACATGACATATTAAATGGACAAAGCTGACAGCGATATTTAATTCCATTTAAATATGGGGTATTAACTATTATATAACGAAAGAATATATTATGTTTCCATTATTACATGTAATTCTTTTGTTTATTGCTGATATTATTACCAAACTAAAATAAAGCTTTTTTTTTTTCAATTGGTGTAAAATGACATTTTCCACTTGTAAGGGGGGATCACGGTGGCTAAGTGGGTAAGACGCGGTCTCGCTAGCCTGGAGGTTGGGTGTTCGATCCCTGCATTGGCCAGCTGAGAAATTTCACCCCGATTTTCCGGCATGGTTCCCCCTTGTCAGTGATACAGGACAGAGGGCCTTACAAGCACAGCTGTCTAGTCATTTGGAAAAGACAAAAAAACGAGGTCCCGTGTACACATTGGCGTGCACGTAAAAGATCCCTTGGCAGTTGGAATTCGATATAAGAGTAGGCCATAGTGCCACTGTCCGGGCAAAATTTCCAACATAGCATACTGTATGGCGTATGCCCGTCTTTATTAGCCCAGTTCGGAGCAAAACAGTAGGACGTTAAACCCCATTTCATTTCATTTCCACTTGTAAGTATAACACCCATTAATAAAAATTCCTAAATAATGAACTGAAATTTTGTTGCATAAAAAGAAGTCTTTATAGAAACAGAATAACCCCAAAATATATTAATAATTAAACAGGCATTATGTAAGACTAAGAGCTAAATCTTCCTACTGCAGGTCTGTTATATAAAACTATTAATGAGACATTTATTAACATTACATGATGATAATCAACTCTCGATTACATCGGATGGCTCCAATTTTAAGTAGATTAGAATGGTTCGGCCATTTAATGATTTAATTTAAAAATGGAGAAGTGAGGCGAAGACTCGAATGACCAGTTTGGTGGTTACGATCAATGCACACATCTTGTTGAAACTACAACCACAGATAACTTCACTCAAAATAAAGTAATTTGAAGAAATTTTCAATATATTCATTTTGCAGCCAGCTCTTATCTAAATCTTACAAAATGCCTCATTACATCTACTTGGGCTACACCCCAAAATAATAATAAGAACACTGTTTCAGTCAGGTAGTGGCACTACTGCCCAATCTAAGAGATCAATCTTGCACTATCAAATGACATCAAGTATGTTTATATTATGTATACAAACCATGTCCATTTAACACAAACTAGGTCATGCATAAAGATAGGTTTCCTGGCAACACAGCATACACCTACAGCAGCTAAGTCGTCCAAGCAGTCAACAAGGGGTGTCACATATTTATTCTTTTACCAGTAATGAACACATTTACATGACACTAAAATCTGATTAAAGAGTAACATCCCATGAATTAATTATCAGAAATCATAAGAATTTTTTTACCTTCTAGTTCTGCCATATTATTGCTAACGTTACTTATACAAAACATTTAATATCATGAATTTATTAGCTGTTCAAGTTATTGGAAACTAATGAAAATAAATAGATTTTGTCGTCTCATGACCTTAAACACTATGTATAAATTTAAAGTCAATTGGATGATAATTTTGGTCCACAACATTTTTGAAAGTCATTAATGGCCATAACTCTAGATTATCAGAAATTATTAAAACAAACCCAAAAAACAACAAATAAGGTTTGTGGTCTTGGGAACATAAACACTGTACAAATTTAAAATTAATCAGATGATAACTTTGGTCTGCAGAGCGAATAACAAGAATATTTAAAGAGGTAAAGGGGTATAACTATGGCAGTAATTATCAGATATTGGCTTCTTTGACTCATGAAATTATACACTGCCTCTAGATCATCCACAATCCACAATCAATTGAGGACGCTGGCCGCACAGATGAAATTACGTGGGCAACAACAATATACAACTACATTTCAATGTGGGCGTATAAAAACATCTACCCAC